ATAGCGGCTTTAAAAGCCTTTCCCTATAAAAGCTTAAAAAAATTAGCCGATTAAAATATTTTTACGGTTTTTTATTCGATTTTTTTATTAGCTTTTTTAATATTTTTATAAAATTTATAAATATAAGAAACGCTAATTTTTAGCTCGATACCTTCCCGTTATACCTAGCGCTCGAAATCTCCTTTTCCTTAATATAATATTAAAAAGCTTTTTCCGTCGAAAAATAATATAAAAACGTTTAGTTTATATTATTTTTTTATTATCGCGACGAAATTTTAAATTATAAAAATAATTTTTAGGGCTTTTTTTAATCGTAACAAATATTTAAAATATTTTTTAAATTATTTTTTTTAAAAATAAACGTTTTAAAAAACCTATTTAAAGCTTTTAGGTAATAAATTATATTAATTAAAATTCGATAAAAAAGTTTTATAAACTGGTATTTTCGAGCTTTTTTAAAGATTATTTAGCTTACGGAAATTCGAGCATATATTTTATAATCGAATTATTATATTTTTTAAATTTTAATATTTTTTGCTCGGTATATTAAATTTCGGAATATATTTGCTTTTAAATATCCGAAGCGTAAATATTAAAGCTTTTTATTATTAATTTTAAGCTTAATATAATTTTTTAACCGTTATAGTTTTCGATAGCTAATACGTTTAAAAGCTATTAAATAATAAAAGCTTACGTTTATTTCGGAAAAGATTTTAAAAAGGCAAATAATAAATTCGATATATTAAAAAAATATTAGGTTATATTTTTTTATAAATTTAGCAATTATTTAATTTTATTTTAAATTACTAATTTTAAAAATAATATTAAAATTATATTTTTAAACGCTTTTTTTTTTAATTTAATTTCCGATACGATATTATAATAAAAATTAAGGATATAGGCTACGTTAATTAAGGTTAATATTATAATTTAATTATTAAAACCTTTAAGCACGTTTTTAATAATTTTAGTTCCGTATCCCTTAATAAATAAAGCTAAGGTTTTAACTTCGATTATAGATCCAGTTTTATTAGGCCTAAAGGAGCCTAAAACGAATAATTTAGGGTCGTTAGCGACGTAAACTAATTTATAATTATTTAAAAGGGTATTTTCGTATAAAAAGTGTTTAAATTAAATAATAAAATATACCGCTAATTAGTTATTTAAACCGACGATATAGGGATTTATAATTATAGCATTAAAATTGCCGGTAAGCTAAGGATTAGAGGTTTTAAACGGATTTTATTAATTTATAACTCTAAATTTTTAGTTTTTAATTTAGTTTTTTTTTAGGTTACCTTTTAAAATTTTATATTTATTATATTTAATTTAAGCTCGAATTTTTTTTAAAGCTTTATTATTTAATATTTTAATAATGCGTTTAATAAAACCCGTAAACGTATATTTTAGGATAAAATATTGCTTTAAAGGCTATCGGTAAATAATTTTTTTAAAAGCTCGATATAGGCACGTAATATTTTTATCGGGGTTTCCGGAGCTTTTTAAATTAAAAGCTTTAAAGCTAAAGCTATCGGCGTTAAAAGCGGCGAAAACCTATTACCGAAATCGGCTAATTTTATTTTTTAGGTGCAGATTTTTCTAAAGCATATTTTTTAAATTTAAAAGCGTAAAATTTGTAAAATATAATTATTTATTAATTTTTTTTTAATCGATATTCCTTATTTTAAAAGGATTTTATTATTAACGGCGTTTAAAAAATTATTTATAGCGAAAAAACCAATTACTATTTCCAATTTATAACAGCGCGCTAATTTAAATTTTTTATATTATTTTCGGTGCTAAATAATAAGGTTTTAAGCTTAATTAGCTTTAATAAATACGTTCCTATATTTTTTAAAAACCTATTTTAAAAAATTCTTTTCGGTTAAAACTATTAAATTTTAAAATATACGGCAAAAATTCCGAATAATATAGTTATTTTAATTTAAAGCTTTTATAAATATAATTATTTAAAGCTTAATATTTATAAAATTTTATATTTATTTTTTAAATTTATTAGTATACCGTTAAATAACAAATTTTTTTTTAAAATTAAACGCTTAAATTTTAGATTTTTAAAAAAATTTTTCGAAAAGCTTTTTTTTAGCGAAAAAGCTCGGAAAAAATAAATTTATTTTTTTTAGTATTTAGATTTTTTTTATTTTAGTCGGAAATCTACTAAATTAAATCGTTTTTAAATTAGTATTAAAGCTTAAATTTATAAATTTTTATTAAAAAGAGCTATTTAGCCTATAGCTATAATTTCGTCGATTTAAAATTAATATAATCCTAAATAATATTTTATTCCGAAAAAAACCGATATTATAAAAACTAAGCTACCTAGTTTTTTTGGTAAATAAGCTTAATTTTGACCGTATGGCTTTAGGTATCGAAGCTCGCGTAAAATAATATTTTTTATAAAAAAACGGGGTTTTTAATGCTTTAATTTTAAAAATCGAGTTTAAAATATTAGTTAAAATCTTAAAAATTAAATTTTAAAAATTAAATTCCGTTAGCATCTTATTAAATAATATAAATATACGGAAAATTTAATAATAGCTTAGCTACGTATATACCGGGTTTATAATTATAATAATTAAAAGAATTTATAATTTAGGGTTTCGATATTACCTAATAAAAGCGGTATATAGGTATAAATAAATAATTAAAAGTAATCTGATTTTATATAAATAAAATAAAGGGTAGGTCGTATTTATATACCTATCCAGGAGCTTTTATGGAGCTTAACTAATCTAATTTAAAGATCCCCTTAAGAACTATAAGTGTATGGAGTGAATATCCCGTCACAAATATTAATATCGCTAAAATTAAAAAAAATTTTAATAAAAAATTAACAAAAAATTTAAATTATTTTATTATAAACGAATATCGCGGGTTTTTTTATAATAATTTTTAATTTTTTTTGCCTAAAAATCGGTATTATTATTTTATTTCTTAGGCGACGCTAATTAAATACTTAATATTTATTTTTTAAACGTCGAATAAAAACGCTTAATTATATATTTTTAATATTCGAAAGCATATTAATATAAATAAGGTTTATAATTATATATTTTATATAAATAGCCTATTTATATTAGCTTTTTATATAAATTTATAATTATAATATTATAAAATTAATTTTAATTTATTTCCCGGGCCTAATTCGCGGCTTAGGTAATTATCGGTAATAATTAATTTAAATTAATTTAATTTTATATTTTATTTTATATATTAATAAGCTAATTAAGCTTTTTATTAATAATAAATAAAAATATACCTAAATATATAATAATATATTTTAGGTATAATATTAATTAAATAAAAAAAGCTTTTTTAAAAACGCGTAATTTAGCTAGCTAAGCCTAATTATACGTTAAAAAAAGGTTTATTTTAATTAATATTTAGGTAATAATCGCGGCAAGCGCTAATTTTGCCCGTTAACGCTATAATAATAATAATAATAATTAAATATTAAGCTATTTATTTAATAAATAATATTATTTATTTATTATTATTTTTATAGCTATTTTCGCATTTTATTAGATTTTATATAATTTATAAAATACGATTGCGTTATATTTAAAAAATTTTATTTTATACGCTTAATTCTATTTTACGGCGGGCACCGATTATTATAATTAATTAATACGCCTTAGCCCGCTATAATCGGGGGGAGGGCAGCGCTATAAAATAAAAATAAATCGTTTAAATAAATAATTACGCTTAATTATTAATTTATTATATTTAATAAATATTATAATTATACGGATAAATAGATTTAAAATTATATTTATTCGTATTAATTCTAAATACCTTTTTTAACGCTATATAATAATACTAAATACCCGTTTTTATCGCGCTTAAAAAGACCGTTCCTCCCGACGCCTTTAAAATACCCTTTAAAATTAGGGGGTCCTTCTAATTGCCCTCTAAAATGCCTTTACGGCCCTTATCGGCCCTTATCGGCCCTCCTCCGGGAAAGGGAAACCCTCCTAAGACAGCCCTTTTAGGGGCCAAAATTACCAAAAATGGCAATTTGCCCTTACTGATAGTTGAGCTGTAGCACGCGCGGGAGCGAGGCGGGGTTCTCGGCCAGGGCCAGGTCTATTGTTGGAATCTCGCTAAACGATGACTTTTCAGAATTCATTATGAATTACTTTGAAAAGGGTGAGTATTATATATAGTGGATGACTATAGGTATATGCCTGTTCAGTATCTACAAATAGTAGATGATCCGATTATATGTGGCCGCAAGCAGATAACGGAATGGTGGGGTGGGGACAGATCACGCAAGTAAGGAATCGTGACGCCGGCTTGAAAGTATGATAACCTTATTGGGTACAGAGTGCTATTATGATTGGCGCTCATGTTCAGACATACGGGGAGTGTCAATTCCATCATTTGGATATATATTGATTCTTAAAGTGGAATCACAAGGAATTGAAGTCATCTACCTATATTGTGACCAGCTGTTCATCACTGTCTCCCTAGACTTCATTTTTGCCTTATTATGATCAGTCTTTTGCTGTATCCTGTGCAATGTTAAAGTTTGAATGAATACCATCTATGAAGAAAGGTAGTTAAGCGGGCCGATATTCCAACGAATTGTTCTTTTGATATAATTGTTCATTGGCCAACAATCGCATTGGACTCCCAGAAAAGGGTCGAATATCTTTCACTAAACCATTTCATTTCATTATGCAATAGCATCATCCATGGTTAGAAGTCTCATGCGATTTCTTGACATACTTTTGCTACTACTTGTACTTTGATAAATCAGCCTTTACCTACTCGGCGAAACTTAGTATACTTGATGGCTGGAATAATTACCCGAGATCATCATATACATCAAAAAGACAAAGTTTTCGTAAACTCTTTCAATGAGAATATTTAGCAAAAGCCGATTTCAATTGAACCTCATCTTCCAATACTTGTACCACAATCATCTAAGAATGACTAGTTAATGACATCGAGCGAGCTCTACCGTGGCCTTCACGTCATGTCTGCTTCCTTTGATGCTTTCTATCCTTTTTGGCGTTCTTCTTGACATGGCGCCTGAGGCGCGGACCGTCAATGATGACTTTTATTCCTCGAACCTGGATAATCTCGTTGGGCGAAGGATTATGCCGCAAATTGGCCAGATGCGCGTGTGGGATCTTGCCAAGTTCCTTGCACGAAGTAACCTCTTGACACTCTTCCTGCCACGATGCCGTCCAGACAAAGTCATCATGCCACTCGGGCGGGATGACCGTTTCGCCCTTTTGCGTGCCCCACGACTGCAGCGTCTTGAGGCCGGTGTGCTCCAGGGCGCGGAACACGGGCCCGTGTCCGCTCAGGCCTTCAGCGTTGAGGCGGTACCACTCACAGCCGTCACTTTGGCATAGATAGAGGCCCAAGTACGTGTGAAGGAGCTCGTGGTAGAGCACCCCCAGCATGTCGACGAGCGAGAGCTTGGCACGACCCACGGGGACACGGGTGCGACGTGCGATTTGCACGAATCGCTCCATGTCATTTGCCTCATCACTGAAAGCCCGGCCTAAACAGAGATGCTCGCGATGCTCTGGGAGCAACTGAACATGGACACGGATTCCTGAGCTATTGAAAAGGGATCCAAAGAAGAAGAATTCATCGAGCTGGTGGGCAAACTTTGTCAACATCTTGGGAAGATCCTGTTTATGAAGCTGTTGCCGTGTCATTTTGCTGTATTTACCAAATAGCTCCTGATATCTTGTTTTCGCCTTGATCTGGGCTTGAGCAAGCTCATTAGTCGGGACCTCCCAAAAGCTCCCTACCGTACAGTTGAGCAAGGGGCGAGCCTTGTAGCCTTGGAATACCAAGGCGGGCCGGCGCTGATCGCCACCTCGAACGTATCCAGGCGGCCGATAATGCTTTTTGGTGCAAATATGTGATTGAGACATTGTATTTGTGATCCACTGGAGAGATGGTGTTGATACTCAAGGAATTCGGTCTTGGATACTTGATGTTATTGTACATGACATTGTGAGAAGAGTTTCAATGTCACTATTTATGGCAAGTTCTCTGACGCTTCCTTTGACCGACACTGAGACGACCTGAGACTTTCATGGCCACGGTGAATCATATAGAATGCTCTTGTTTGCTAGCCAATGGATAACGAAACTGAATTGTGCGTGTTCCGTACGCTGTGGCCTCTGTCCATTGTGTCTATAGTTGACCAGTGATTGCAAGAACCATCGAGTAGATATGTGTTTGATACTCGAAGGTACCGAAATGAAAGCGAACAGTTCCTCTTCGTTTCAAGATGAACACTTTGGCAAGCAGATGTGATAATGACAGGTTCATATTAAGAAATGCACATGTGGTGGTTCTTTTTTATACCCAAGATCTATTATGCAAAATATTCCGATTTCCCTTGCAAAACTGAGATAGTCGCCGCCAGCTATGCAATCCAATAACCATCATCACATATATATAAAGAACACCTAGCTAAGAGACGCCATCGCCATGCTGAATACTGAAGAACGACGGAACGCAATGGCCAAAAATACAAAAATTTCTAATTTATCGTAGAGAGTCACTCCTAAAGAGGAGGAATCCAAGATCAACTTACATTGGATCAAATCCATCGCTGTAGCTTCTTTGATCCAATAAACGTAGACCAGGCGATAGATACGATGCCTGTTGTGGGTTGATGTCTTCAGAGCACTGCATTCCACAGTTGCGGAAAATGTCCTCGTGGCTGTGTGATTGAAGAAAGTCGTCGAGATCTGCTTCCATATTGCTCAGGAAAAGAGTATCTGGACCAGCCCATTCGTCAATCAGACTGGCAATCCGGCGAAATCCCACAGTGTGGCCTCCAAAGCGCTTCGCCTTGAAGCCACAACGAATGAATAGATAACTGTGGATCAACTCATGTATAAAGGTTGAGATGAGCAGCCTCCTATTGTAACGCTTGTCCTTGCGATAGCTCTGCGAGAGGACGATCAAAGTCTCGTAGCCACCATCTTGTGCCGTTCGCAGGGCCGTGGTGCCAATGATCTGGGTATGGTATTGCTTGTTGGACACATCAGACCAATCCCACCTGACGCGGTTCCTCAGGCATCCAAAGAAGAAGATTTCGTTTGTCGCACGGAAAATATTGTTCAGTGCAGCATCGTCGATTTCAAACTCCTTGCCGGGCGATGATCTTGGAGAGATGAGGCTTTTGAGAATGCGCTCGGCCTTGGAGTCACGTCCCGGCTTGTGGTAGTGCGCAAAGTGCCGTTCCACCCGGTGACCGGCCTGCTGATCCTTCTTCATGTCGGAATAGTTCGACTGGGTATTGCTGTCCTCATCCTCTGGAGCAATCGACAAGCCGGAAGATGTCCTCTCCAACAAAGGGGGTCGCAAATCGGGTCTCACAAAACGATGTGGCTGCACCTCGCTCTCCAGGAACCTGTCAGAGGTGGCCGGTGACGGCACCCTGGATGCGGAACCCGATGTGTCGTAATCGTAGCATGGCACCGGACTTGGACTTGGCTGGCCGGCTTCTCGTCCAGCTTCTCTGAGAATGAAGAAGGCAGGCTCACGTGGGGCATGGACCTGGGCCTGGTTATGGGCCTCGGGAGCGGCGTTGCAAAATCGTGGTCTCTTGTATTGAGGAGCAGCGTATCCATTATCGTTGGCAACCTCGAAAAAGACATACGGATGAGGCCTCTTTCCTCCCTCGGGATACAGCCTCGGTTTGTTATTGCTGAACCGGGTGTCTAGAAAGGATGAAGAGGCACTGTATGAGCGGGACAGCGGCATCCCGCCACTGTTCCAGTCACTCCTTTCCATTATTCATTCAGTGCGACTTTGAGAAACTAAAAAAACATGCATGTGTGCTGAAATGACAAAGTTTTGCGATTCAAAAGTTTGAATGCGGGGAGAAAAGGATGGAGGATGGGTGAATCGAAGCGAAGCGAAGAATAAGAAACCAAGACAACCATCAACGGATCACGACCATGCGCATGACGAATCCCCAAAGCGTTGCAAGCCAGAGAAGGAGACAAAGAAATGATGCGGTCTGTAGTTTCGGAGGGCCATCCGAGTGACTTTTTGAGGGTGGACTGGCACGCGGGGGTTACCCTGGGAAGCAGCAGCAGCAAGCAGCAGCAGAAAAGTCGATGCGGTACGTCGATGGGAAAGTTGTTGTCCCCAATCAATGTGGCGCCCCCAGTCTTCCAGATGGAAAGTCAGAGGGTCAAATCGGACGCGGAAGCCGGCCTGGGGTTAGCCTCACTTCGAGGGTCAAGGTCGATCACCACTAACGACAGTGTCTTGATGGGCCCTGGGAAGCGGGTGGATATTCTTTTCTGGCTTTGAGAAAGATTTTTTTTACTTACTTCTCACTCCCCTTGTTGCTGCCAATCTTTTTTGCGCAGTTGACGGGCTGACGGGTGGTTGGGAGGCCGAGGATTGATTGGCAAAGCATCCATCAGTGGGCATCGTTCCAGCAGTCGGGGGCCATGTGTGCTTGAGCTGCGGGCGATGCCGCGAATGAGACGCTGTCCACCGTGGACGATCTACCTTACCCACTACTACCTGCATTGCTAACCTTGTGGTAAAAACAGCGTCAACTAACCAGAGGCAAAGACGGCTGTGGGGACTGATGCTGCTGCTCCCTGAGTAGTCCTGTCTACCCGAGAGATTTCTCGGTTTCGATGAGGGCAAAAGAGGGGGCCTTTGCCTCTAGATACCCAAGGTATGTTGAAATGATGGACAGAAAAATATTTGCCTACCAGGAAGCGGTGAATGGCAGGAGAAGGAAGATCCTATCCACAAATGTCTCTGATCTCAGGATTCAGTCGCGGCTCAGCTATCACCAGTCTGGTATGGCACGAGTCCACAACCCTTCTGGCTCGGAGCGCACGCCGCATGGAAATGGCAACTTCCTTGATTCCCGGCAAATGTTTAGCGTCATCTTCATGGATTCTGATCGTCGGACTTGTTCTTCGCCAGTTGCCACAAAGACAAGCTTCAGAAGCGGAATACTACAATGTGCGTTGTGCTTGTTGTGTGCGTTGGACAACGCATAATAAAAGATAAAAGGGTTTGGCGCTGTAAGAAAACACGTGCGTGTCCATCGTCTCGTCGCACATTGGGGGAAAATGTGTAAATAAACCTGGGTTATGTAGGTAGGCATGTAAGAAGTACACATAGGTAGGTAGCTGTTCTGCAATGCAGGGGCGGAGGCAGTACAGTAGACTAGGATGGTCACAGGCTGTCTGCTTTGTTTCTTGCTTTGCCCAGCAGCGGGGGCTGTCAAGTGGAAGAAGACATGGACTGCCTGTTTGTTTGATGATCAGTTTCCAGACGAGCAGATATAAAAGAGAAAAAAGAAATAGAAAAATGCACATTCAAAGCCCCTTCGCCCGACGAATATGGGACGAGACGCGGGGGGGATGTGACACGGAAATCTGGGAGTGAATTGTGAACATGGAAACCCGCAGCTCCGTTCAAGTCTCTATGGTACTGACACAGGGGGGCCCACAGGGCGATCAGCAGTGGGAAACTCCCTACAGTGGGCAAGGGCAAGGTGCGTCACGGCTTGCTAGTTCCGGCGTTGGTGGTGGGCCCCGTCACCTGCCGAATGCTTGCCATGTATGAAGACCTGTAAAGTAGATAAGTACCTCGGGATGGGTATACCTTCACGCTGCATGAGTAGTGTTATTGGCTGCCTCTTCTAATATCTATGGCTATTTGATTAGAAAGCGTCTCGACTATCATTTTGCGTGCCTGTCTGCTGTATTGGTTTTGTGAGTCCATAACAATCAATATATAGAGTACGTGGCGTATAAAATACATTAGGTCACGGTGATTGGCCGTTATACCTCCCCGAAACTTTGGGATACACATGCATTTGTAAATAAAACAAGATGTGACGTGATCCATTGATTCATAGCAAGGATTATCCATCTATTCCAAAGTCCGTGTTTGAACGCTGAATATGCTATATTGTACTTATACCTAGAAAACGCTGCTGTCCTGTAAATGTGGCTCTCCCAGTTGTTCTAGCATGTATATCGTCCACCTCTATAATCAATGATTGGGTATCATATTTAATGTCTGACGCCACTTCCCAGGAATCGAGCATATCTAACGTCATTCGCATGTCGTTCCATGACCTGCCTCATCTCCTCATTGTACAGATCCGCCTTCTGCTGAACAGCAATCTCCTCGGGTGTTCTCGTGTCAACCTTGAAATCATCCGCCGTAAAGCCAGGCTGCGACGAGAAACCGACAATGCCTAGCTTCTCTCCAGTCCAGAAAAGAATGTCCTCGTTATTGACATCATCGTCTGCACCAGCCTTGACAGTCCGTGTCGACATGAGCTTACGAGCAATCTCGTCCGAACCTGGCATTGAAGCGAATAGCGATCCTTGGGCTACCTTCTCACCGTGACCAATCTTATGTCGACGGACTTCTGTAAACCCGTCTCGCTCGACCCACTTGACGAGCCCGTCACCGTCCGAGTAGGCGATTCGCGTCCCGTGATTAATGACCGAGAGAAGCTTCGCCGCGGACGCCGTCTGCCGGTTCTTCATAGCCGAGTTTTGTACCATGCCGTAATCGCTGCCTGGCTGTTCGGACTGCTGCGAGAGGCCATAGAGTTCAAGTGAGCCCCTCGTGTTGTACTCTCCACCCGCAATCAATGTACGGCCTCCAACCACGCCTTTGGCCTTGTTGACTTGGTCTATTGAAAGCTCGCCGCGCCGCCGCAGATCGCTCTCCAGACAGGAAAATGGATAAGGAAGAGATGCAAGACTGCACAGTCTCGACCCCGAGTGGATAGATCCCTTGATGACTGGAAACATGCGACGGTCGTAGTGCAGGATACTAGCGAATCGACCGGCCACCATAATGTCGTCCGAAATCAGATCCTTGTGTCCCGAGCTCTCCATGTGAAGAATGCTCTGAGGTCCAGCCTGGGTAAGAGGCGCATATAGAGGAAGCGGACTCGGATCAAGAACGCGAGAAAAGTCCAGCGGCTCCAAACCATTGTACAGGTCCACGCGCTCGTTCTGGTCCTGCCGGGCCTTGTTAAGAATTCGCCAATCGTGCAGATGGATGCCATTAAATGTTCCGACTGTGAGAGGTACTGTGGGCTGCGCCTCGGACATGGTCGTAATAGTCCACTCGTAAGGCTGGTTGCTCACGATCTGCAAAGTCTGCAAGTCGACCTCTGTAAGACCTTGAATATTGTCAGCCTCAGCTCTACCATCTGAACACCCATTGGAATCTAGCACTCACTACTCTGGACAGCAAAGAAGGCCTTGCTTCGGCTGCTGTCAACGCTGACACACTCTGTAATCCCAATGCTCGGCATTTTCGACCGTGACGACACTGTGAGGCTGTCCATGCGAAGCAAGCCTTCCCTGCTTTTGGAAAAGATTGATCCCTTCTTTTTGCATGTGCCCTTTACGTCCCACAAGCATACTGAGCCGTCATCGAGTGGCGCGACTGCAAAAAGCGACTGCGCATCGTTGGAAGGACGGTAGAGAGCGGCGCCCTTGACTTCAATCGCGTCATTCAGGTCGCCATCTCTGACTTGCGCCTGCTCGAACCAACTGACAACGACTGGCGCATTGCGCTGTATGTATTCATTGTACCAATTGACCTTCTCGTCAGGAAAAGTCGGATCCCAGTTGGCGAGGACTCGTGTCCGCTCGTTCTCAACGGCCTTTTTCGAGGCCGCTGGCGTGGCTTCCCCCGGCTCTGCATTCGGGCCTGGTGACGAGGACCTCGGCGCAGTGCTGACTAGGTTTTCGTCGTCGAGGTCCGAGAATCGGAGCTGGCGGCGACGTTGCACGCCCTCTAAAAAGGAGGACTCGTCGAGACATCGCAGACGCCAGAAAAAATTATCTCGACAAATGCGCAGCAGTCGCTTAGAGCAGCGTTGCAGTGCAGTCAGGTCTCTTGGCTCGAGGTCTTTGTGACTTGTTAGTCCGAGACCAGCAAAGCACTGGGTGGTCTAGGTAGGTAGGGAGATGCGTCGGGGGTTCGGGAGAAGTTGAGGGACCTCGAGAGGAGGGGTTCGCGAATCGGCGACTTACACGACAGGACTTCTAGAAGTATCTCATTAGGGAGCTCCTCGAGACATGATTTGGGAGCCATGGCCAGGAAGAAATTCCCGGGAAAAAATAATCACAAAACAATGTTGACCATGAGAGAACCCCAGAGGCCTCCCATGAAGCCAGGAGTGCGATTAACGTGCCTCTCTGTTGACTGGCTCGATTCACTTGAATTGTGACTGCCCGCCTACCAACATTGGTACTTACTACCTTAACACAGACCAAGACCAAGCAAGATCAAGACCTCGACCTGTGCGACGGAAGCAGCCTTCTTCGGGTTGTACAAGAAAGCTGAATCGTCGCGGCCAGCCCACGCGGGGGAGATTCACATCAAGTCCCGAATCAAGCCGCTTCCATTTCCAGTTCGGTCAGGGGAGTGAGACATGGAAAAAGATGGAAGGCAAAACACTGCCTTTTATTACATTAGGACAGCAAGAGGATTGCAGCTTACATGAATTAGGCTGTCCCGTCCCGACTCAGCATGCGTGCCGATAGTCGATCACCCCCACAGCAAGTGTCTTAGTGGTGTTTAAGGTAAAGTAGGCCGCTACAAACGGGCGCTGATACGTCAATTCAGCGATATAACGGCTAGCTCTCTGCGCCGGCAGTTTTACAGCAAGTAAGATATGGGAACTGATCCTTGGCATCAGGGCCATATTCCTACATTCGGAAGATATGGCACGAGTGCATTATACTGCGGAACTTTGGACAGCCATGGACACAGTTCTATTCCCTTCTTTCTTGCACTTCAGCTGCCGTGATTAGTGTCCTTACCAATGCACAGAAAACAGAAAAACCCCGAAGGTACATGGAGAGTCCCGGCATCATGTACATGTATTTAAATAATGAGAGCCCCACCTTAGCTGACAATGCATACTCGGCCCATGTCTCTTCCACGGCTCATGTCGTTGCGTCAATCGCGATTCATACTTCCGTCATCACCGACCACAATGGCGGGAAAAGACATCACAACCAACCCTCGCAGAAATTAAAATCATAGGCGACATGACCAGGAACAGGAAGGTCGAGGCCATACTTTTGCTGATTGACAAGCGTTCATGCGCCTGCATCAGCTTGCAAAGTAAATCCAGCCTCGCCATCGTACCTGGCCACCGGCTGACAAAGCTAAAAGACGGCGGAGGCAGTGTTGGCAAAAGAGTTACACCGGGACTTCGCCCTGATGTCGCATCATTGATCGTAAGTCAAAGAATGTTGATGCCCACCCAAGAGCTATACATCTTGAGGCTACAACTTAGGAGCGAACCCATTGAAGAGAATGGGCCACAAGTGGATGCAATTCAAGTCGCCTACCCATATAAAAGAGGTGTCTATTTCTTCTTCGTGAGAGTCTTTAGTTGAGCATGACCATTCACACATGACTCTATGAGCACTCTGGGATCATTACAAGCGATCGCAAGTATCCGAGGAGAGCCGTCTTGGACGACAGATAAAATATGGCAAGTAAAATTGAAATCATCCTTAACGATTCTCAGCTATTTGCCATGAATGCCGAAATGACAGCCGCATACCCAGCACACATTGCCATCATCTCAAAACTCGAGACCTTTAGAGCCGTGGCCACCAAGACAGAAAAAGCGACTATACTGAATCCGATAATAAACAGCTGCGCCATGCTTGAGCTTTCGGACATGACGCCAAGGGGGACAATCAGAAAGGTACTCGTCAGTAAAGTCAATATCAAGCGGCTCATGATGTTCGCCGAATACACCAAGTCCTCATACGACCAACGATGAGCCCGGCCTGCACCAAATGATGCCGATTTCCTATTCTTTTCCCTAGACGAGATTCTCCAGTAGTGTAAATTTCGCAGTCCTCTATGAATCCAGTCTTGCAGAGGGTCGGTGCGAGCTCGAGACATGAGGTCCACTCTGAGGAGTCTTGTTTTGTACATTTCAGACAAAGTCAGGTCGGTCCGCGTGCTGCATTGCTTTTCGTCATCGAGCAGAGAGAAGACCTCCATGTCCATGATTTTGTTCAAGGCAATGAGAGCATTATCTGTCAACAGATTGATTATGAGCATCATGTACATACTGCAAGATCATCGGACAGCAAGAAGACAGAAAACACGAACCATACTGCTCGCATAAAGTGCGGAGCCTTAGGACCAAGTCCTCCGTGATGGTATCTTCAACCCGAGGCACTTTTGCATCTTTCTTGCTATCTTTCAAACCAAGCCTATCGGCGAGGGGATGATCGATGCCAAGACCAAGGCCGGCCTGGTAGAGCTTATGGTCGATTTCGGCAATCTCCTCCTCCAGGAACCGGAGGTTGAGGAGATGCGACGTCTTGAACCGGCGAAATCCATAAAGTGTAAGATCACTGTCATCCGTGGCAGCTTGCCAAAGTTTTGGAAAGTTCTCGGTATATCGCTTGGATTGGGACATGGTGAGTTGGAGATACAAAAGTGAAGACGGCTGAGAGCGCTCTCAGAATGAGGCCTAGGGGTAGGGGATTTGGAGATGGAGAGGACTTTGAACTCTTCCGCACGCTTTCATTTCTCATAGCTCTTGTCCTTATATTTACCACTTGCAGTGCGCCTATGCACATCGCCTACAAGTCTAATGGATTCTGCCTGACACCCGATGGGCAGATAAGGCAAGTCCGATGGCACCCCTGCACCGCATACTCAGCCCCAGATGACGGCGCTTAGATGAATTGGGCAGCGTCAAATGGAATAAGTAAGACAGCCCAGCCTTGCGTTGTCTGCCCGAGTCGTCCTTCTTCTTCCCCTCATTCTCAGCAGCCTAGGACTTTTCCTTTCCCTACCATGTCTTTGGATTGCCTTCGAGATGGCGGAATCCGATCTCAAGCCGTTGAGGCGCCACGATTACCATGTGGCCTGGATATGCCCTGGAGACGATGTCGCGCTCGATCCGGCTCGCCTGCTGTTCGATGAGGAACACCCAAGGCCCGAGTTTGACGCCGACTACGATGACAACACGTACTACTTTGGCACGATGGGTGGTCATAACGTCGTTCTTGCTACCACATCTCCTGGCATGAGGGGCAACGTCAACGCCAGTCGCCTTACGAGCCCCATGTTCAAGACTTTCCCAAATATCAAAATGACGATGGTTGTGGGGATAGGCGGTGGTGTTCCCAGCGAAAGCCCTGCCGATGACGCACTCAAAGACATTCATCTGGGAGACGTCATTGTGGGATGGCCAGGCGATGGGAAGCCGGCAGTCGTATACTATGAATCAGGAAGATCCCTTGTTGACGGCTTTGAGCAGCTGGGTCAGGTAGACAAGCCAGACTGGGTTCTCTTGCAGGCGCTTGCTAAGATCAAGTCCGATCACCGATTCGACACCATAAAACCAACTCCTCGACCTAGAACAGGCTTCAGGGCCAACTTGAACAATCTGCAGCAATACGACCCTCAATACGCATACCCAGGCTACCAGCACGACAAGTTGTTTCGATCCGGCTACAATCACCAGGGACAGAAGGAGGACTGTGCAGACTGCGCGAGTGGCGAGTTGATCGATCGCAAACCACGGGAGGAAAGGCATCAAGGCCAACTAGTTTTCCATCAAGGGAGAATTGGCACTGGCAACTCCGTGATCTTGGATGGGCAGTTGAGAGACCAGATCAGTCGGGAAAACGGCGGCCTTCAGTGCATTGAAATGTCTGCAGCAGGCGTCGACGCCAGCAGGAACTGCCTTGTCATCCGGGGTATCTCCGATTATTGCGACTCACACAAGGGAAGCGCCTGGAAACATTACGCTGCGGCTAGTGCGGCTGTATTTGGCCGAGAACTCCTCAGTGCAGTCCAGCCCAAGAAAGTGACAGGCATGGAAGTGGGTGGTACGAAAGTGAGCGACATGAAAATTGGTTAGTCACAGCTCTACCGTCACAATGTTAAGTTATTCAATATACATGCTCATATCTTGAAAGATCATTTCATGGTTCCCCTTGGCCGGAATGATGGCTTTGTCGAGAGACAGGATATCGTACCGAACCTTCTCGAGAGAGTCCTCCCCAGTTCAAACAGGGACGACTGCCAAAGGAACGCTATAGAAGGCCTCGGTGGTATCGGCAAGACACAGATAGCACTGGAGCTCGCGTATCGCGCACGTACAGAGACCTCTGTCTTTTGGATACCGGCGATGAGTCAAGCTAGTTTCGACAATGCAGTACGCGGAATAGGAAGACTCCTCAACGTGCCCGGGATGGAGGACGATCAAGCGAATCATAAGGATCTGGTCAAGGCCGCTCTCGAAAAGACTACCGATGATTGGATTCTGATCATTGATAACGCTGATGATATGAACTTATGTTTCGATAAAGATGACGGTCTTCGGCTGAGTCAATGGCTTCCCTTCAACCGGAACGGGTCTATCCTGTTCACGACTAGGGACCACGAGGTACCCTCCCGACTCGACATTTCTTCAAACTGTGTCGTGAAGTTGGCAGAGATGAGCAAGGACGAAGCGATCGATCTTTTGAAGACACGCCTGGATGAAACTCAGTTACGCGATGTCCAAAGCACAAATACTTTGATAGACCGTCTTGCCTATCTGCCTTTAGCAATCAAGCAAGCATCCGCATACATGGCACAAACAGGAGATTCAACGAGCACATATCTCCGATACCACCGCGAGTCGAATCAAGAACAAATTGAGCTACTCAGTCGCGATTTTGAGGATCAAGGCCGTTATCCAGGAACCAAGAATGCAATCACTACGACTTGGCTCATCTCATTTGAACATGTCTCACGGAAACATCCTTTGGCAATCCAGTATTTGGAGTTCATTTGCTTCCTTGCACAAAAGGATATACCGAAATCCCTGTTGCCACCAGCAAGCACTGAGAGGGAACAGAACGAGGCTGTTGCCACACTTCAAGGATACGCATTCATCACCAGGCGGGACCATGGGAATTCTTTTGATATCCACCGCCTCGTACAATTAGCCATGCGCAATCACTTGCAAGGAGAACGCCTGAGGGAAACAACTACCATTACGATCCAACATCTGTCAAAAGTATACCCATTTCCCAAGCATGAAAATCGAAGCCTGTGGATGCAGTATATGCCGCACGTTATGGCCGCTGCAGAGGTCTGCAGAGAAGCAGGGGACAAGCACGCTACAATCACATTTCTACACTGTGTTGCAGAAACTTACAGAAGAACCAGCAAATACAAGCAAGCTGAACACCTATTTCAGCAGGAGCTCGAGCTTGCGGAAGAGATGTACAGCCAAAGACACCCCGAAACACTGGCCTGTATGTATTGCCTTGCCATTTCAATTTCCCGCCAAGGGAGATATGGCGAAGCAGAGGAGATGCACCGGCAGAGAATAAAAATTGAAGAAGAAGTGCTAGGTAAACAGCACCGCGCTACGCTTGCCAGTAGGCTTGAGTTCGCCCAGTCAATATACAGGCAAGGGAGATATGGCGAGGCAGAGCAATTGTATCGAAATATGTTGAAAGTTTATCAAGAGGTGCTGGGTAAACAGCACTCACATACACTTACCTGCATGCAAGAACTCACGAAAACAATTCATGCCCAAGGACGATATAGCGAAGCAGAGCAGATGCATCGAAATACATTGAAAATTCATCAAGAGGTATCGGGTCAACAGCACCGACATACACTTACCTGCATGCAAGAACTGGCGAGATCAATTCATCATCAAGGGCGATATAGCGAAGCAGAGCAGATGCATCGAGAGATATTAGAAGTTCGTCAAGAGGTGTCGGGTCAACAGCACCCACATACACTTACCTGCATGCAAGAACTGGCGAGATCAATTCATGACCAAGGGCGATATAGCGAAGCAGAGCAGATGCATCGAGAAATATCAGAAGTTCGTCAAAAGGTGTTGGGTCAACAGCACCCCGATACGCTTAACACCATGCATTGGTTGGCTGTCGCATTAGACAGACAAGAGAAATGGGGCGAAGCAGAGCAGACATATCGACAGGCACTCGCGCTTATGGAGAAGGCACTGGGCCCGGAGCACGACAGAACGATAGGATGCAAGAAAAACCTCCAGAAGTGCTTGGAATCGTCAGGGAAGAGCAGCACTACAGACTGCCGCGAAACACAGAAAGATTTCCCAGAACACGAGGATACTAGAGAAACTGAGCAGCAGGGGCAGAGACAAGGAAGAAAACGGGTTCACAAGCGACGCGCGAAAAGGGTGAAGACAGGCAATTAATTGGGATGCGCTACCAAATTCATTTGCAACGCCTACAATGGAATGCAATGGCTCATTAATTTTCTGAATGTGCAAAACCTGATGACCATTCAGGAGCGTCATGGCCCGATTTTATGCTCCCATGTAATGCCTCGGGAAGTAAACAGCGTTGATGCCAGAAAATCCGCGCCATTTGGTGAGGCAAAGCCTTTCTTGCTCGAAATCTTTGGTCCAAAAATCATGAGCCACTCCTTTCGCTCGCGATCATGGAAGCATCATGGCGAAACCGCCAGGATGCATCAGTCTGTCATGAAAAGTAGTTGGTAATTACTACTTCATTATTCATTGGTCTTCAGAAGTAAGCAGAGCAGTACCTTATCATTCCATGGTCTGGAAGCTCGCTTCCTTGCGTCAGCGTTCCTCTGCTCTTTGATCTCGCGATCATATTTCAGCAGACGATATCTTTTCAAGTGTTTTTACACACAAGTTATAGCTGAGTGTACATGTCTCCACCGGGCGGACCGTAGCCCCGCTTGTGCGATGGGCGTAAGCTATCCGCGTAGATGTGATAGTATACTAAGCTCAGCTAAGCACAAAATTTTCATCAATTACCTGGTGAGATGGCCGAGCGGTCTAAGGCGCTACGTTCAGGTCTTCCTGAGTTTATAATCGTAGTCAAGAAATTGGCGTGGGTTCGAATCCCACTCTCATCAACGTTTATTTTTGCCCTTATTCAAGAACATTTTTTGTTCTTCCTTTCTTTTTCATTTTATTACCCCTCAACTCTAATCAAATATTCATGGCCAAAGCAATGACTCCATTACTCCTTTAACCTATCTAACACAATCGGTTATGCGAATGATTGAAATCAGCTAGGTTGGCATATAGAACACAACGTATACCTTAACTTGAGGTGTCTAGCAATTCACTTCTTATGCGTCATCTAGCTTTGTAGTCTCTACGTTTTTTATGCATCACAGCAGTCATTCATCAGCAATTTATTCCTGCTCTCCCACATCATAACAGGCACTTGAATTTAAAGATGACGGGCGCAATGGTCTCATATAGTCATTAATTAATTCATGAACAGCTGGAGATTTACGCCTATGGCATCGAATTGTCCGTGTCGTCCCTAAGAATTCCAACGCCTGCACACCGGAATATTTCACTTCATCTCTTGCGTGACACTCCCTCAGATCCCAAGGCAGCCAAGGACGCACCGTCAATGCTCTGGGCTATGCGCTCAACCCATTTGTTGGCTCCGTCCAGATCGCCATCGTCCAAGCTCTCAAGTATACCCGGAAAGGCCACGCCCGTGTAGCCAAGCCAGAGACCAGGAGCAAAAACCTGTAGAGTATTGTAAGTCGCCATTCACCATGTCCTTTGGTGTGAGCGTCATCTGATCACTTACAATATGTTTGTACCACGTCCTCCCCGGCAGACCTTCCCCGTCCTTGAGTATGAAACTTTTTTCAATCGCCCGGAAGCGCCGGTTGATCTCTGCAACGCCCGTTTGACTTCTACTGACTACGCCCGCGTGCAATGACACAAGATCACTGCCTTGGACGAGCTTGTCCAGAGCCGCCGTGGCATTAGCAAACTTTTCAACAGCCTTTTCAAGGGGTCCCAGTTCGAGTCCCGTCACTTCTTTTGCCTGCAATATCCCAACGTGCTTCTTGAGTGTAATGGCGTAGTCGTGAGCTCGGAACTGGAGAAGCGGAGTGCCCGCCAGTCGCACCGCCAAGGTACCCCATAACCGGGAAATGGCCAGGTGCTTCTTGAAGCCCGGATCGCCAAACTTTTCCACCCAGAAGAAGCTGTCATAGTTGGAGTGATATGGGTAGACGGCGGTGGGGCGCTGGTCAAAGGTCGGATCCAGCGACGGGATGCCCAGGTGGTGAAAGAAGGCCGTGTAGTCGCTGCCTGTGCCCATGGTATCGGTCAGACTGGCCACTTTCTTTCGGTCCTGTTCATCATGGCGACTCTCATAGCTGGCCCAGTCATCGTATACCGTCTGATGGTCGTGGAGAGGTGAAGGCACAAGACGCATGATCTTTGACAGCGGCTCTGCAAGTAGAGGACTCCCTTTTGCGCCGAGGATTTCTCCGCCGTTGGTAGCACAATCAACATTCAGGTCTGGAGAAAGCACATTAGCAAAAGTCACGGCATGGTCGGAATGGATAGAACGCACATGCAACACAATTGTCACCGAGTTCCTTTGCATGCTCCTCGGCGAATTCGGTAGAGCCCACGAGACCGTACTCTTCACTGTCCCAGGATGCAATGACACTGCAAAAGTCAGCACAGTCGATGAATCCAGCAAGCAACCGCGAGACCTTACAGCTTTCTGTACGGCTTCCATCCGGCCTTGATCAAGCCTCCCAGTCCACGCACAACTTCATTCAAGGCGGTACTTCCACTAACTGGGTCAATGGCCCCGGGAGTCCACGAATCGTGGTGATTCCCAATCAACACAATCTCCTTTGTGCGTCCAGCAACTGTGCCAATGACATTGTAAATCGGCGAGTAACGATACTCGCCGTGATTCAAGAGCGAAACCTTGACATTCGAAGGGCCAGTGCAGTAATCAACTCCAGAGAGAACCCCGCGCCAGCCACCTTCTTCCCCTCCGACCTGTTCTGGCGTGAGCCCGCGCCCATTGAGTGCCTTTAGCAACGGCAACGCATCGGCATACGAGATGGGCAGAGATGGTATATGCGGAATGGCATCCTTGGGATCCTTGCGCTCCGTCCCGGACCCCGGCAAGCTCGGGTATCCAGGCGTGGTAGGGTCCCCGACGGACACGGAAAAGTAGTCGACGCTGCCTCGCTGGACGCTGGTCGGGTGGCGGGCCGGCCCGTCGGGGTACGCCCGATACCCATTGGCCTCGGTGAACTCGCCGTCCTCTTGCGGGTCCGTGTAGATAATGACGGCGGCCGCGCCGTACTGCTGCGCCGCGCGCACCTTGAGCCCGCGGAAGATCTTGCTGTACTTGCAAATGACAATCTTGCCGCGCACCGACACGCCCTTGCTCTCGAGGAGTCTAAAGTCGTCAATGGTGCCAAAGTTGGCATAGACCAGCTCGGCTACGGCCTCTCCATTGGCGCTGAAGCCGTGAAACAGTGGGAGGTTATTGTCCGGCGACGACGTCGGGTCCTCGGGGAGCTCGTCCTCGGTCAGCCCGGCCTCAAAGTCGACTGTGCCATCTTCCGACAGAAGCTTGAGAGACGCTGCACTTGGAAAGTTTTGAAGCACATCGTAGCGGACAAGATCGCTTTGGAGGCCATACGACCGCCAGAGATCGCGAATGGACTCTGCGTGCTTCAAGTCGCCGGCCAGATGCGGTGTTGCGCTGTACGTCTTTGACCAATGCTTGAGATTATCTGCAGTGGGACAGGCAAGCATGTGCCGCTCAACTTCATCTTGGGCTAATGTACGCATAATGGAAGAGAAAAACAATTGAATTGAAAGAATTGAAATCTCCAGTTACCACATCTCTGTTCGCTTAAGTACGAAAGGGATATATGGTGGTACAATGTATCAGGTGAGTTCGGGTGCTGGGGGTTGGGTGTGTAACGCAACCGGTGAACCTCCGATCGGCACCGGAGGGCCGAGTCCGAAAGTACTATACGTTGGGGCAGTTTCCAACTCACGCGTGCTCGTATATTTTGGAGTTGTACCTGGAAAATTGGCACATTTCACAATTGGATCTCTCATTTGTCTCATTCAGCTCAAAAGCTTGCGCCTTCTCATTGTCACTGATAAGAGCTACTTACACGTATATACACAATGAACACAAACACGCCGCAAACGAAAATAGCCCGAAAAGCCCACATGCTAAGGCCAATTGCCAAAACTACAACTGAGCCCCCTAAATGATTCCTTCATAGGACAGACGGTCAGGATCGAAGCCGTAATACCATCTTGACCCGACACTGCCAATTGACCACGGCACAATCCCTGACAAACCCATGCAATGATGGCGTAGCTCGCACTCCTTGATGGAATGAAGTTTTTCGATGCATGATCGACTCAAACACGTCCAAAGGCATATGGCATACAGTTTGAATCAATATCATGAGTTCTGGGTCGAGCTCGAAATGCCGCAGAAACCGGTGCTTGGGATTTATGTAACTCACAATAAACATTAGCATACTCAAGTAGTCTAGTACATCGTCTACGTCCATCGTTCCGTCGTCATCTCTGTCATCTTTGCTCAACTCGAAGCATGAGAATCTATTTTATCCCCAGAAAACAACTGTCAAAAGCCAACAGCCAGTGCTTAACCATCTCGCATTGCAAATTCTGTTGCTGTCAATAATAACGTGTACAGAGTCGTGCACTCTGTCACCTAGAGACCAGCTGTGCACAGAACCGAGGGTGGCCAATAGCCAAGAAATGAAAATACTTGTCGCCGATGCATATGCACAAGTTTAAGGTGCAATAGACTTCATCAAAAAGAAGACGTCGTGCATCACTATTAGAAAGCCGGTCAACGTCACCATTGGCGTGTTGCACTATAAATCCGGCTTGTAAACACCATCCTTGCACAGCAACACCACGTTCTTGAAGAACCTTCGCCATTCCAGCGGATCGCCCTTGACCTTTACGAACCTCACTTCCAGCAGTTCTTGATCGCCCTGCAAACGAATTCGATCAATGATGATCTCACCGTGGAGACTCTGCTTCCGGCCGTCAACAGTCTTGACTTTGAGCGTTGCCACAAGATCGCCCTGGCCCACATAGGGGGCTCCGTTTGGCATGGGAACGTTGAGATTGTGTAAGGCATCGCTCAGCATCTGGACCAGAAGCTGAGGGGGCATATGTGAAAAGAAGCGCGTGAAAGCATGGGCAGGCACAATGTCTCTGAAGCGACGAGCTCGTTGAGTCAGCGACATGATAACGCCAGGTGTCTTTGAGAATTGTGACATGGAAGGTTCTTCGGCGAGAGCGTCAATCAAGCTGCCACCGGGAGTTGCTGAATAAGGTCCAACTGCATCAATGCGCGAGACTGGCTGCGTGGACGAGACTGCAGAGGTACCGATGGAACGGAGCGTCGGCCGTTCCCAATCGAAAAGCACATCGTTGATGGGCGTCTCTGGCTGCGTCGCGGAAAGGTAGTTATTCGAGGATGTCGAGTCAATATCCATGGCATCAACGCTTTGTTGCGACTGACTCTGAGATGCCGAAGGACGTTGAGTGAAGTCTATGTGAAGATTCTCCAGCATGACTGTCGCAACATTCAAGGGATCCGAGATCTGGCCATCCGAGGTCAAGAATTTGTTCTGCCGTGTATACCAGGGATGCTGTCGAATCCGAGCAAACGAGAAACGCTTCGAAGGTTCCACACTCATCATGCCTCTCAGTAATGAGAGAGCATCAGCGGGGACCTTCGTCCAGAGCTTATCTGAACTGCGTCCGTTGCTCTTGAGATACTCCTGGTACTCCCAACTAGTTGCAGTAGGTTCATCCCATGGCGTGTTTCCCACAAGGAGGACAAAGAGTATAACACCGCATGACCAGATATCCACCACATCTGGTGAGTATTTGCTGGCCTTTTCGGATCTACCACAAAGCAGAACCTCGGGAGCGATATAAGGAGGGCTACCGCACATAGTGGAGCTCTTCTTTCGCTGGCCCTTGTACTCAAACATGGTGGCCATGCCAAAATCCGCCAATTTTAGATTGCCGTTTTCTGACATGAGGATGTTCTCTGGCTTCAGGTCCCGATGTGCGACTCCCTTGCTGTGCATGAAGCTTACTCCACTGACAAGCTGTAGGAAATACAGGTGGGCAATATCCTCAGTGACGCCCACGTCGGCCTCGATCTTGTCGAACAAATCACCACCCTCTGCATATTCCATGGCTATCCATCGCCAGACTGAATCCTCACCCGTGGCGAACCACTCAATCACATTAGGATGTTGACCAATATGTGAATGTAGCGACACTTCCATGGCAATCTGCTTGGCAGATATGCGACCTTGCTTGACAGCATATCCCTTGTGAATAAGCTTGACAGCAAATATTGGTGTATCTGTGTCCAGAGGTTTTGCCTTTTTGATTCTACCAAATTTCATTAATATTGGTGAAAAATTATTTGCGGGAGTAGCAAAAGGGTCGAGGAGAGGAGAGCAGAGGGGAAAACAAGATGGGGAGCACCTACGATGCATAGGCTCCCCTTCCGATGGTTTTTGACACTATTCGGAAGGGGAGGTCATTCGGGAGAGGGTCCAGTTGAGAGTGTTGCATTGTGTTAGTGGTGAAAGCTGGCACTCAAGCAGCTTTTGCCGAGATGACGAAATAGCGTTATGAGTGTGTCATGAACCGGCCAGTGCTCGTAGGCAGACAGGCAATCCTTTAGGTAGACACCAAACTAGTCAAAGTAGAGGCCGAGTCGACGTGGTAGCCAGCCAAAGCAACCAATAAGAGAGATTGAACAATGTGTGCATACAACAACTCTCGGTCTCAAAAGATACCCAGAGAATGACGCGAACACGGCAACATAATCGCATCCATCACGCGTCGAGTCGCGTTTTTGAAGAAAAATCCATTAAACTTTCGCCAATGTGAGTCCTTTTGTTTGATGTCACCCCCAGGCCGCAGCTGATTGAGGGGTGTCGATTGGCTGGGAGGAGAGCCGATACCAGAGCCCCGCCAATCATCACCGGGGTCTGTAGTGATCCTTGTAGCCCTTTTAGCTGGTTTAGTGCTTAGCGCAACTGCCTTTTAGCGGGCCGCCAGATCTACTAATCGTGGTTGCCCTGGGCCACTGGGTTGTTGACAAGCGCTACTCGTGGACCTCCAGTCTGTTGAAACTGAAGGAGAAGAGCTTTGGGTCGTTCTTCTCTGCGCTGCCCAATTCAGCCTCTTCATTTACTCCTCTGCTCATTGCATCTTACACTTCCCTGTCTTGTGACCCGCCAGACAAGCAACTACTCTCTTCCCCTGTTGTCCTCTAGACTCGTTGTTTTTTCCTCTAGTCTTCTGTTATCTACAGCAGAAACCACACAGACGACAAGAACACACAAGAGGTTAGTGATACTCGAGCTCCAAGACATTGTTTCCTAGCCACGCGCATGCTGCATTCTCAATAGGGAAGAACAGCATGCTTGTATGTGGCTGCTATCACACAATCTTCTTTCTTATTGCAATCTGTACCACTTAAAGCTGCCCATTCGGGATGGAAGCAAATTGCTAACCAGTAATCGAAATGCAGCATTGCTCTCGGCATCTTCTCTGATACACTTTTCCCGCGCCTTGTCTACAACGGTACATTGATTCCGGACTCGGGGGACCTTTGTCTTGCAATACTGTAGGACTTTCAACGGAATAGCAGGAGAAACAAGTTCCTTGCCCAGAAAACCAGAAAAGTCACCAAGCCTACAAGATGGATTTCTCAGAGGAGAACAGCCAGAACTCGGCTCCTGGTAGCATCCAAGCAGCCAAGCTCGGTGGTGCTCGCAAGGGGCCCGACTCGCAAAGCGTGAGCAAGCGGTATGTATAGCCTGCAGCCTCCTCAAAATCAATTGCTTGTCTGGTACGGACAGGATAGCCATGCTGATGCCGTGTTAGTCTTCAAACCGAGCTGATGCAACTTATGACTTCGCCTGCTCCCGGCGTCTCTGCTTTCCCTGGCGCGGACGGCAATCTGATGGCATGGGCGGCCACCATTGAAGGCCCCGAGGATACACCTTACGCTGGCTTGACTTTCAAGTTGTCGTTCGCCTTCCCCAGCAACTACCCGTACGCACCGCCGACAGTTCTGTTCAAGACCCCCATTTACCACCCCAATGTCGACTTCTCGGGCCGTATTTGCCTCGACATCCTCAAGGACAAGTGGACCGCGGCATACAATATCCAGACTGTACTTCTAAGCTTGCAAAGTTTACTGGGAGAGCCAAACAAGTGAGTATAGCAGGAACATATTCGGCTACAATTTTTCTCGAGGCATGCTAACACATTGTTCCAACAGTGCATCGCCACTCAACGGAGAAGCCGCTGAGTTATGGGACAAGGATGCTGAGGAGTTCAAGCGGAAAGTCCTCGGCCGTCACCGAGATGTAGATGACGACTAAACCACATAAGTCAATTTTCTTGCTCGCGATCTTGTACATGGAGGGCATTCTTGCATAGCCTGCGTGGAACATGCTGATAAAGCTACTGGCAATGTCATGGCTTGTCAGCACCAGGCGAATTGGAGTCAGATTGAATTTCTTCGTTTTTCAGTTTTCCCCGTTCCTATTGTTTTTTCTGGCCCGCCCAGTTGGTGGGCTCTTCGAGATGGATGTCTCCGCATGTGGATTACGCGCAGCACCAAGTGCCTGATGGATTACGTTGTCTGCTGAACTAAGGCATTGTTTTTGTTTACTACTGGTTAGGAAATCGCTAGGACTACTCGGACCCAAAGTAGGAGATAGGAGTCTTGGTTGACTTTTGAGTGGCTACCCGGCAATGAAGCGTTCCTACAATTCTAGCATCAGTGTAAGGACCATACTTTGATCCATATATGTACAGCGTGAGCAATTCAATAGCGTCATTGTGCGTTCGGTAGCGATTCAGGGTATTTGGTGACTGGTGACTGGTGGTTAAAACTAGACTTCCTCCTTGCTCGCTTTGCTTGCTTATTCTCAGATGACTGTGTTGGAGCAAATTGCTAACCGATCCAAGCGTTAAGTGCAGCTCTTGTCACAATTCCCCTACAACACGGTGCTCCCACACTAGGCAGATATATGCCAGATGGCATGCGGTGGACGATTTCGGAACCGGGATTGATATGGCTTTCACACGTCTCATTTCATTTCAGACTAGTGAAGCTAGAATCCATATTGTCGTAGAAAAGCCAGATGGAACTCCGTTACCATGCCCTTTCTCGAGCGACTCTGTATGTTTTGGCAAATCCCAATCCGACCACAACAGAATAGACGTACGCTCAGTGAGAGAAGAAACCCTTTTTGTCGCCTTTATGCCAGCCCCGGCCGTCACAAAAACATCACGCTTATTCCTCAACGACAACGGTCACCAGGCCCTTGGGGTTCTTGACGTTGACGGCCTGGACGTAGCTGTAGAGCTTCTCCTTGGCGTCCTCCTCGTCGTTGCGTCGTCGGCTGATGCGCACGCGGATTCTGTAGGGGACACCCTTGACACCCTGCTCCCACACCTTCTTGTTCAGCTGGGGGTCGATGCGGACATCAGTAGTTTGCTGTTATGATTTGTTAGTCAAGAGCTTTCCTTCTCGCAATGGCGCAAATAGAATTTCGTCTGGAAAAGCAAACAAGATGTGGCGACGTTGGTGTAACTAGTGCAAGCTCGGGAATCGGGTCTTCGTACCATGGCCTTCTGGGCAAACTCCTTGATCTCCTTGATGGCCTTGGGGGCGCGCTTCTTGAAGGAGGCACCATGTAACTGCAAGAGAGAAAAAAATCCGTCAGCACTTCTGTCTCCTCATAGCTGGATCGTCCAATTCTTCTATAGTCTTCCTCCTCGAATTGTCGCACTGGTGGCGGTAGGTGATTGTGAGAAACGTACTCTCTTGTGGAGGTGGATGGTGTACTCGCGAGCGACAACCTGGTCGATGGCGGACTTGCCGGCGGTCTTCTTTCCGGACGACATTTCTGTAATCGCAAAAAAGTCAATTTCTGGGCTTCGTTTCGTGTTTCTCGAGAGGGTTGGCGCTTACTGCTGGGTGTGGTGCTGCCTGGGCGATTAGTAGTCGAAAAGTTCGTCCTCGGGTGATGGAGTTTGGGTGATCGCGGCTCAATTTCAAAATCTCAAAGAATGGGCTGTGGGCGCTGGAAGGGCAGAGTGAATTTTTCGGCTAGCCAGCCAATCAGTGAGGGGCAGGTGGGAGCTGATTCTGTGGCCCGAGCTTGAAGGCACTTGGGGCTGCATCAAAAGTTCATGGCAGCTGGTGGGACCGGCAGCTCAAAGCTGGCAGGTGGTGTCCAAATCCATGGGAAAACTCCAAGAACTCTATCCACACGCAATCTGAACTAGCGTTGAGCACAGCCACAACCGCCAACCACTGCTGCTGCCGCATCATCAAACGAACGCCCCAGAACGTCAAAAATCCACTCCTCGTTGCCCAGTCCGGGCTCTAGCCTCACTCATTCAGGTCACCTACCAATTTCATGCAGGGGTACCACCAAGTGCCTTGTCAATCAGTGGTTCATCAAACACACGCCTTCATTTGCTCCGCGCAGGCTTTTGGCTGTTCCAATCCCTCACTCAAACAGCCAATTCTTCGTCCGTGCCGACGTCTCGTCTCCTTTCGTCTTCTTCAAACCCATCACAACTTTTTTGACGCCTTGCGCGTCATCCGCTCGCTACCCGATTATTTTTCACAACATTTCCCTTTTACCTCTCCGCATGCGACTGGCCAATAATCTGCCATTCCGACGACGCACACCTGCATTCGTACTTCAGCGCCAACGCCAAATAGACCAAAGAAGCTTCCACTAGTTTTCACCAAATACAGTTTGGCACTTCCTTCTGTCCCACTCTTGTCGTCAACTCCAGCCCCGAACGAAGCGATTGACGCACCGAGTCACCTTATCGCAGGGCCGCTCCAAATCAACAAGAGGGATCACGCAAAGTGCGCAAAGCTAGCTCGGTAAACAATTGATAAGGAAACTTTCCTTTTATCTACGTTGCAGGTTGCCGTCATCAATCGCAATGGCGTACTCAGGACACACTCCGCCAGAGCCCATGGGTCGCAGTCCGACTCCTGGCTCAACCGTCGACATGCCTAGGAACCGATTGCCGACTCTATTCGAGGTGTTGGCCCGACGGACTCAACCTCCCGTTGACCTGTTCTCTTTCTACATTTACATGAGAGATCAGCAACGTTCCGTTGATTACTTGGATTTCTGGTAGGTTTGCAATATAGGCAAGCGCGGACTGCCTTCTTCTGATGCTGATGCTTGTTCCCTAGGCTTGATGTTGCCCAGCACATGTCGCTATGTCGACACTATGTTCGGGAACTTCGACGATCAGTATTGGTGGGGACTCCGGACATAGAGAAGGATGACAAGTCTAAGCGCTCCTCCATGGCCCTGGAAGCTCTTGGCGATGTGAGGGACTCGCCAGCTGGGCCGTCGCACTATATCAACGAGAAGGAGCGGGAGCAGAATGCCCAAATGTCAGCCTATCTTCGCGATCAGCCTCCGACTCCAGGAACACCAGGTGGAATCCAAGAGTCTCCCGCCAGCAGTCAAGAACGTAGAGCACGTGCCAGCACGCAACTCAGCTCTCCCCGCAACATGACCACGGATTCAAATTCGCCGGCACACGCTGTCTCTAGGGAGGATATTCGGGCGAGTGCCGAGAGAATTCTGTTCACCTTCTTGATTCCTGGTGCAGAACGAGAAATTACGTTGCCTGGATCCATTACTCACGATATCACGACCGCCATTGAGCAGGAAGGTCGAGACGACCCAGAGGTATTCGACGTCGCTAAAGACTACGTTTTCCAAGCCATGGAGCGCGATGCTTTCCCCGGATTCCTGCGAGCACGCGCTCTGGGCAACTTGATTCCGCCAACCATTGTGGCTAGGCTGATCATTGGTCTCGTCTCCATCTTTGGTGGGTTTTGGACAGCATTCGTGCTCATATTCCTTAACATGTCCAGAAGTACACGATGCTGGGTAAGTCTTGATTATGAGAGCACATGAATACCACCAAGAAACTGACAAGATTACAGGTGATACTGCCTTTCACTGTTGGCGTCTACTTTCTAGCCTCCTACCAGTACTCCTTGGATCCGCTGATGGCCATTGCCGGCTATTCGGAGTATACAACGTTCAACTTTACCCGTATCAGAGAGCCCTATGTCCGCAAGTTGCTTATCAAGCGATCTCTCATGGTGCTTGCTGTCACTGCACTCGTTGATGCTGCACTCTGTGTGCTGTTCATCCTTGTTCCAGGAAAGAGGCTCTAAAGGGCAGACTGTAACCCTCACTACCCTGTGACGAAGCCAGCACACTAGGCATTATACTCACGACGTTACGAATCTCTTTGCACCCAGGCTTTGAAACATTTGTTTCCTGAAATTGACCTTTTCAAGCCAGCAGCATTTCTTCTTTTTCTGCGACCTTTTTTGTACTTGGCGAACAAGACCGGATATAATACGATAATGCAGTTTTGACGCCCAGATTGCTTGCAGCACTTGGTCAGCGATCATTCAATCCATTCCTTCAGTCGATAGATTCTGGTGTCTCTAGGCGTTTCTGCATTGAACTTTGGTCGATATCCTCAAGCAGCATTGGAATTTACTGGGACAAAAAATTTTCTCAACACATTTGATATCAGCGTTTCTCTATGGGAGAGGAGAAAAATAGGGACAATAGGCTCGGGAGTTCATATTTGATTGTCTCCCATAATCTTTTGTACTAGTAGTCTTTGAGTCGACTTGAAGTCACTGCCAAAGCTATATTCAAGAATCAATGGAATCAATAATTTCTGAAGCTCGTGACCCCCTAATTTGATTTTGCGTGAGGATTAGAAACAAGCTATTGCGAGAAGTCCAAAGTTGATGAGCAAATCTTATACAGCGCGTGATTTTGTTCCAAGAATTGCGCCTCTATCTGCATTGTCACTTGTATAAGGTCATAAATCTGCATCTGTAATGAATTTGATAATTTGACTTGTTCTTGATAAGATAGCATTATGTCTGTTTCTTTTTAGAAAAGACACGCGATGAAAGAGCCAGCAAAGATGACAGCCGAAGGACTGGGAATGTAATCCATTAATCACTATTTATCATCCCATGAAGTCTTGGGCCATTTCCACCTTGGTTCATATCCATCATGCCTCGTATCAGCCATATCGGCAATCATCACACCAAACCATATGCATGTTCTACTAAACCATGAGGTTGCCATCTCCATGATGGCATGCAGTTTTTCTGTGTTGGCTCCAATCTTTCAATAAGATCAGCCATACTGATGCTGTAATACGCCGCAAAATCTACCGGCCATCTAATTTCAGTGGTTGCCTCATTAAAGCACCTTTCTAGAGCTTTCGCCGGCTTGCCCGTTTCTTTCCTCCCGACGTTCCTGCCATACTGTCTGCAGGGCCGTCTTCTGGATCGTCTTCATCATCGACGTCCATCTCATCAAAACCTGCATCCTCAAATACGTAGGCCGCCGAACCGGGGCGCTCTCTCTTACCACGACCACTTCGGAATGCCGCGGCAGCACGACTAATGAGCCTTGGCTGGTTGTGGCTGTGTGCGCCGTCCTTGCCCTTGTTGTCCGTATCTGCCTGAGCGGCAACCAACTTGTCTGTTTCCTCTTTCCATTGCTTCTTCTCGAGGTGGCGGGCGGCTGCAGTCTCCTTTATGGCCTGAATTTGTGCCTCTAAATCAGCGAGCGTCGATGTACATCGGCCCGACCATTCCTGCAGGTTGGCTAGCATGGAGGGGATAGAACCGGGTGCGAGATCTCTCAGGGGTGACACCGAAGAGACTAATACTGCCTGGTTGCGAGGGTCGAGCTGGGCCTGGATTAGGTCGGCATAAATAGCGCTGATAACCAGCTCCTCCACGGCACGAGCGTCAGTCAGTCCCAAGGCGGACTGCAGGGACGCATAGCTGAGGTTGTGCGGGTTCTTTGCGAGAGTCAGCAGAGAGAGCTGGCGGAGCTTCAGCGTTTGCTGCTCGTTCAAGGCGGGCAGGTCAGCCTTGCACATGTAGTCGGCATATGTGCCGTATGAGAATATTTGTAGTTGGGTGAAATATGCAGCATATTCTGGGGACTCTGCTAGAGCTTGAATCTGGGGCGTCTCGAGAAGCTCGGCGAATACGTAGGTGCCAGATGCCGAGGTGGCCCTGGTGACCAAGTCGGCGGCAGCGCGGGGTGCAGTTGCAGACTTGGTGAGTACGATGAAGGGCTAAATTAACACGACAGTCAGTTCTGTCTGCTCATTACTAGACATGAGATTCCCAAGGACTTACCTCCAGGGCATTCAGAGCCTTGGTCTGCTCCATGGTGAAATGTCACGAGCTTCGACCCGTTGCAAGGCTGAAAATGACGTTTGGGAGCCTAGAGTAGATTCACTGTATCACGGTTGAATCTGTAGCCTTGCGCCGAATGAGGTTTGGCGTAATTATGCTGGGACGTCTTTGACAAGCCTATGGATGTTGCTGTAAGCGCCGTGGGTATGTGTGGTGATGGTTTGCACAGTTGTATCAAAGCACCCTGAGGTTGTTTGAGGTCCAGGTTTGGGGTCAGCCGTTGTGAAGTCGTTCTTGTATCAAGAGCGTTTGAGCTCCCAAGGCGCCAGGGTAACTGTGAGAAGAGCTAGGTCCAAATCGATCTAGTTGGTAGCGGGGCAGGCGCCGCAGCGGGGTGAGATCTTGCAAGCTAACGCCCGGGAGCTAAAGCACACATAACTAGCAGCACAGGTACTACACTGGCATGCGGCATACATTGTAGCGATGAAGAACACAGAATGAGTACATTACCTATTACACGGCAAGGTTGCAATCACTACTATATTCCGATCGTATGACGAGCAGATAATCTTCTATGCCGTGGTCTTTATCAGAACCTTTATAGCACGGTATTTCATGCGTGTACCAAAAAGTAAGTCCACAGACTATCGGAGCAGCTCATTTGTAGTAGAAAGCCCATGAAGGTGATGTTTTTATGAACACAAAAGAGGGATAAGTATGAAAATTATTGAAGGATGCCGAAGATTAAGCATACTTTAGCAAGCGAGTCAGCGAGTCGTGTCAGTGCACTTCGAATAAACGTCCCATCCAAACAAGCCTTTTCTTCACAAGGATTCTCTAAACACGACCAACCGGCTGTTTCCCGCCCTCCATATCATTGACAGTGTATAATACAGTATGCGCCGGGGTTGGGCTTGTTCCCCTCGAAAGGTCCGACACCACCACAAAAAGACGCTATCGAAAAGCAAGAAGCAGAAGCGGCTGAATATTCTTGGATGGGTGTGCTAAACCGGCTGAGTATGGACTTGGCGGTAAATTGGTAAGCGATAATAGTGATCCGGATATAGCTGCTAGGAGAGGACACGAAGTCGATAAGCTGACGACGCCTTGGCTGGATCAAGTCACAACGCCCATGCGACCCAGGGACCTGCAGATAACATTCAATATTCGGCTTCAATGTGCAAGGTACGGATCTGCCGCCAAGCTTTGAGGATCCTCTGAGTATATTGTTCACATGTCTGGGCGAAACAATTTTGTCAATTCTGGGGAAGCGAAACAAGTGGTCGAGGTCCCTCTGGAACCCAACCTCAGTCCGGTGGGTTGAATACATTCAGTGTCTATCTACACGAGGTCATGGTAATCAGGTTGAGCATGAGCCAATATTTCAAGCTCGGTGATAATTCTGTATGCAATTGCGCACCTGCGGCTCGGCATCTGACCATGCTGGGTGGCGGGCCAATACCGTCTTACAAACCAACCTCGTAAGATGGTTAAGCATTTCCGAATACTATTATGTATCTTGCCTCTTGACTTTGAGAGTTGTTCAAGTGTGTTTGTTATTATACCGTCTGAAAACATGAGGCGGTCAAGACATCACCATAGCAATGCCCATAGGCTTTTGAGTCGCAGGAGATATTCTTCTCAACCTCCACAATATTTGCAGAACGGAAAGTTTCCTCACAAGCGGCCCTATGGTTGGGCCCTCGGTCGTCTCGGTGAGCTTAGAAATAAAGTGGAGGTGAGATTCTAAATGCGACGGGGATGCTTGGGATGCTGATGCTGACCCAGAGACAACAGCCATTCATCCTCCGAAATCCAATGGACTCGCCCGTATTTTCAGGCGGATATCATGGGTGTGGGCATTTGACTCGACGCGAAGTGGTGGCTGAGAACAGTCGCAAGCAAATATCAGTAGTGCTTTTAGTTTTCTCAATCGTAGCAATAGGTATCAATCAATATTTGCACATACTTACTCAGTTTAGCCAAGAATGAAGCTCGAGAGCCAATACAACCTAGAGTAGCCTTTTAGCACCAAACATCTACCGTACCTAACAATGATATCCACCTCGAGAAACCCCACCAAGCCCACGAATGACAACTGCCATTCACGAGGGACATTTCCGAATTCTGCAATTTAGCCTGGTAGAAACTGGCAGTGCTGGCATCAATTGTGGATGGAGCGACACATGGAAAGGGAAAAAAAAAATTGCCAAAGCCACCAAGGCCACGATTGAGACCCCTGGACAAGCGCGTGCTTAATCAAGGCTTGTTCATGTCCGTGGTTCTTCGCACGGTCCGCTGAACTTACGACGAGGGCCCGCTTCTCGCTGGGTGCTGACGAAACCCTGCAAAAGATCATCGATCAGCGACGTTTCGCGAAGCTGGCCACTGCTGCTTCCAGGGCCCCGTCCAGCCAGTCCTAGCCAAAAGTCAACATTGTCCCCCGTTTGCAATGTACCCATGTAACGATACTCCATACACACACACATACATGCATTCTCGTCTCATTTGCGTTCGTTGTCCGTTCTTGTCTGCGCTCACTTGACTTTCACCTCGCCTCCAAACGAATCCTCCGTGCCGCCCTTGTACATACATAACGCCCATCCTTCCATGCGCACATTCGACATACTTAATGACCTGACCGTCGCACCGCTGCACCCCGCCCCTCTTCTCACCAAAAGCTGGACTTCTGGTGACCGACATTGATCTCTGTTGGTGTTTGCTGGCCGGTGCTTGTGCTTCCTTATTTTTTTGAGACAAGAACAAGGCGACTTCTTTGTCAAAGAACCTACCCGCCGCCCACGATCCCGTCCACGCCACACTATTATGCATGACATAGTGTGAATCGGCCGCATCCAGCATAATTGTATATATATTTTTTTGCCGTCCTACTTTGAGCTTCTGGACTCTGCAGGAGCTTTGCGCTCACCCAACTTGAGCTATGGCGCCATCGAATATAACCGTGCCTCCGAGGGGCCCGACCAAGTCTTCCTTGCAGACACCAAAGACTGCGCAATGGGCAACCACCACTCTGCGTGTTGGTGGCATGACGTGAGTCTTTCTTGCGTGCTTGAGATTTCCTTCTTGGCTCAGATTACTAATACAAAGAAACCCATAGTTGTGGCGCTTGTACATCCGCTGTTGAAGCAGGCTTCAAGGGCGTCGACGGCGTGGGAAGTGTCTCCGTCAGCTTGGTCATGGAAAGAGCTGTAGTCATGCACGACCCCGAGCGAATTCCCGCCGAGCAAATACAAGAAATCATTGAAGACCGAGGGTTCGAGGCCGAAGTTCTTGCCACCGACCTGCCGTCCCCTCTCATGAGGCGGGACGACAGCCTCTTTGACGCTGATGAGCAAGAATCAGGACCCGCAACCACCGTAACCCAGATCGCTGTAGAGGGAATGACCTGCGGCGCATGCACATCTGCAGTCGAGGGCGGCTTCTCGGATGTGCCGGGTGTCAAGCACTTTAGCATCTCCCTACTGTCGGAACGGGCAGTGATTGAACATGATGCGTCCTTGTTGCCTACAGAGAAGATTATTGAAATCATCGAAGACCGCGGGTTTGGGGCTACACTGGTAGACAGCGAACTGCAACAACCGGTCAAAAAGATATCGCAGTCCCAAGCAGATAAACCTTCAACGGCCACTACAACCGTGGCAATCGAGGGAATGACCTGTGGCGCATGCACGTCAGCCGTTGAGGGCGGCTTCACCGGACTGGACGGCATGCTCAAATTCAACATTAGTCTTTTGGCCGAAAGAGCTGTCATCACACACGACACGAAGAAACTGCCAGCCGAAAAGATCGCAGAGATCATCGAGGATCGAGGTTTTGACGCCAAGATCTTGTCTACAATATTGGAAACTGGCGATGCGAGTGTTGCCGCCTCGACTGCCCAGTTCAAAATTTACGGCAGTCCGAACGTTGAAGCCGCCACTGCAATCGAAAACTCCTTGTTGGCCCTTCCTGGTGTCAAGTCGGCGAAACTTAGTCTGGCCACGGAAAGACTTACCGTTAGCCATCAGCCGTCCGTCACGGGTCTGAGAAGAATCGTGGAAACGATTGAAGCTTCTGGATACAACGCACTGGTTGCCGACAACGATGACAATAGCGCACAGTTGGAGTCCCTGGCCAAGACCAGGGAGATTCAAGAATGGCGCAGAGCTTTCAAGGTTTCTCTGTCCTTTGCCATTCCCGTCTTCTTCATTGGCATGATCTTCCCCATGCTTATCCCCATTCTTGATTTTGGGGCCTTTGAAATAATCCCAGGACTTTTCCTTGGTGATATCATTTGTTTATGTCTTACGATACCCGTCCAATTTGGCATTGGCAAGCGTTTTTACACTTCAGCGTGGAAATCCGTAAAGCACGGTTCTCCTACCATGGACGTTTTGGTCGTTATTGGTACCTCATCCGCCTTCTTTTTCAGCGTCATGGCCATGGTCGTTTCCATCTTGTTTCCTCCTCACACTCGGCCTAGTACCATCTTCGACACTAGCACCATGTTGATCACCTTTATCACTCTCGGTCGCTTCCTCGAGAATCGCGCCAAGGGCCAAACATCAAAGGCGCTGTCGCGGCTCATGTCTCTGGCCCCGTCCATGGCTACTATCTATGCCGATCCAATTGCAGCTGAAAAGGCCGCCGAGGGCTGGGATTCCATCAAGAGCTCGGATGAGCCCAAGACTCCAGCCCGTGAAGGCAATGCTGCAGAGGAAAAGGTCATTCCTACGGAACTGATCCAGGTTGGCGATATTGTGGTCATTCGACCGGGAGACAAGATTCCCGCAGATGGCATCATTGTTAGGGGCGAAACCTACGTCGATGAGAGCATGGTCACAGGTGAAGCCATTCCGGTTCAAAAGAAGAAGGGTGGTCACGTCATTGGTGGTACGGTCAACGGCCATGGACGCGTCGACTTCCGAGTCACTCGTGCTGGTCGTGACACACAATTGAGTCAAATCGTGAAGCTCGTACAAGACGCACAGACTACTCGGGCTCCCATTCAACGACTTGCAGACACCATTGCAGGCTACTTTGTGCCTATCATCTTGATCCTGGGGTTGCTGACCTTCATTGTCTGGATGGTTCTCAGTCATGTTTTGCCCAACCCTCCCAAGATCTTCCTCTCGGATGAGAGTGGCGGCAGACTGTTCGTGTGCGTCAAGCTCTGCATTTCTGTCATTGTCCTTGCTTGCCCTTGCGCCCTGGGTCTCGCTACCCCTACCGCAGTCATGGTGGGCACTGGAGTTGGCGCCGAAAACGGCATTCTGGTGAAGGGTGGTGCTGCCCTCGAGACCACGACCAAGGTGACGCAAGTTGTTCTTGACAAGACAGGAACAATTACATATGGCAAGATGAGCGTTGCTTCCGCCAAGATCATTCCTCTCTGGCAAGACAATGAGTGGCGCAAGCGACTCTGGTGGTCTATCGTCGGTCTTGCTGAGATGGGCAGTGAGCATCCCGTAGGCAAGGCAGTGTTAGGAGCAGCCCGAACCGAACTTGGTCTTGATGCTGAGGCTGCCATCGATGGCAGTGTTGGTGAATTCAATGCTGCTGTAGGCAGAGGTATCAGTGCCACTGTAGAGCCAGCTTCCAGCACAAGCCGAACCCGTTACAATGTCCTCGTCGGCAATGTTAACTACCTCCGGGAGAACAATGTCGAGGTCTCTGACAAGGACATTGAGGATTCTGAACAGATGAACTCCAAGAAGAACAGGTCAAAGTCTGCATCTGCCGGGACAACCAATATCTTCATCGCCATTGATGGTAAATATGCTGGCCATCTCTGCCTCGCTGACAGAGTGAAAGAGGGTGCCGCTGCTGCGATCGATGTGCTTCACCGCATGGGTATCAAGACTGCCATTGTCACTGGCGACCAACGCTCCACGGCCTTGGCTGTTGCTGCTATTGTCGGCATACCTGATGATGATGTCTATGCTGGTGTTTCCCCCGATCAAAAGCAAGCCATCATCCGACAGCTTCAGTCGCAAGGGCAATGCGTGGCAATGGTCGGCGATGGCATCAACGACTCGCCTGCGCTTGCTACCGCCGATGTTGGTATCGCCATGGCTAGCGGCACAGACGTTGCCATGGAGGCTGCTGATGTTGTGTTGATGCGCCCGAACAACCTCATGGACATTCCAGCAGCGCTCAACCTAGCCCGAACCATTTTTAGGCGTATCAAGCTCAACCTTGGCTGGGCATGTGCTTACAACCTCGTTGGTCTCCCCTTTGCTATGGGCATTTTCCTACCCCTTGGATGGCATCTGCACCCCATGGCGGCTGGTGCTGCAATGGCCTGCAGCAGTGTTAGCGTTGTCATGAGCTCGCTTCTTCTGAAATTCTGGAAGCGGCCTCAGTGGATGGACGATGCCCTCCTCACTGAGAAGGGCAGCATAAAGAGACGAGGCCGTGGCTGGGGTCTTGATGGTCTTGTTACCAAGATCTCAGACCTATTTAGTCGCAGAAACAAGAAGGACGAAGGATACGTGCCTCTTGACACATTGGAGAGGAATGATGTTTAATTTTTTATTTGTTTTGCATATAGCTCGGCGTACTGGAACTGGAGGGGTCTGTATAGGAGAATATTTGTATATTTCTCAGTTCTTGACCCCTCGGACTATCCCGAATGGCTTTTCCTTTTAGTAAATGGTCATTGTGACTATTGAGAGTGCCTGTATATATCAACGAAGAGTAAATATGACTGTTGAAAAAAGTTTACATACTCTTGCAGAGCCACCAGTGGATATGACACTGATACAAAACAGATTGTGCTCTTGACATACCCTGAGATATTCCCCCCGCAATCATCCAAGGTGTAGCAGTAGAATTGCGGCAGCTTGGATGACTCAAGCTAATTCGCCGCTAGATGAACCGAATACGCAAGATACGACACGATATGAGACCTTGCTTCTTTCATAATACTTGAGGGCTTATAACATTGAAAGCACCCTTGAATCCAGTGAGGGTGGAAATCCCATCTGGTAGAAGAGCATCAGAGTAAAATGGCCGTATCCCAGTCCCGAACTCTCTGGACTGTCATCATTGCAGCCGCGCCGCTAGCGTGGGTACTCTATACCAAGGCCGTCTACAACGCCAGCACGACGGTATCGTTTACGTTGGATAACACGGACACCCAGAATGATCTGAACAGTGACGTCCTTCCAGCCGAGGTGCAACAGGACAGAGACGCCTGGATCGTGGTGCGCGAGCGCATAGTCTCGAAGCCTTTTCAGACAACGAGCACACGGCAGACGAAGGGAGAGGAAAAGTCCAGATTGTCGGGCCTGCTTGATACCTATCTCCGCACCACCATGCGTCTCTTTACTTATACGCCGCAAGCCTGGCTCATGCGTCGTCTGATGACGGACCCCGAGGCCCGCCGCACGTTTGAGACCGGGTACCTATCCTCGTGCGACTTTGCCGTAGGCGACCGCGTCTGTGGCGTTTACGTCGTGACGAGCCGGAGTGCTCCTCGACAAGAAGAAGACGAAGAAGGGCGCGAGACGGTCGTCTTGGTTCTGGCGCCTCCACAGGGCTGGACGGGACCCGTGGTAAAGGGCAGACTAATTGCCGTGCTCGAGGAGGAGGAGCAGAAGGAGGAGGATATGGAGGGCGGAAACGGCGTCAGGACGATCCGTGCAGTCAATGAGACGGTGCTATGGAGGCGGCGCGAGGGTGAGGCGCCCGTGTTTCTCGAGGGTGCCGTCGGGCGCTGGTTACATGCGTTCATGGTGCAGTGGATGGTTATTAGAGGCGTACAGACCGTGAAGAGAGAAATAGAGATGTGGTAAAAAGCAGTAGCTTGGCGTTGTTGAAACTGGTTTCTAATTATAAATAAAATCCATTCCTCTCTGCTTAGTCTCCTCACATGTTTCCATGGATAGACTCGACGACACTTACACAGGTTTGTTTCCACTCAAGGTTGAGGCAATCAATGCTATTAGAAGGGTACGAACTAAGAATTATAAAGAAAATGCATGTTACGCGCCATAGTGCTTGGGCAACTTCTGATAAACAGGTTGGAAATAAATGACCAACTTATGAGGATACTGCTGCCCGTGGACTCAAACGATTCTATTTTGGACATACTGTGAATATCTTCATCAGTGAACCACACAAGGCACCCAACTGCAAGATGAAAACTTAGGACTTTTCACGTTTCCAAAATAAATACGATATATACCACAAGTAAAGCAACAAAGTCTCTTGATAATATGCGCCTTGAACAAGCAATTCCCAATTTTCCATTTCACGCCTCGCTTTACTAGGTATATCCAGCCCGTAAAAACCCCTAACCAAAATTCCTGTCTAGAAATATCCTTCACAATCACCTTGTAGACAAGATCCGGCATTGATTCTGCTGATTATCATCATTGCCCCCAGCCTCTCTGCGTCTGACATCCACGAGGTGTACGTCAAGAAGAGAAAGACATGGGCTAGGTAAAGCTCATTATACCTCAATGGTGAAATGGCTGATCTGCGAGTAATATGCATGAACCGCCAACTCCAAAAGCCAAATGTCGCTAAATACTTCTCCGCCGTCGAAGCCGCCGATAACGACCAGTCTACTATCGTACAGCACGGCGCTGTGGTAACCTCTTCCACTAGGCGGCAAACCATATACTTTCCGCTTGTCCCAGGTCATGGTGACAAGGTTCAGGAGCAGCACATCATTCGAGTATTCGTTTCCGTCGTGGCCGCCGATGACAAACAAGTAGGACCCGACGATAGTGGCTGTATGGGAAAGACGGCGAAATGTGATGGGAATCGTCACCGACTTCCATATATGTGTATCAACGTCATACACCCACACATCATTGAAGCATTCGCCGCCGTCCGATCCACCATATATAATCAGTTTGCTGCCCACCATGTTTGCTGTATGGTAGCCACGCGCCTTGGGCTTGTTGTCAGTACTAGGGCTGCCCGAGGACGGTCCAGAAATCAGCTTCCAGCTCATCTTGTTGGTGTCTGCCACATCCAGTCTCCAGATATCGTTGAGCGCCCTCACCCCATCTCCACCTCCAAACACATAGATTCCATTCTTGTAGAAGCAAGCCGTGTGAGCCCTACGTGGACTTGGCGTTTTGTCTCCGACAAGCCGTGGGCGCTGCCACCGAAAGTTCACCGTATCAAGCACATAAACGTCATTATAATATGCCGGGCCGTCTCCGCCGCCGAATACTACCAGCTTCTTCCCGACCGCCGTGCACGTCATGGCACGTAGAGGAGCTGGTACATCTCCCACGACATGCGGGCTGCTCCAATGGAATGAGTCGGCGTCCAGGACATACAGCTCGTTGAAGCAGGCACGGCTGTCGCACCCGCCAAACACAAAGATGTTGGAGCCAATGAGCGTCATGGTATGTGCCCGCAGAGGCGTATGAGCGGCTCCTGATTCTGGTGCACGCGACCAGTACATGCCAGAAGAAGGTGCCGGGAGCACATCGGGGGCATTCTTGGGGTCTTGCAGGGCAGGGAAAGCAACGTAGGCCCCGCGCGGCCGCGGCGCAGCGTTCTGTTTTCGGGTCCCTTGGGAGGGGGTCGCCGATGATGACGGCGGTTTACTCACTATGGCCGAAGTTGAGCGTATATTCGTCGGGCGCTTTCCGTCAGCTGTCCCATCGGTCGAAACACTGGCCGAGTCTTTTGTGTTGTCCGGTTCATTGCCTACTGGAAACGATTTCGATCCAGGTAGAGGTTGTGTGGGGACTGTTGTGCTGTGAACTTGCTTGGTCGAGACAGACTGGGAGCGCTGCCGTATGGAGGACTCGGAAGTCTTTCGTCTGCTATGGCTTTGGCTTTTGGAAGAGAGATGGCCGGGTGTATGACTTCGTATAGGCAAAGCACGGTCTCGTGACTCGTCGTGCTCGGCATCTGACGAGGGCATTGAAATCTTCTGTGACCGAACCGTCTTGGTCTTTGAAGTGGGCGATCGGTCGGCCATGGTTGGGTTGTTTGTGCCTATCGTAGAGGGGGCAATGATTGCATTCTAGGTGCCAGTGTCGTAGGATCCGCGTAGTGGGACCCGATGTGGCTGTTTTGTGTATGGTCGTTGGGCTGTAATAATAGCGAAAGTCTGGTCTGTTTCAACCGATGAATTGTTGTATGAAGCGCGACGCCTTGGATCAAGAATCCACAAGTCAATTGCTTTGCTTTCGCAACGTCGTCGAGGCTGGACAGGTTGTGCCGGAAGCTTTCGTACCGAGCCGGGTTGCTTGCTTCGAGGCGGCCCACGATGACGGTCTAAGCCCCGTGGTGTCTTTCTTGTCTTGGGTCCAAGATCGGTAGGTAGGTATACGTTATCGTTCTTGGCGGGCAAGCGTACACGGTATGGCGGGTTTGGGTTTCTCAAGAAGACACTCCCTTGAGCTGCAATTTTCGTACCCGAGAGAATGAGTGAATTGAAAGTGCACGGGACTGGCGACGACGACGACGACGACGACTGACGACAACTCAGCAGCTGGGTTTTTTTTGGTTTCGTAAATTGAAAACGAATTAATGCAACTGCGCCAGCCAGCCAGCTCGGTCGTGCAGCAGTCTGATTGTTGGTTTGGCAATGGCCTTTCAATGGTTCCAGATCTGCCCCTCTAGCCCCTCCAATACGGGTGGGCGGCGGGCCCGCTCAAACTGGGCTTCGGCTTCACAGGGTTGTCGAGGTGCCTGCCCCTAGCAGCCGCTAAACTTGCACTTGAGCCCGGGGGCTACGGGGGGCGGAACGGTCACTCCAAAGAGTGCCTGGCCTAGGCCCCAGACAGACAGAACCCCCCGACCCCTTGGTTGTTCGCAATGCCCTACCAGCCATGGATCAGCCGTCGGACGATCACAGCTTTTCAGGGGCGGCTCGTATGCGGTTGCCGACGGCGGCATCATGATAATTGAGTGTGTGTACGCACATGTATGTTTGCTTGTCCAGGCGCGTGTTTTTGTTGGTGACTGTCGCAGGGTTGGTTGCATTACAGCGTGATATAATTTGGCGCTGACAAAGATTAGCGTCTACGATTATAAGTGACAGAAGATATAGGCCAGGGCATGTCTCCAGGTCACCTGCTCGCTAACCCGGTTGAAATACTTTACCCCGCGAGGAACTCCATCAGTCGCAGTTGCTTGCCCGTGCCATGTGATTACCTACCTCTTCCAGCATGTACGAGTCTGTCTACTCATCATCAGTGATGCAAAGATTCCCGGAAGTCTGGTCTGAAAGGATTGCGGGTAAGGAAAAGTCCGCGGCAAGGATTACTATAATGGTACTAACATGTTGGCAACCCATGGTAGCAGCCGTGGATATGATTGACGGGCGATCCAAGAGGCCCCTTTGTAAAATCGTGTCCTCACATGTACGTCCGTGGCCCGTGTAAGTATTGTGATGGAAGCCTCTTAAGTAAAGGGGCCACAAGAATGTGGTTCTCGAGTTTTCTAGACTTTGGGATTGACTCGACGGCTTGTTTCATGTCTCATTGGCGGTGTAAATCAAACTTGAGGTTGTGAATACTGTTCCCGAGTATAAAAGTACGCATTTGCAAAGGTAATGGTAAACTTCTTGGTGAATATGAAATCCGCGCAGATGGTTGGATATGTAGTTTGTCCAAGGTAGACAGACACTCACTTCATGCTTGTCTGGTCTCGCTAGCTGACGAGCATTTTCGGACTTTGCTATTTTACAGGAACCCATCATTTTGGCCGTCAACAGTCAATCGTCGGTAACAGATTGCCGATTATATGTAATGAACCTGACTGAGCTGGCCAAGCTCTGTTCTCATGCTATAATGGAATCTCTCACATACCCATCATTCGGCATAATATCTCTACTAGTACATGGTGCTATGACGTTTGTTTGAGCTCGGTATCAAATGTTTTGATGTATCTTCCAAGCATTGATGCAAGAACTCATATCTATGTACGGCACAAACGACTTGGCAGGTAGATTCTACTTTCCGTTGTATATCTTGGACTCTTTAGATATAGAGTTGATAATACTATATACTACAGCAGAGAACAGTACCGAGTGCCGATGTAGTTTGCTAAGTTTCCAGCCAGCCCTGGACAACTGGAGCAATGTAAGCGAGTCAGCTCGCACAAGTTTGGCGTACAATCAGCAGGGATTAATCATGGCGGCCTGCACGTTTAGCGGCCATATCCAGTGCGAAGATCGACATGCTTGCGCTACGGAAAGTCTGGTAGGTTAGTTGGGTTAGCTTTGTACAGGTGCCCCACTATCCGTCTTTTTTGCCTGCCAAAATTTTGTTCGAAACTTTCGCATTTGATGGCATCAGCTGCAGGCAAGGCAGGTGACCAGAGTATTGGAACATAGCCAAGTTTGCAAAAATGGCCACTGAGGACAACAACCCAGAAGCCATGGATGGTCCAGCATCCAAGAGGCTCAAGACAAGCCACGCCGAAGAAAATGGTGTCACAAATGGCAATGCCGGATCTGATGGTGTTCAGGACTCTGGCTCAGCAGCGGCATCTGGAGCACCCACGACTGAGCGCCGACGAGGAATGGCCCCCATCAAAGCCGAGTATGATCTCCATACAATATTCCATAATTTTGTCAATCAGATTCATTAACTCAAGGCAGATATCTTGTCACGGCTCCTGGTGCAACTAAAATGGAGGTCGATGATGATGCCGCAGAAGCTGGACCTGTAGGCTCGAATGATCCAGTCACTGGCAAGCCAGACCCTCGAGGAGAGAATGGTGGCCGCAGATCAAAAGGCCGGAAGAAGCAAAACGGCCAAAACAAAGCTCGAGACTATGGATATACCGCAGATGCCATAAAGCTCTGCAACAGTAGAGCTTTCAACAACGAGTTTTCTCCTAGGGAATGCAAGTATGGAGAGCGATGCAACCTGTGCCATGACTTGCGCAAGTATCTCAAGGAGGGTCGCAGAGAGGACTTGGACACGATGGGAGGTACCTGTTATGTCTTTGAGACGCATGGCAAGTGCCCCGCTGGCTGGAAATGCCGCTTTGTCAAGAGTCACTCCAAGGAGATCAAGTATGAGGATGGCAGGTCCGAGCTGATTTTGGAGGGAGCGCCAGATGAGTCTACCAGCATGGGTGAAAATGCCGACAAGAGACCAGGAATTGTCAACGTGGCAACCAACGACCAGAAATGGAGCCTCGCAAAGAAGAAGGCCGACCTTGCAAGGTCCGAGACGTACATTGGCTGGCTGAACAAGGACATGGACCGCACGCGAGATCTTTACGGCTCAAAGAATAGGACTGCCGAAGGTGGCCAAGAAGTGATTGAGGAACGACGGGCTCAGTTTGTCGACCCACCCTTCAAGGCATCCGAAAAGCGCAAAATCTACTTTGGAAGGGAAACTCCAGTCCTCGCTCCTCTGACCACCCAGGGCAACCTACCATTCCGCCGCTTGTGCATTGAGCTGGGAGCTCAGGTCACATACAGCGAGATGGCTCTGGCAATGCCAATGGTGCAAGGTAACAACAGCGACTGGGCGCTGATGAAAGCTCACGAGTCCGAAATTGCACCGCCCCGGTTCTCTCCTTCCGATAATGTCGTCAAGGGCTATGATAACTCGAAGGATCTGAAGTTTGGTGCTCAAATAGCTGGCAACCAACCTTGGGTTGTGATCAAAGCAACCGAGGCTCTTACGAAATATCTTCCTCATTTGCGCGTGGTTGACATTAACTGCGGCTGTCCTGTCGATTCAGTGTTTCAGTCTGGCGCAGGAAGTGCACTTCTCGATTCTCCAACGAAATTAGAGCGCATGATTAGAGGCATGAACGTGGTCTCGGGCGAGGTGCCCATCACGGCCAAGATTCGCATGGGAGTCCGCGATAACAAGCCCACGGCTTTCAGACTTGTAGAGCGCTTGGCTCTTGGTGACGAGGATCTGCGCGACAGACTTGGTGCTCCTGGTTGTGCAGCAATCACTTTGCATGGCCGCAGCCGACAGCAGCGATACACAAAGAGTGCTAACTGGTCCTACGTTGCTGAGTGTGCCACACTCATCAAGTCCTATAACCAAAAGCTTGCTGATGTGACGGACACGGCCCAGGCCCCGGATCCAAGTACACAACCAAACAATGGCAAAATGTACTTCCTCGGTAATGGCGACTGTTACTCTCATGTCGACTATTTCAACCACGTTGATAATGCCAAGGTCGACTCGGTCATGATTGGCCGCGGCGCTCTGATCAAGCCATGGATCTTTGAGGAAATCGAAAAGGGACAATATCTCGACAAGTCTGCCTCTGAAAGACTCGAGTACGTTGAGAAATTTTGCAAGTATGGACTGGAGAACTGGGGCTCGGACGAGATGGGAATAGGCTTCACTCGGCGATTCCTACTAGAGTGGCTCAGCTTTACGCACCGATATGTGCCTGTTGGTCTTCTCGAGTATCTGCCACCCAGTCTCAACGATCGGCCGCCTGCCTATCGCGGACGTAATGATCTCGAGACGCTTCTGGCCAGTGACAACTACAAGGACTGGATCAAGATCAGCGAGATGTTCTTGGGGCCTGCCCATCCTGGCTTCAAGTTCCAGCCGAAGCACAAGTCGAACAGCTACGAGATGGAAGCAGAGGGATAGAGACTCGTCCCACGAAATCTGCTCAAGCTTTCTCGTGATGGAAATGTTGTCAACAGGGTTGTATTGACAAATGCCATGTGATATGCTGTCATGCACATCATCTGCAAGGTTCTGTAATTTTGCATAGCTGCACCAGGTTAAAGCTTATACGAATTGAAGAGGACGACTTTGGAGCCCAATATAGACCGCCAATCCAAATACATAGGAATTGAAGGCAACATAACCCATCATTTGATTATATGGTGTAATTAAATTTCCTTGGAGCGGATTGATAAAGTGTAGTCGAAAATGACTTTCTTGCAGTTTCGACGTTATCTGCTGACAACTGAACGTCGGGTACTACTACCTGTTGGTATTTTTCACGCCAAGACTTCGTTGAAAAAGTATTCGTTACTTGTTGGTAGTATTTGCCCCGTCATCAAGCTGGCTGTTTTATATACAAAGCAGAGACGTGGTAGTAAGGGAATCATTGACCATTATCAGTGTCTACCAAGCTCATGACTCTGATTCAAAATGAAATGAAATAAAAGATTTGCAGTCACGGCAACGTCATCAGCAGACGAGAAAGAGTGCCATTCTAGGCGTCCGCTGCGTTATTGCATAACGACTTTCCCTGCTGCAGCCACCTAGCCGCCCAACCCACGTGTACAACACCTATAAGTACTGCTGTTGGCGGCAGAGGGGCGATTTTGGTTTGTCTACTACAGTACTAGAGTAAGCTGCCAACGCGGGGTCAAACTCTCATTGAATCTTCTGCCATCGATCGCATATCAAGTCACTTACAGATATAACCAAGGAACGCATAGTAAATATTTCAAAATTAGTCATATTTCGTCTTGTCGATTTCTCTGTCATTTCACCTGGCCCACCACGAATAAAGCAGAACATATCAAATTTACTAGGAACCCAAGTCAACGACCAAGGACATTCTATAATGAAGTGGATCACCATGTTCCAAGTCGTTCTCGGTTTCTTCAATGCGACAAAGGAGCCAAGGGTCAATGTCAGGTCCCCAGACTTTTTCGACTATCCGACGGCTGTGGCGGGGAACCCTTTCGTCGATGGGTGGTATGCAGATCCGGACACTGAGATATACAATGACTTATTCTGGGTGTTTCCCACGTACTCGGATGCATATGAGAAACAGACATTCTTGGATGCTTTCTCTAGCCCGGATCTCATCCATTGGACCAAACACTCTAGCATCTTGACCATAGAAAACGTCAAGTGGGCAAATAAGGCAGTCTGGGCCCCGGCGCCAATAGCGAGAAACGGAAAATACTACCTCTATTTTGGTGCCAACGATATTCAGGAAGACGAAGATACTGCTGGTGCCATCGGAGGAATCGGTGTAGCTGTCGCGGATCAGCCAGAGGGCCCGTACATCGATGCCATTGGAGAGCCACTCATAGGCCACTATTACAATGATGCTCAACCGATAGACCAGGACGTCTTCATCGACGACAAAGACGGCCAGGCTTACATTTATTATGGCGGGCACAGTCATGCGAATGTGGCCAAGCTCAACGCCGACATGGTGTCCATTGGGACCTTTAACGATGGAACGCAATACAAGGAGATCACTCCCGAGAACTATGTCGAGGGATCCCAGATGATTAAGCGGAATGGCATTTACTACTTCATGTGGTCTGAAGGCGGCTGGACCGGGGCAGACTACAGCGTTTCCTACGCCATGTCGGACTCCCCTCTTGGGCCCTTTATCCGCAAGGCCAAGATACTACAGCAGGACAGCGCGGTAGCCAAGGGCAGCGGACACCATGGTGTCATAAATATTCCCGGTACCGAAATTTGGTACATTGTCTACCATCGCCGCCCTCTCAGCGAGACAGACGGCAACCACAGAGTCCTTGCATACGACCGCATGTACTTTAATGAAGATGACACCATTGCGCCCGTCCAAATGCTGGTTCAGGACAACTTTGCCGACGACAACACCATCGGCTGGAAAATGTATGGTGGCAGCTGGGCTGTCGTAGATGAGCGACTCACGTCTAGCGGCCCTTCAGCGGGACTGGCCATGCTCGATACAGACTTTGAATCACTCGTGTTTGAGGCCACTGTTAGCCTTGAGCAGACGGGCGAAGCCGACACCGAAGCTGGCCTCATATTTCGAGCCTCAAACTTCAGTGACGAAGGAGGCTTCGAAGGTTATTTTGCCGGCCTGACTGGATCCGGAGATGTTATCCTCAGAAGCAATGATGCTGCGACCTCGGATATACTGGCAAAAGAAGCAGCAGCAAGCGTCGGTCAGAACGAGTACACGTTTCGTGTGACGGCAAATGCGTCTACCATCTCGATATATGTAGATGATATGGACGCCGCCAAGATCACCGTAGAGGTTGAGTCGGGACCATCCAGTGGAGCTACGGGGGTCAGATCGGTGAACGCATCCATTGCCTCGTTTGGAAATATCTCGGTGGCGCGCCCAGAAGATGCACTATAGGATAGATTGGCACCCATACCTTTTGTGTCACCCCAGGGATTCTTCCATTGCGCCCACCGAAGGATTCAACCTAGACGAGTAGTTAACCATGTAGACACCAAGATGCAAAATTCTAGCTTGAATATCCCGGAGTCATGATTATAGCATTCCATCAGGCCATACACCGGGATAAATCAACATGTCACGTTGAGCTTATTATCATGGCATGGACTGTGGCAGTGCCGTCTCGTGTCAGTCACTGAATGCCAGGCATCAACCATGATTCCAGACAGGCATCCAAGTAGACCTACTGAGCCGATGCGTTAACTTTCCAGGAGATAATACGATGGTGCATTCAGCTATCGGAACCAAATTTTTCATTCATCACAGCATCGGCGACTGTCTGTTGAATTCTCGATTTGTGATCAAGGCGTATAGGTTCCACAGATCTACATTAAAGCTGATGCGCCTCGCAAGTGCGCTCAAGAAAGTGTTTCTTGCAGGGGTCGTCGGGAGGTGGACAAGGGATGCAAATCGGGCAATGATGCAAGATTCAGCCCTAAGAAGGTAAGATTGCTCGGTACGGGTACACGAGGGTAAGGAAACAGAAATTGTGGCTTGCGGAACACTAGATACTAGATATCGTCGGCCCACTTTCCCACGGCTCAGCAGCAGCAGCTCGCCGATGGGCTTCATGACTGTGCAGTGTGGGCCAGGATGGACGCTGACTGTTCCTGAGCCAGGAGTGGGCAGAAAGTATTTTCATGGCAGACAGCCTTGCCCCCAATTGTGACGTGAGATGGATGACCCGAGTCTCGTGGGCTAATAGTCCGCGCCACGGGCACTGGTGACAGGGTTGTGAGTATTGCCGACAATAGCAAAACCCCAGGCGGCGATTGGTTGAAATAGAAAAAGCCCCCCAAGACCAGTCACACAGCAAGGAGCGCTCGTCACATCCTTGGGAAGATAGCAAACCTGCATTAAACCCGCCAGCTTGGGATTCTCTATCGATATAATAATGGTCCCAAACCAGGGTGTTCTTGACCCGCCCAAGCTTTTCTTTTCTTGACCCAGCTGCCTGGGTCGCGATCCTTTAAGGTATCCTATGACTGTCCTTATCACCAAGGTCCCTAGAACTTGAGCCAAAATAGTAGAAATAGGAGTCACCAAACCCACATACCGAAGACGGTGGCAAGGATTTATTAAGCGCCACGTGATGGATCACAGCCCAACTCCCCCCAGGGTTGCTGGCACACGACAGCTCGGTATTGGACCCGTACACTGCCCAGCATCTTAATGATCCAGCTCCTCGGTATTGCCTATTCCTCAGCTTCCTCGACTCCTTTCCCGGTTATATCCAAGCTGGGCTATGTGGTGTGCCTGGGGGGAGATCCTTTGTCCAATATCACACAGGTTCGATCATGTCACGTCACGATGTGTGATGAATTTTTTGATTTTCGGTGGACGCCGGTCCATCCCAAAAAGAATAGTGTAATAATAGTTGGAGGGTGTAGCTTACAGCCCATAGCCAGCGGTGTATAATAAGTGGCCTGAAACTGTGTAGCCCAAGTTCTTGCCTTGGTGTTCTTCCTTTATTCGAATCAGTGAGAGTAGAAAATCACGGAAATCAAAGATGCATATTCGTGATATCAACATTTCTTTCCAGTCGGGCGTGTGCCTGGCTGTAACGTTTGCTGTCTTCTATTGGGTTTCCAAGTCCATATACAATCTTTACTTTCACCCGTTGCGGAATTTCCCTGGGCCCAAGATGGCTGCTATTGGCTGCGAGTATGAGTTTTATCATGATGTAGTAAAGGATGGAAGATACCTATGGAAAATGGAAGAAATGCATAAGAAATATGGTTCGTTGTTCCCAACACATGACTTTGAACGATATAATTACTGACACTAGGTTATCAAAATAGGTCCCGTCGTTAGGATCAATGCCGATGAACTACATATAAGCGATCCAGACTACTACAACCACATATATGCGTCGAGCCGGCGCAAGGTTGACAAGTGGGCGCCCATGGTAGCATCTTACACGATCCCAGAATCCAGCGTGGCAACGGTAGATCATGATCTTCACCGTCTCCGCCGGAGCATCTTGAATCCATACTTTTCCAAGGCGTCTGTCGTGAAACTAGAGCCCATTGTGGGAGAGAGAATCGATCGACTTTGCGATCGCCTTGAGGAATGCGCCCTTCGGGATGAAGTCGTGAGCCTGGACTCGGCATTCTCAGCCCTGACCACGGATATCATCACGCGGTACTTTTTCGGTTCTCACGAGGACAATATCGGCCGGCCCGGCTTTGTCCACCCCTTGCAGGAAGCCATTCTTGGCCTTACTGGAGCCTATCAGTTCACCAGACTCTTTCCCAACGTTGCGGCCGTGGCCAAGAAGCTGCCATTATGGATCATTGACCTGGTCCAGCCCAAGATGGCCAACCTGCTCCGCTGGCAGGACGACTTGCTCCAGAGCATCGAGGCGTCGGTGAGCCGGGACGGAGCCTCGTCGTCCAAGTCGAATTCCGTCATCCTCAGCGCGTTTCAAGATCCCAACGTGCCCGCCGCGCAAAAGAGCATTCCCAGACTGGTCGACGAGGGCATGCTGTTCTTGATTGCCGGGTCCGAGACCACGGCCAGAGTGCTGAGCCGAATCATGTTCCAACTGCTGCAAGATCGCAACCTGCTGGCAAGGTTACGCGAGGAACTCGACGGCTTGTCTCGGAAGTCGGGAGGTCTTACTTCGGCAGTAGAGCTCGAGGGTCTACCATTACTTGTAAGTCCCAAACCCGCTCTCTCCCTTTTGTCTACCCCTTGGCCCTGAGATCATGAGTTGGTGTGTCGAGTACTAATCTGTTATTGTCTCTGTTGCTTTAGACTGCGATCATCATGGAGGGAGTACGATTGTCGCACGGCGTGCTCATCCGCTTGCCGCGTGTATCCCGTCTCGAGTCACTTCAGTACGGCGACTTGAGCATCCCACCTGGGGTAAGATGACAATTTGAATCCAATCGTAGACAAGACTTGGCCATACTAACTGTGCAACTAGACGCCAGTGAGCACAATCTCCTACTTTGTGCATACGGACGCATCGCTGTTCCCCAATCCTCTGACGTTTGATCCGGATCGATGGTTCAGAGCGCAGCAGGAAGGAGTCAATTTGAGCAAATTTGTCGTCAGCTTTTCAAAGGGCAGCCGGCAGTGCCTTGGTATCAAGTAAGTTATGAATAGCATCTTTTTTGGGTCCTACACCTCTTCGCCACCCCGAGCAAACTAGAGCTTTTTGTGCTAATCATATTGTTCTTCTCTTTGTAGCATGGCGTATGCTGAGATGTACTTGACCATTGCGAGAATCGTGACCAAATTTGACATGAGTCTCTTTGAGACTACGGCGCAGGACCTGGAGATGCACCATGTGCGTGTCGTTGGATATCCGAAAAAAGGGCTGGGCGAGGTTAAAGTGAGGATAAATTCTCGTGAATGAGGACAAACTCATGTATGACTAAGATGCGTATTTATTTTCTCTCCTGAGGCGATGTAATGTTTGGCCTTGGCCATGGCCAGCCAGGACTATGTAAATTATCAGATACCAATGGCCGAGAGCCCAAAGACGATGGGATCCTACACGAATCAAGTTGCCGAGTATAGGGCTGCTGCTTCCATGGCGCAGTGAATTTCCTAGTAAGAGCTGGAGGAGAGTCTCAAAGGCTGTGGCCTAGCCCATTAATCAAACAAAGAATTATCTCCTGTGTGTTTGATACTTGTTTGTATTTCTCCGAATAGATGGAACATTCCTGTTCAAGGCCAACCTACTTTAGCTTGCCAATATTGAACATTCACGTGTCCCAAACTCAATACATCATGCACAGCTCAATCAACCAACCAACCAACCAACGTCGATGCAATAACCAATTCAATTTGGCTCACCCAATTGAAAACTTAAGTGTTCTGCGCGCTAGCCGGTGCGGGGTCTAGCTGAAAGAGGCCTGGTCTATTCTTAACAAGGGTGCGCCAAGGCCCGCGCCGCTGACGGACTATCTATTATACCGCTGATAAGCTGTGCGATAACAGACCGGAGGTTGCAGGAACCGGCTGATTACCTACAGTAGAGATCGCGTCAAGGAGCAAGACCTTGCGACAGCTTTGTGTGTCCAAACTTTCCCCCAAGCTTGCTTGCATCGCTCAACCGATCACGACTCTTTGACCATACTCGAAAGAGACTATTTGAATGAGCATGGAGAGCTGATGTGATGTAGAAGGTATGTTTCCATTTTGATTCTACTGTTGAAATCCAAGTACGATTTTGTCGCCTTGGGCAGTTCGTTGTGACTGGGCTGCCTTCCCGAAAAAGAGCTTCGTCATAACAAGCTGCGACTGTTAATCACATGGGTTTCAACTTTCACACACTCCTCTCAACCCCCAAAATAATGCATCGCCGTCGGCGCAGCGAGCAATCTAGCTAACTCACCAAAGCACAGTCTGTTCGTCCCGAGTGTCATGAATCCACACCAAGTTGAAGAGATGGCGCATCGAGATCGTGATTCCGCCGAGCGACACCATCGCGACCCCCGAGACGCCCCCTACCCTGCATCGTCAGGCACTCCGCACCACAGCAACGCAGCATCACTTCCTATCCACCAGCCGGTCGCTTCGAGGCTCCCCGGAGCCATTCACAGCCCCGGTGGATTGCTGGCCAACCATGGTTCAGCCCCTCCGATCCCCATTGGCGGCCCCTCATCGGCCTCCTTTGCCGGCGCGCCACTGACCGACGTCGCGAACCGACCACCACCTCAAAGTGTTCAGAACGCGTCTAGCCAGATGTTCAGCGCCATCGGCGGAGCAGCTCCTGCGCCAGCCTCGTCGGCTGCCAGTGCTGCCCTGGCTCTGGGACCGCCCCTGCAGCAAGAGAGCAACCGCCCTCCCACACAAAATATCCCCTTTGGAGGAGGAAGCGGCGGCGCTCCTGGCGGACCTCCTATCCCTCCTGGCGCCGGTGCTCTTCAGCAAGGCCAGCAACCAATTCTGAATGTAAGTTGTCGATAAATACAAAGTTGACTAGTACAAAGCGACTGGGCGACGTGGTCTGCGGGCGCGGGTCAATTGGTTGTTTCAAGTACCCTTTGGCCCTTGGACCATTTGGGCTGCGGCTGCCAACTTTCTCCGATCTCAACCTTCACAATCACGCTGCGGAAGTCACGAACAAACACCTGGATTATTCCCCGGCAGACCACACGACCTACGGCCTACGTTGCCACCTTCCTTCAGTCTCCTTCCTTTGCCCCAAGTCCCGCATCTCTTGAGTTGTCTCTTACCTTTGTCTCTTACCCCTCTTAACTCGGTCCTCTTCACTCCGCTGAGCGAGCAAGAGGAATTCTCTCCCCGATACCAAAATGGCGGCTGATACGATGCTGACCCTTGAAAACCCTGAACAGGACGCCTTGAGTTACCTCGATCAGGTTAAGGTCCAGTTTGCCGAGCAACCCGACGTCTACAACAGATTTCTTGATATCATGAAAGATTTCAAAAGCCAAACGTAAGCGTTTCCGCATCTTCTCTTTAAGTGACTTAAGTGCCTAACTCTTTCTCTAGTATTGATACCCCCGGAGTCATTAAACGCGTCTCTGAACTGTTTGCCGGTCACCCCAACCTGATTCAGGGCTTCAACACCTTCCTACCGCCCGGCTACCGCATAGAATGCGGCGAAGGCAATCCAAGTCATATCCGGGTCACGACCCCTATGGGCACTACGCTACAACCCATCACAGCGGGCAAGTTCAACTTTGCGGAAGCGAATCCGAGCCAGCCTGGTTCAGGCGCGAACTTCTTCTCGAGCCGCGCTAGTAACTGGCAGCAGCAGCAATCCCAGCCGCAGACTAGTATCGAGAGCCCGGAAGCTCAATTCAGTACTCCTGCTACTGCTGGAGGCCCTGGTGGTCTCTTTGGCCCTGGCCCTGGCCCGAGTTCTGGCGGAGCTTTTGATGGCCCAGGGTCATCTCAGGTACAACGAGGCGGCTCGCAAGTTCCAAACTCCACGACGCCGAATGCCGCTGGAGCGCGGAACGCATTGACTCCTACCCCCGGAGCTCAAAACACCGCCAACGGTGCTGCCGCACAGGCCGCCAACATAGAGAAACGCGGCCCAGTTGAGTTCAATCATGCTATTAGCTATGTGAACAAGATCAAGGTAAGACTTGCCCCGCGCTTATGGATGGAAAAGAGCAATTTATGCGTTCTTCACAAGCGCTTCTTTGGCGATGTAGTCCCTCGACCCCATCTGCCGCCGCCAGAAGTGATGCCAGCCAACTAACCACGTACAGAACCGATTCCAGGACAAGCCGGAAATTTACAAGCAGTTCTTAGAAATTTTGCAGACTTATCAACGAGAGCAAAAACCGATTCAGGATGTTTATGCGCAGGTAACGAGCCTATTCAACACAGCACCGGATCTTCTTGAGGACTTTAAACAGTTCCTTCCTGAAACTGCAGCATCTACGAACAAGGGCGGCCTGGCACGATCAGAAGAGCCTCTTGGTTTGGCCAGTCTTGCACATGCACAATCGACCCCTCAACCGAGCCACAGCAGTCAGAAGATGCCTCCCGTTGGTAACTTTGCACCTCCCAGTGCCACTAAAGAGAACAAGAAGCGCCCCCGCAATGAAAAGGCACCCCCGGCAGCGGCGACGCCCACCATACCGGACACCTTGGGACCTGCAGCACAACGTGTCATTCCCGGCATTCCCAACAATAATAAGAGACCTAAGTTGGGCCACAAGCCTCTAGCAGCTGACGTACCGTCCATCGAGCCGACTTTGACTCCAGTCATGCCTGAGCCCCTACCTCCAGCGGCTGATAGCCAAGTATCAGCCGAAGAGCTCCAATTCTTCGAAAAAGTAAAGAAGCATATTGGAAACCGGGCGACGATGGTGGAGTTCCTGAAGTTGTGCAACATGTACTCGCAGAATTTGATCGATAAGGACGATGTCATTCATAAGGCCACGCAGTTCATTGGCGGCAATCCCGAGCTTCTCAAATGGTTCAAAGATTTCATGGGCTATGAAGGTTATGATGAGAATATTGAAAACCGACCCCTGCCTCCCCAGGAGAAAGTTTCCCTCAGCAACTGTCGCAGCGTCGGCCCTAGTTATCGCCTGTTGCCTCGTAAGGTAAGTTTTAACAGACCGTGCCCAGCTGAGGAATCAAATCACGCTGACACTAGGTACAGGAGAAGCTCAAGCCTTGCAGCGGTCGGGATGAGATGTGTAACCTCGTCTTGAATGACGAGTGGGCTTCACATCCCACCTGGGCCTCAGAAGATTCCGGCTTCGTCGCTCATAGAAAAAACGCGTTCGAGGAGGGCCTTCATCGAATCGAGGAGGAACGTCATGACTATGACTTTAACATCGAAGCGAACCACAAGTGCATTCAGCTCCTGGAACCGATTGCTCAGCAAATGCTCAACATGCCACCCCAGGACCGTGAACAATATAGTCTGCCTCAGGCACTTAACGGCACCAGCACCTCTATCTACAAGAGAGTCCTCAAGAAGATCTATGGCGCTGAAAAGGGCACCGAAGTTGTTAATGACATGTTCGAGAACCCCTTTGCCGTGGTACCCGTTGTACTGGCTCGTCTGAAGCAGAAAGACGAAGAATGGCGTTTCACGCAGCGTGAGTGGGAAAAGGTCTGGCAAGCTCAAACCGAGATCATGCACTTGAAGAGTCTTGATCACATGGGCATCCAGGTCAAGCAGAATGACAAGAGACAATTGTCAGTCAAGCATCTGATCGACTCGATCAAGACAAAGCATGAAGAGCAGCGACGCCTGCGTAGCGTGAAGGCTAAGGTTCCTCGCGAGCAATACTCTTACGATCTGAGCGACCAAGATGTTTTGCTTGATCTGCTTCGCTTCATGGTCCTCTATGGAACAAATAATGGCCACCACAGCGCATCTGAGAAGGAGCGCATCATCGACTTCTTTGAAACCTTCATTCCTCAGTTCTTTGATTTGCCCGAGGACAAGGTTACCGATCGCCTCCGCGACATTGATCGCGAGTCTGTTGAGGATGACGCTGAAGAGCAACTCCCCACCGAGTTGACCAACGGCAGATCGCGCCGCAATGGAAAGAGGTCTGACCTTTTGCGTGGCGTCCTCGACCCTGGTCGTAACAGTGCCAAAGGTCGCAAGGAGAAGGAGGGCAGTGCTGCCTCTGGCAGCAAGGAGAGCACTCCGGACCACGGCTCTGGCAACGAAGAGGAGATGGCTGATGCTCCCGAGGAGCAAGCCGTTTCCGAGCTGTCGAATGAACGATGGCTGCCGACTGTCCCTCGTGCTACGGTTGTCAAGGGAAGCCGCGACCTCTTGGACTCTGAAGGGGAGCTCAAGGCTGACGGGTTCTTCCCGCGCCGCTATCACCACTTCTTCTGCAACCAGACCATTTACGTCTTCTTCACCATCTTTGTGAAGTTGTACAATCGTCTGAAGGATGCCAAGGAGAGCCAAGGCAGTGTCTTGGAGGAAATTGCTCGCTCCAAGAGCAAGAAGCCTGCCAAACAGCTGGGCATCTCTGTCAACGAGATCAACTACTTTGACGAGGACGACCCGGCCTCCTTCTGGCCCAAGACAGTCGAGCTCGTTGAGGACTACATCACTGGCGAGATTGACGATAACCGTTTCCAAGAGGTCCTCCGCCATTATTATCTGAAGAAGGGTTGGACCTTGTACACGATCCAAGACCTCCTCAAGACTCTTTGCCGACTCTCCCTTGTTTGCACTAGCACTGATGCCAAGGAAAAGACCCCGGATCTGATTGCGCATTTTCTGCAAAGCCGTTCTGAGAAGGAAACAAGCTTCCAGACTGAGATGATCGCTCGTACCTATGCCCAGAAGTGTGTTAAGGATGGCGACTTGTTCTTGATTCAATGGGTGAGTAGTCACCCCGAGCAAAAGTCAAGATTTTCTATTTATGCTAATTGATCTTCTCTACAGTATCCAAGCGCTAGCAAGGCAACCGTCCGCCTCCTCCAGCGGGATGAGACCACCTTTCAAATGGATGAACTCGAACTCAGAGAACGATGGCAGTATTACATCTCATCGTACATTCGCGTCGAACCTACCGAGGGCGTGCCGCGCTCAAAGCTTAGGAAGTCTATTATGCCTCGCAATCTTGCCTCTAGTGACGTAGATTCCGACGATGGTACCCAGCGCAAGCCCGTCTTTTATGAGGAGAAGCTGCAGACTAAGGTATGCCTGAACTCGAATAAGCTGGGCTTTGAAAAGGGTGGCACAGAATGGTTCATCTACAATACGGGCCCCGAGACGCAAGAAGAGAAGACTGCTACCGATGAGCGCCGCGCCCTGATTTCCGAGTGGCGATCCCAAAAGCTGAAGGAGAGATTTGTCATGAATAACGGCTGGCTAGAGAATGGCTGGATGAAGAACCTATCCCAGGACGAGGTGCAGAAGACAAACGAGAACTTCCAGAAGTGGATCAAGGATGGTGTGGCCCCCTCATCTAGCTTGAGGGATGAGCCCATGGGCGACGCTGAGTGATAATTCAGCATCCCGATGTTTGAAATTTTCCAGCATTGATACTCCTCTTTGATTTACAGATGGCGAAATGTTTGTCTTGTCTGTCCCCTGTCGCCTTCTCGCCGGTTGGCAATAAACATCAAGAGGCAATAAAGCATCACATGAGGCGTTTGAGGCGTTCAGGAAAAGCCTTGAAGAGGCAAAATGGCACATTTCGTCTCATGATGTGCCATTTCGGCTACGTGGTTTTGAACGTCATTCCCAAGGAGGCCTTCATTGAGGTCATTTGAAGATTGTATACGATTCCAATCTTGAACATATCATGATGGTATAACGTCTTTTTCTTATTGTATTCCAATGCCGTTGTACGGCATTTCACGACGTTAAAAGCTCGTTGTATTAGTCGTACAACTTTGCCATGAAGAAGGCATCATAGCGTTGTTTCTGTCCTTTCAAGTATAATAAATAGGTAGAGCATGAAATGGCCATGGGCTATTTCCTCTTTCAATAACAGCTCCTTAACTATAATTAAAATATGCTTTCCTAAAGTTGTGATGCAGTTCCTCGTTTGTCGCTCATTTGTCTCTTATATTCCGACTACGATGATATTGGCTTGGCTGGAGAGACATGTGATTTCGTTGTAGAGTACAAGTATAGAACAAGTTCTCAATCCATCCTACGTCAAATCACTGTCACTGTTGATCATGAAAAACAAGTTATTCTCATCAGTTTATTATTAAATACTGCCTCCCCTATTGGAGCAGTTTGGGGTTTTATATATGCCTTGATGGGTTAATTTAGGTTTCATATATAAGATTTGAGTGTCCTCTCTTCGTATCACTTATGGTCATGAGCTTTCTATGTGGTCTTCGTTAACTTTCTTCTCTGCTTGGTTCCGCCATGGCGCGTTATTCGTTTGCACCGTGGTTATAATTTCGCGTCGCTGCCATGCATCTATTGGAGGCTCTCAATGACAATGGCACTGGCGCCACCACCACCGTTGCAGATACCGGCGCAGCCAATCTTGGCCTTCTTCTCGCGCAGCACAGTGGTCAGGGTGGTGACGATACGGGCGCCGGAGCAGCCCAGAGGGTGGCCGATGGCGACGGATCCACCAAAGACGTTGACAACGTCGGAGGAGAGGTTCAGGAGCTTCATGTTGGCGAGAGCAACGACGGAGAAAGCCTCGTTGATCTCGTAGAAGTCGACATCCTTCTCAGTGATACCGGCGTGCTTGATGGCCTTGGGGATGGCCAGGGCCGGGGCGGTGGTGAAGCGCTCGGGCTCGCGGGCAGCATCACCCCAACCCAGGATCTTGGCAATGGGCTTGACGCCGAGCTCCTTGACCTTGGCCTCGGACATGAGGACGAGAGCGGAAGCACCGTCGTTCAGGGGGGCGGCGTTGGCGGCAGTGACGGTACCGCCCTGGGCCTTGAAGACGGGGCGGACGGTCTTGAGCTTCTCGGCGTTCAGGTTCTTGGCCTCCTCATCGGTGGTGATCTTGACAGCGGGCTTGCCGCGACCGCCGCTAACCTCGACGGGCACGATCTCAGTGTTGAAGACGCCAGCCTCGGTGGCCTTTTGGGCACGGGTGTAGGTCTCAATGGCGTAGGCGTCCTGAGCGGCACGGTCAATGCCGTGGTCCTCGGAGCAGAGCTCGGCGGCGAGACCCATGTGCTCCTTCTTGTAGGCGTCGGTCAGACCGTCCTTGAGCATACCGTCGACAATGTTCTGGTCGCCAAACTTGGCGCCGTTGCGCAGGGTAGGCAGGTAGTGGGGGGTGTTGGACATGGACTCGGTACCGCCGGCGACGACAATGTCAGCGTTGCCGGTGATGATGGTCTGGGCACCCAGGATGATGGCCTTCAGGCCCGAGGCGCAGACCTTGTTGACTCCCGTGCAGACGGTGGTGTCCTTGAGGCCGGCGCCAATGGCGCACTGGCGGGCAGGGGCCTGTCCGAGGCTGTTGAGATGCGAGTACACGTGAGCAACGAGAACCAGCAATTGAGGAGGTGGTGAGAGGGACTGCAGGCTCGCACTTACTTGGCAGAGAGGACATTTCCAAAGAAGACCTCCTCAACGTCCTCGGGCTTGATCTCGGGAACTCGCTCGACAGCAGCTATACGTGAACAATGTCAATCAAAAAAGCGCAAACCTACATAAATAGAGGTGAGACAACATACCCTTGATGGCGGTGGCACCCAGCTGGGTGGCGCTGAGGCTAGACAGAGAGCTGCAGAACGAGACAACAGATCAGTATTCATAAACTATGTCACAGACTCGGAGAAGAAGCAATGCGAGACTGCTCGGAGATACTTTTCTCGCGATATAAACAGACCGCCTCCCCCACTATTTACTTACCCAAGGAACGAACCGACGGGCGTTCTGGCGGCAGAGACGATGTAGACGGGAGGAAGACCAGACATGTTGGGCAAGCTCGTCGAGAAGTAACAAAAGTGACCACGAAGAGAGGAGGAAATTGAAGAGAGATGTGAATAAGAAGAGTGTAAAAAAGGAAGATTGGAAAGCAATCTACAAATTCCAGAAATCCTTCTTGTCTGAAAAATGTTGGACAATCGGAGTCCGACCTTGGTCCCCTTTTTTGACTAAAACCGGCCTGATGCCCCTCATCACACCGCCCCCTGTCATATACAAAAACATCCCACCTCCATACCCTGGATTGTATATGCAGAGAGCAAACAACATACAGACGAATAAAGTAGTCAACAAGTATCTCGAGCAACATTTTTCATGCAAACTGCGACATATCATGTAAGCTGAGGTGCATGTCACCATACGCTGTATTTCTCCGGTGGTTGCCCCCCTGGGACTATAGAAGGATGATCTAAGTTACTCCGGCGTGTAAGCAGAGGTATCTCTTGGCCATTACTACAAGGAAAAGCCTGACGACAATAACAATTGCGCTTGGATCAGCTCACAATACGATTCACTGCGTTTCTTGTATCCACCAAGAAGATTCCAACACGCAATCTAATCTAATCTAAAGGAGCCGAGTGATCTCGATCGTGGATAAAAGCGAGCCAGTACCTCCATGATCTTTGTTGGAACTGGAAAGCTGCAACAACTATGTTGGGCTTATTACCTAAACATGGCGGGGCACTTGCAGCTCCAGGTACCATGATATGCCCGTTTATCGGAGTGGACAATTTTTATCAAATGAACCAGGTTCAGGTTCACTCACTAGCGCACCTACGGTATGGCTCGGGGGTCTAGTATCTGCTATGTACGTATTAGCAGCTAGGTAGTCACTTTTGGGGGGCCATTGGGCCATTCTCTTTAGGCGTTGGTTTACTGGGAGCCTCGCCCCAAAAGTCGTAGAATTAGTGGAAACCAAGCTAGTGCCACAAGGTTCAGCCACATTGAAGAGCAGCCAATGCACAAAGTACCTAGGTACAGCCTTGTCGCAGCTCAAATCCAATAACTTTTTCGAGAGCTTCAGTCGCGTCCCATCGCGAGACGAACCACTCCGTCATCAATTTACCATTTTCTCGACTCCCCTCAACCGCAGCAGCCATGGATGACCTCTACGATGAGTGAGTATCACTATGCGACCACATTCATGCCATACACAATATACTAACTCTGGAATCCTTCCCAACACAGATTTGGCAACTTCATTGGCGAAGAGGCCGAGGCATCTGAGGAAGAGTCCGAACATGGCTTGGATGCCGGCGCCTACGTCTACGATGACGACCAGTCAGAGGCCGCACACGAGGCGACGGGCCAGGAGCTCATGGAGATCGATGATGGGCCCTCCAACGCCGTGATACTGCACGAGGACAAGCAGTACTACCCAACTGCTCAGCAGGTCTACGGAGAAGATGTAGAGACCATGGTGCAGGAGGAGGATGCGCAACCGCTCTCACAGCCCATCATTGCGCCCCCGGACACGCGCAAGTTCACCATCGAGGAGGCCGACTTGCCCCCAGTCTTTTACGACCGTGGTTTCATGACAGATCTCATGAACTATCCGGATCAAATACGCAACATTGCCCTCGCAGGCCACCTCCACCACGGCAAGACCGCCTTCATGGATATGCTAGTTCTCGAAACGCATGATATACAAGATAGGTTGGAGAGGAGGACAGGAAAGAAGCGGGATGAGCAGTTGAGATATACCGACATCTCAGTCATGGAGCGGGAAAGAGGAGTTTCGGTCAAGGCAGCACCCATGAGCTTGGTCTTGCAAAGCACAAAAGGAAAATCGCACCTTGTCAACATCATCGACACACCCGGACACGTCAATTTTGTTGACGAGGTGGCAGCTTCCTTGCGTCTGGTTGACGGTGTGGCTCTGGTTGTAGACGTGGTCGAGGGTGTTCAGGTCAATACTGAGCAGATCATCAAGCATGCCGTTCTGGAGGACCTCCCGCTGACCTTGGTCGTCAACAAGCTCGATCGCCTGATCTTGGAATTGCGACTTCCCCCCAATGATGCGTACTTCAAACTGAAGCACGTTATTGAAGAAGTAAACACCATTATAGAGAATACCGTTCCTGGCTCAGGGGAGACGAAACGGTTGAGCCCTGAAAAGGGCAATGTTCTCTTTGCCTGCACCGAGATGGGTTGGTGCTTCACGCTTCAGTCCTTTGCCAAGATGTATGCCGAAAGCTTCCCGGGAGTCAACACGGACGAGTTTGCCAGGCGTCTCTGGGGTGACGTTTACTTCAACCCAAAGAAGAGGTCCTTTAGTCGGAAACCCCTGCCGGGTGAAGAACGTGCCAAGAGATCATTCGTCCATTTCATCATGGAGCCCATCTACAAGCTCTTTTCGGCCTCCATTAGTCAGAATCCTGATGAGCTCAAAGGCACATTGGCAACGTTGGGCATATCACTGAAGCCATCGCAGTTCAAGACTGATGCTAAAGTCATCCTTAAGTTGGTGTGCGAGCAATTCTTTGGACCATCTACCGGCTTCGTCGACATGATTGTGCAGCACATTCCTTCGCCGGCCGAAGGCGCTCAACGAGAATTACAACAGTACTACACTGGACCACTAGATACAAAGGTGGCCGAAGCCATGAAGAACTGTGATCAGGAGGGCCCATTGGTGGTTCACGTCACAAAACTCTTCAGTGCGGCCGATGGCAAGAGCTTTTCGTCCTTGGGTCGTGTCATGAGCGGTATCGCAAAGCCAGGCATGCAAGTACGGGTGCTGGGTGAAGGTTACTCTATCGACGATGAGGAGGACATGGTCATGGCAACGATATCAGGGGTCAGCATTGCTGAGACAAGATACAACATTCCCACAGATGGTGTTCCCGCTGGTAACTGGGCATTGCTGAGTGGTATTGACAACTCGATCGTCAAGACAGCAACCATTGTGCCGCCGACACTCGAAGACGAAGAGGATGCATACATTTTCAGACCAATCACACATTTCACCGAGTCAGTCTTGAAGGTGGCGGTTGAGCCTATCAACCCATCCGAATTGCCCAAGATGTTGGACGGTCTCCGCAAGATCAACAAGAGCTATCCTCTGATCACCACCAAGGTCGAAGAGTCTGGCGAGCACATTGTCCTCGGCACGGGAGAGCTGTACATGGACTGCGTGCTTCATGATCTGCGGCGCGTCTTTGCAGACATGGAAATCAAGGTGTCTGACCCAGTGACCCGATTTTGTGAGACGGTCGACGAGGTCTCAGCCACCAAGTGTTACGCCATTACGCCAAACAAGAAAAACAAGATTACCATGGTCGCCGAGCCTCTTGATGACGGTATTGCGGAGGATATTGAGAGCGGACGCGTCAAGATGCGAGACGGGACGCGCAAAGTGGCCAAGTTCTTTGAGGAAAAGCATGGGTGGGATCTACTGGCGGCACGAAGCATCTGGGCATTTGGGCCAGATGAAATGGGCCCGAATATCCTGCAGGACGACACACTCCCATCAGAGGTACGTTTTCAAAGTCGGCACACCACACATAACATCACACATACACACCAGCGCCTGCATGCATCACGAGCACACACGGCCCATCTTGGCTGCATGGTTTCAGGAACTTCTAGACGCCTTTCTGACAAGTCATGTCATTGAAGAAATGAGCGGTTCAAAGTGTTCCGAGCCTATGGCAAGACTGCGGCTTGATTTGGTAACTAAATCGTTGTCTGGAGTCATGTCTGGCCTGGCGTTGGCAGCTTCTCAGCCTTATGGGTCATTGCCATATCTCTACTCTGGATGCAATGCCAGCTTGGCCTGGCTAGACAACTCTACTGCTGCCACTGCTACTACTATTACTGATTACTGAGATGGAACCTAACGTGTTCGGCAGGTCGATAAGAAACTTCTCAAGACGGTGCGAGAAACTATCCGCCAAGGGTTCAGTTGGGCAGCCCGCGAGGGACCGTTATGCGAAGAACGTAAGTCTCCAATTGTCCTCGGTCTCACCCTACTATGACCTTCACCTGCCTGCCTCGCTATTGTTTCCTCCACATCTGCACATACGCTATATTTGTGTCGTTATGCCCTCCACCAGCCATGTTTTGTTTGTCCACCTTCCCTGCCCATGGCCAAGCTCAAGGTGATCTTGGTTGAGCAGATGTACGTACACCTGGCGAAACTTGTCCGTTGTTCAGCCCAGGCGGTAGGTACTTACACACATATCCCACCTTACCTACCCAAGCGACATTGGCGCTGTCAGTGACAGATTGCATCTCGATTCCGATTTCTCATCCCAAGAAGGCGTCTGGGAGGGTATGCTGGGGGTTTCGAGTGACAAGGGACCGTGACCCCGGTCTGAAGCTGTGGCTAGGCTCTCGGCCCCTGCTCTGCTTCCCCATCGCCCACAGTACACATGCCAGTTGTGGGACCTCAGCACCACCCCTCGCGACCGACAACGAGTGAGAGAGGAAGAGATTGAGTTCAAGTGAATTGAGTGCGCGCGACCTGCGCTTGTCTCGTCGTCCTGCATGAAATGCCATGTGGCTGATTGCGTCCAAGCACTCTGAGTTTGCGTACTCAGTCATTCACTCGCTCACTTCCTTACAAAACTTGGCTCGCTCTCTGATTGTTGTCTTTGCGGCAAGTGCCGCTTGGGCTGCCTTTTTCAGCATTAGACCCAAAATCCCATTATACCGCAGCCCGGTTAAGAGCTGAGGACGCACAAAGCAAACCGAGAGTACCCACGGTACTTGCGAGGCTGGGGTACCAAATATTCTGCTTGCCTGTTTGCTTGCTTGCTTGCCCCACGGCTGGTCAACACGATGACGCTATTGGGCGCATTCAGGCGTGATGCCATGCAGTATGAGCATACCCCAGTGTCGCTCTGTACTTGGTGCTCGGCAAGCGGACCTGGGAGTTCGTCCGGCCATGCCTTGGCATTATGATCTTTACATCGCCGTGTCTAGAAGAAAAGCATGAGCTAGGTGGCCCCATTTGGCAATCTTGGCTCAATGGCCTCGCCGAGATAGATTGGCGAGCATCAGCAAGTGCTGTGCATCGCTGTGCAGTGCATACTGATCTACCAGTCTCCTGTGTCATCTTGCTGTCATTCACTGTGCACATTGACCGCATCTGTCCATGCTCGTCGTCATTTCCAGACAAGCCCACTCCCGCGCTTGGACACTTATAGCAGCTCTCAATGAGCAAACTACTGCACCTCACGAGTATAAGTGAGTCTGTGACTAATCCAGTCCGTGTCTAAACAGCGATCCGCAATACCAAGTTCCGCATCATGGACGCCACTCTGGCCAACGAGGCAATTTTTAGGGGAGGTGGTCAGATTATCCCCACAGCTCGTAGGGCCTGCTACTCGTCGTTCCTGATGGCCAGCCCGCGGCTCATGGAACCGTTGTATGCTTGCGACATGACGGGACCACAGGATGCAGTGCCCGTGATCTACAACGTGCTCGCACGCCGCCGTGGCCACGTTTTGGTTGACGGACCCGTGGCGGGAACTCCGCTGTACCGCGTCCAGGGTCTGCTGCCAGTCATTGACTCCTTTGGATTCGAGACAGACGTGCGGATCCAAACTCAGGGACAGGCAAACGTAAGTCTGGTGTTTGACAAGTGGCAGAAGGTGCCTGGAGATCCTCTAGACAAGGATGTTGTTCTTCGGCCACTACAAGCAGCCGATGCTCAGGCTACCGCCAGAGACTTTGTGCTCAAGACGAGAAGGAGAAAGGGTCTGAGCGAGGACGTCAGCGTAGCAAAGTTCTTGGAGCCCGAGTTTTACCAGAGTCTGATCGAGAGCGGCGCTCTGGACTTGTAACATGGCGTGGGTTAGAGAGAAAGAGAAATCATGAAAAAAGGACAACCGGAGTTCAGGAGCTGATATAAAACGGATGTTACATTGAGCATACAGTGCTGCAGCCATGTTGTATGTAGTCTTGGAATTGCAAGTAAGGCATCTTCACGATTGATTGTCTTGAAGGGTGGGCATGGTTGGCGATCCGATGCTGTATTGCAAACATTCCATGCAAGTTGACAATCGTGTAGTTAGTCAAAGATGCTGATTCACCATGCAAAGCTTCCATCTCGCATACAATAGTTATTTCTTCAAGTCAGCATGTCATGTGAGCTTGGGCTGCAGTCGTTGAAATGCACTTTGAAATCTTGTCCTATCACAGCTGAGTGGAACAGGCCGGGGTAAAATAGTGACTATTGGGTTAGGCTTAATATAACCCAACCAAAACATACACATGGAGTGTGCTATTGTGTGTGTGTGTGTGTGTGTGTGTGTGCGTGTGTGCTGAAAATGCACCCAACATCTCGCCGAAGAAGTACCTTCTTTTCTTTTCTAGAACGTCCAACGTCCAAGACTAGACTAGAGATGCAAACCGGCTGTGCCGCGGCACACCGTTTTTTATGCAAGGAAGTGCTCTAGTAAAAGAAATGGAAAGAAAAAAGAGGTAGTGACTTGTGCATGGTTGTCTTTGTGGTGGTGGTGTAATGTACTGCAAAACACGAAATTGTATGCAAGAGTACAAGTAGACCAAGAAGAAACTATTTCTTTTGCTACATACTGTAGTATGTATGCATGGAAGGAACATTGCATACTTACCTTATGCACACCCCAACATAACAGGCACACACACACACGTATATACAACAATTACTGCATGAAATGATGGTGTGCAGCTCATTCTCTTTCCTTCCCCTCCCCCCATCCCCCAAAAATAAAATACATAAAAATCCCGGGTACCGACGGGGACCGGGGTCACGTTTTTGGGGGAGGGGGAAAAGGGCAACATAACGCTGCCAAGAGTTAAAAGGACGACGCCTCTAGATCATATGAGAGAGAGGTAGACGAGGCAGAGGAAGATGGCGAATATTTCGGTCTGAAATGACGACTGGAATTGAAGGGCTTCAAGTGTGAAAGAGGGTTGCATAGTGGGGTGTGGCTTTTTTTTTTTTCTTCTTCTCTTTCCATGTACCGTGTACGTCGTTCAATGGTAAATTGACAATGTTATACCTACCCATCTCCATGTATGTCAAAAAGTGACAAGTCCAAATCGAGGTTTTAAAACTTTATATTGCCTGGACCATATTGATTTGGGCAGAGTATAGGCAAGTAAGTACTATAAGTCAATAGGCCTGATACAAAGGGCCGACTGTGGAATCACAATTATGCGCAAATACATTACATCATTTTTTTTATCTCATCTTGATTTTCTTATTTTCTTCTCAAGTTCAGTCTCAGATCTTTTTTAGAACAATTTGTTTAGATGGATTTTTCAGATGATTGATTTATTCTATTTTCATTTTCCCTTCCCGGTCGGAGGCCAAGATTATTCGCGACGCTGTACCTGCAGGGGAAACCTGTCCACAGATATTGTGTATACTTGTTATACGCGAGCAAGAAATGTCAAAGCGTACATTTCAAATGTTCCTCTTTTTATCGTCATTTTGATTTCTTTTTCTGTTTCTTTCGTCTGACATTGTTTCAGTCTGGAGTTGGGTTGGGACGAGAATAAAACTCCTTGCGCAGATCAGGGGCTCGTTGACTGAAGCACAGGAAATCACCATTGTTGCAAAACCCAATGCATGTGTAGAATAGTAGGTGGGTAGCTCATCGTTGGAGTGTTGGAGTATCTGTGACCTTGTACTATGAATAGCTTTGAGCTCAGTTCCGACTCGAATTCTCTCCATCCAAGTTGGTGGTCACGGAATAGTTGTGTGCTCCACGTACATCACGTATGTGACTCGGAAAAAGACATCTGCGATGCTTTCCCCCCTCACAATTGTACACACCCAAAAGATTTTCAGAGGGCCCTGGAGGTTCTGCGTGGGGTGACATGTTGCACGATATCACGTTTCTCCTACCACCACCATCACACGATGCGTTACTGTCGAGTCTTGATGAACAACCATGACCGGTTTCTGACATGTTCGTGTCAGCTTATTATTGCTTCCTTATTCAACCTCAAGCTTCGAGGCGGGGAAGGTAGGCCTTTGGCCATTCATGGTTCCCCCGGTGGTCATTGATGACCAGTACACCTGATCGTGACCCCTCCCTATCCCTGCTCTAGCCGAGGATGAGGCTCCGTGACTCTACCGGGAGTAGGACGAGGGGGGTTCAAGAGCAGATGGGAGTGACAAGATGGCTGCGAGAGAGAAAGAGAAAAGTGCATTCCACGCTAGTCCGTTACCCGTCGAGGCTGCATGGCCGAGTCTTACACTGCTACGGTTATTGTGTCCATCATGTCAGTCACAAGTGACCATCATTTTCTCACCACCGGGATCATCATCAGTCCTCTGTCATCATTGTCTCAACTGCCCCCTTCGAAATCCCGAATTGAGTAACTAAATGTGAAAACTGTCGCAAACAAGATAATCTGCTGCCAATCAATTCATCCAGGTGCAAAGGGCAATCAGAAAAAGAAAGAAAAAGGTCTTTGCGATTGCGTCGACGCCAGATACCTAGGTATTGAGATCATTGATTGACCCCCTCTTGGTGTAAGAAAATTGCTGCTTACTATTGCCCACAAAAAAGTATCCTCATTCGGTGGACATGTCAGCCTTGCCCGCTGTCCGGCAACAGAGCCATACATCATACCTAGGTAGGGACTTTTGGCCGCTTCGGAAACTAAAAAGGCAGATGACCCCAAGCCAGACTTCTCAAAAATAATAATCAAAAATTCCGGTAGCCCTTGATAGGGCCAAAGCCGTGGATCTGCGGCAAGGGTTTTGGGGAAGAGGCCAGGACCACCCCCTAGTCGGTGGAGGGGTGTGGCCATGGTGCGCGCGAGGTTGCAAGGTAAGGTAAGGCAAGGCAGAGGGAGCGGACGGCCAGGGGGTCAAGGCACGCTCAGACGTTCGCACTCCATCATCACTCCGATCCAGGCTCCGCTTTCTCCTTCATGCCAGGGGCCGGGCACCGGGGGCCAGGCACAACGGGCTCGGCTAGGCCATGTCCACTCTACTCTGATGGGCGGGCAGCGGCGCAATTTGTGTCATCTTGTCGCCAGCGCGTACCAGGCCCGAACCTTTTGATGAGCGATATGAGAAAGATAGAGACGTGCCATCCCCAATTTATCAAACATTGGGTCCCTCGGCGGACCATAATCCTTTGTTATTCCGTATTCGCGGGCCTCTCTGATGAACCGAGAACCGAGGCCCCCGATAGGTCCGTCTGTAGTCTAGGTAGTCAGTTCAGTGGTTGATTTGACAGGTGGGCCCTCCACGACGACCCGTAGGTATATTCCGCACGTTTCGTGTGGTTAGTTGCCCCAAGTACCATACTGCTGCCCACCTCGCTGTATGACCTCCAAGAGATAAACGCGCTTAGCAATTAATGTAATCTCACGAGTCAAGCCATTTTTTCAGACCCTGTCAAGATTCCTAAAGCGATGACATCCAATTCGCCGCTTGCGATGCAAAATAGATTGATGCGTTACGTGGATCGTGGCACCGTTACAGTGTCGGCAATGTCATAGTTGTTGAGACGAAAAAGATCAGACGTATTATGGTGCTCTGCAATCGTGAAAGCCCCGTGTCAAGTCCGGCGCTTTTCGTCGTCGTGCAGTAGATCTTATGGCTCAGCCCGCCGTGGCATGTCCGATGGTGGTGGAATGAAGGACGGACGAAAAATAAAACGTGGACGTAATGCAAAGTACACACCCCTTCCCCTCCGCCTCTGTTCAGTTGCGCTATGCTCTGTCATGGTCTTGCATCGGCTGGTGTGGACGTGTGGACACAGCAAGAATGCCACCACTTTTGATGTTTGGATGGCCTTCTTGACAATAAGAATACACCAGACCCTGCTGCCGTATCTGGGATTTGGCGGCTGGAGCCGATGCCAATCCCACGCTGGCAGTGAAGGCGCGGACGATCCCCTGGAATTGCTGGAAGAGGCTAGGTCATGTCGTAATACTACCACCATATGCGAGGAATGGTCATGGGTGATATGCCATGTTGACCCTTCTCCTGTGCCCCGTAGACTGTCTTGCCTCTATGGTTGATGAACACTTGGGCAGGCGCCAAGGATCTTCGGTCAAAGTGTATATTACACTCAAACTAGGATGGATCGACATGTGAAGACGCCACGAAGCTCGTGTTGCACACCTTGCCGTTGTCAATATACATATAATAGTAGTTTGCATATTGCATGTCATGCTGCTATGAGTGCTTGATCTTGAACACCGTCTCGTGGTGTCGTCCAAGCACAACAAGAGAATGTAGACCTGCCTGGATTGGTCGCTTTGTCGCCCATTGTTCATGATTCTGCACCAAGAGTCTCGGAAGCAACGGGAAGACTCACTGCGAAATATCCGTTGAGGTGTGATCTCCAAGGTCCGAAACTACCACAAGGACAGATTCTGGGTAACTTTGACCACAGCTTGAATCAGGGCTACACTGCCGAGATCCTGGGTTGGTTGTGGAGTTGGATAGATGTGGCTCCACGGGCTTGAGTGGATTCCTGGTGTGGGTATAGATACTATCAGAAACTGGTTACGCGAGCGTGAAGCGCTCTCTATTTGTTGGCCTGTTCCAGAGCACGATCGTCCCTTGTGAGGCACAAATGATCGCATGGTGTAGGTTGATAGCCAAGTTATTCCAAGGATTTCACTGCGAGTGGCAAGGATTGTATCTGTGTGCCGATATCGCCACATATTTTCACATGGCCAAAGCCGTAATTGTTGACATTTGCCAGACGAATACAAGATGGTTGAAGACAAGAGCATCGAGCAGGCCTCTCAAGCGGGTCTCTGACGATATGATGCTGCATCTTCTCGAATGCTGTCGCAGGGTGTCTTCAGTCTATAACTCTTTTCTTACGCGTGTCGAACTAGGCAAACAATGAGTGTCTCTATTTTTGAAGATTTGGTGTAACTGGATGCCCTGTTGTGATTGTTTATTCTGCTGATCATAAGATCTGCTTAATAATGAGGTTTCATGGCCAATTTCGTTTATGATTCCGTAGTTGAACTATACAAACAATGCTATTTGGTGGTATAGCCAAGGTACGAACCTGGTTGAGGCTCCGCGATCTGCATACCAAATATAGTCCGGTAGCGTTACTAAATAATAGCATACTGTGTGGTCTCATGATTCCCCCGGGACATATTGTAGAATCAATAGGCGTGGCGGCAGTCCTGGTACTTTGGCATTGCAGGCTATTGAATACTTTGCTCATTGGATGGGGACCTGCAGGTCTTGTGGCAGAAGTAGTAGGCGTGGTAATAGACACGGATTCAGAATGACTGTCGGTAGAGCAGTGACGGAGAAAAATAGCCGAGCCGTCAACCCCCACGAGATCGCCTTGATGAGGTCCTTGTATCCAAGCGCATGCATCAGGGTTGTAGTATCCTTGTTCCTGCATTCAACGAATGCTGAGGTCGGCGTGTGTTTATGATCGTGACCAGTATCTTCTCATCCTCAGGTATCAGGGTGAACCAGAAATCAGAAAGATTTGGAACACAAAGAAAGCAGGCTCAGGGTGCTAGTGTACCGAAGCGAACTTGATGTTTGTGATGACTATAATGATTGGTGTACGTTGATTCCTTTTTTTTTTTCTTGAAAGCGCCTTAGCCGAATTCGCTTATGCATTATTCAGTAACATGTCTCGAGCATCTTGTCAAGAACTCCTTTGAGTGTATCATTTTCCAGGGCTGCAGCAACTCTCTCCTTATCGGCTAGTTGCTTGTTCACTTGGTCATCCTGGCTGTGGGTGCCTTCCTTGATCATAATGTCCACTCGATAGTTTGGCGGAAGTGCCTGCTCCAAACGGACTCGCACTCCCAGGCCAATGACGGTAGCCAACGAGCAATGGGTAATAGTGGGAGTGATTTTAACCAGGACTCGGGTCAGAGCGTTTGGGTCAGCCTTTGGGGAGGGAGTTGGTGTGATGGCAATGTCCGGTAGGTTGACGACGGCCAGTTGTCCAAGGGAGATTGGATGCTCTGGGTCGGAAATGTTGGATATCAAATCTATAAAACGTCAGCTGCCTGATGTACTCAAGGAAAGACAGGAATAGAAATAATCCTCTCATTTCCCGCGCTGACCCAGCAGGAATGTAACTAGAAACAGAAGTGTTGCGGATCGTGTTTGTGTATAATATCGCGGATTATAGGACGGACTATAGAGGTCTGCCGCTCCTCCGGCCCATGTTCTCAGATGGACGACGCACTGACGCACACACGGCGAGCACAGCATATGATGATGAAACATGCCGCAAGAGCACGATATGGCATGTTTGATTTTTGGTTCAACGTGGCAACCACACCTCAGAAGGAAAAAAAGGCAGGGCGCGCCATGAGACAAGCATGCAGGAACGTGAGAAAATATTAATCTTACCGTAGATTTCTTGCTCGTCGATAGGCTCGTCAGTGAAGTCATCCTCGGTCCCGTCACTCTCATCGGAGGACCAGGGTACGTCGCAGAGAGGACCCGTCAGGTACGATGGCAGGCGCGTAATTTCGGCGGTCAGATCTGAATCAAAGGGATAGTGAATTTCTGTTGCCTTCTTTGCGCGTTGCCTGGTAGGCAGCTGAGCCGCGGTCAGGATAGTGGGGTTGGCGTTGTCTTTGTCCATCTTTCAAGGTGGGGGAGAGGCAAGTTGACCCTCAAGTCTGGCGATTGTGTGTGTTTGTGTCAGAGCCTCCTCGGGTGGTAGGTTGCCTTGGTCGGTTTGAACAAGCAGAAATGAAGCTTGAGCTTTGTAATGAGGTCACACCTTGATGCGCTGAACTTTGTGAGGTTTGTTTGCTGGTTGGTAAGCTGTGATGTTTTTTTTCCCCCTTCCCCTTGTATTCGGAGTTGGTTGCCACTCCCAGTCGTGCCTTGCCAAATCGGACTTGTATCGGGGTGACGATAAGCCAGGCTTGTCATGCTATCGATAACCGCCTAACCTTAGTTCAGTGGACCCCATCAGTGAGTACTGGGTGGGGCCAACGGCTCATGCGTACGGGCGCCAACTGCGGGCAACTGGGCTGCTGCTAGACAGACGGACGGCTTGGAGTCTAGAATTTGCACATGGTATCTAAAATGTATTCGTGTACAGGTATACATCATGGTATATTATCGCCCACCGCTTAGGCGTCCATTGAGGCTCTATGCGAGGATGGAAATGCAGTGACGCCGCATTATATTTGCCTTTCTTACCATGTTGACATGCGCTTGCTCAGATCGAGTGCAACTCATATGATCGACATCTGGGATCACTGCTGAATATCAATTCTAGGTCAATGGACAATGATGCCTCAATTGGTCATCGACTGATACTCGATTGAATGCAATTATGTGCTGAGCGCACCATGCGTTGCGCGTTTTATTGTCTGTGTGAAGATGACTTGCAGGCCACAAGCGCCAGCTGAGGTGTCTGGCATAACGCACAAGTCCGACCGTAAATGAAATCAATTTCTCAACGTCAGGAAATATGCCGATGAGGTTGTGTGTAAGATCAATGCATATATTAAAGTTTCCATATCATCGATATGCCACGTACTCCCAGCAGTATTTGCAGAGAGGGCGCATGCAAGAGCACATGCGAATGATATAGGTAGGTATACTACTAATGTGTACATAGGAGGCAGCGTACATGGCTTGGTGCTGGCAACTCTGAGCTTGGCAGTTGTTGCTACTACTGACATACTCTCCCCGGGCGCTTTTTGAACGTGGCCCACGTAATCGAACATGGGGATGTCCCGCCAAGTAAGCATTACCAAGGGCAGTTGGAGGGGAACTGGAGATTCTCGTCATTTGGGCGATTCATGCGTTCTTGTCTTGTGTCAAACGGGGGGGCCTTCCACGGCCGGGGATAGTTTCAAGGGTATTACCTATTTCGTCACGATCGTATTCACTTTGGGACGATGCAACAGTATTGAGGGTGAGTCGAGGGCGGAGTCGTTCCCGATTTGCGCTGGGTGGTGGCTGAGGCCAATTCCCCTTTTCGGCACCGTTTTGACGGTTTCGAATCAAAAGAAAGACAGTTATTTGACATGTTGATCGAGTGTTACTATTTTGATTAATACCTGCCTCGGACGCATGAAAATGCTGAGCAGCAAGACCCGTGATCCCTGCAATCGAAGTCCCTGTGGAAGGGCTGAAGAAGCCACCCGAACCATTACCTACCCAGCAAGCAAGCAGACAAGCATACCTACCCGCAACCACACTTGCATGCGCAACCAACTGCTGGCAAAACGGAGATGGGATCTGTGTTGGGTTCTCCGCTTCCCGCTTCTCGGCTCCAGCCCAGAGGGTCGGCGATGGACAGGCACCAGGAAGAAGTCAGGCACAACGCCGAACAGCACATACACATCGTCCCGGAGTCGATTGCTGGAATGGGGGTAGCTGGGCGATTTCCCTGAGATCTTCCCAAGCTCAAGTGCCGTAGGGCTACCAACGCCGCAAATTCGCTTTGGCCACCCCCCGTAGATGGATGGTTACTTATTTATTGCCCGTAAAAACGACAACGAAGAGGTAAAAATTAACCCAGCCAGCAATAGGAGTGGTGAAGATGGAGCCGCCAAACTTGATCAGTTGTTGCAACGGGTCGGTTCGTTTTCGGCATTGGCCCAACAGTCGGATGTCGCGCAACAACCAGTCAACTTGGGTTCCTGGGGGGTGGCCACCTGATGGTTAGTATCCTATGCTATGAGGTAACAAGATTGACTCCATCAGTAGCGTCGAATTAAAGTCTTTTCAAGACGGGGATCTTTTTTTTAGACCTGCGTCGGATTGGGCCGCCTGGTAGAAAGAAAAGCACGGTACGCACACGACATGATATTGTATTTGGCTAAATTGTGCATGCGTCCCAACGCAGTAAGAGAAGGAAAATGAGGCCTACGCAAGCCCACACTCGCCTAGTTGACAGGAAGCCGTTCTGGAGTGTACGAATAAGGCATGCACCTCATGAAAGAAAATTCGTGGCACGATATGGATTGCAGGACACACGCAGCTTGGGCGCGTCTGTAGGGGTCAATGAACAGACGGCAAGCAAGTAAAGTCCCAAGGAATTGGGAAAGCTGACTGAATGCAAGCAAGGGGGAGTGTAGCGTCACACTCGCTAGGTAGACAAGCGCCTGAAGGTGATGGTACCTCAGGACTTTGCATGTGATCGTCAGGGTTAGATTGAGCCACAAGCCTATGGACGAACTAATGAGTACATGGCAACATCATATCACAGCCCGGCGATCCGAGAAGAAGAAAAAAGAGAGAGAGAGAAAAAAAAAGATAAAAAGCTATACTATAGTTAAGGTAATAAAGTGAAAGTGGGATATTCAAACGTGATGAACTGTGCGTCAGGCCAGTCAGCAGTCGCAAACGTTCATGTCACGGCGCTATTTACAAGGAGATTTGGCATAAGAAAGTAATAAATGGCAGAGTTGAACTCAAAAATTGTCGGCGACCTCGCTTCAGCCACGCCATATGTACTTTCAAAATCAAAATTGACAAAATCCTACAGATTGAAAGGGCAAAGCCAATTAACGAATGACAAGACACTGGAAAATTAAATAAAATGAAACATAAGGAAAAGTAATGTACGGTGTAAGAAAGGCAGTGGTAGAACAAGCGCTCGGGGATGCTCAGCTTGCTGCGTACTCTTCTTGCAAGTGGTAGGGTAGGGTTACGGCGGCGGCGGCACCCCATGCGTCAGCGAGGCGCTGGTGGTTGTACACTACATGATGTATGGTTAGTATAGTCCATCATCCCATCCCACTTTACGAACCGTACCCGGTCCACGTCCCCATTATAAACAGGGTCTCCTCAATTAATACCTGTCAAGCCACCAGGAAATAGATAAATCGCTTTGTTTCAAGAGACGGCGCGTATGCTTCTGGGAACATATTAGCACAAAAGCAAGGTCGTCTAGTCACAGTAATGGCTGGTTTATGCATCCTTGGTCTTGTTTTGCTTGTACGTATGGGGGAATAATGGGTAATTTTATGATTAATTGATGACTCTCGTGTATCTAAAATATGGCGATCATGAATAATGCGACGGGGACAGGTAAATGGAGAACGGCGAGTCAAAAAAAGGCTCCCCAATCGGACCATTTCTGTGATTTTTTTTTTTAAAACGGCCAAAGTCTTGTCTTAGAGGGTGGGACAGCCAGCAATTTGGCAATTTGACAATCAGCTTTAAAGAGCACAAGCTTCTTGCGCTACCAATCCCGAGGTACTTTGCTAGACTCTAGCACTACTATATTATTATGCATGCTATATTGAATGAGCTGACGCAAGCAGATAATCGGTGTGCGGCTCCGTCTCAGTCTTCAGAGGTTTACCTATCTCACGGATCAGGGTGGTGCCAGAGCTGGAAGCCGAGCTCTGGGCCTGTGAGCTTAGGAGCCTGGGGGAGCCTTGCGACATTTTGTTGGCTCTTGATATTTTTGATTTTTCTCATCTCATCTTGCGATTCCACGACTTTGGATCGAGCCCGCACAGGCCAATTCTTGAGCTGTCCGGTTGGTAAGGGGGCCCATTCCCCGTGGGCCATGGGTTTGGGCTCAGCAGACCAGCCCGCCGGGAACCATGTCCATCTCGTTGGGAATTTTTGGCTGGCAACTGGGGCCCGGGTCCGTAAGGGTAAGGTTGTGGGAGAGTCCTATGTAGGGAATACATTACCATTGCCGGCCGCGTGCGACGTGGGAAGAACGCCCCTCCGGAAACACAAAAGCAACAAAAAGAGCAGAAAGGCCAGGCCAGTGGAATCACGATCTTGAGGTTAAACATGTCGAGCTTCGAATCTAGAAGCTAGTAGATAGCCAACTAACCCAGAACCTACCGAGGTACTTACATGGAATGACGGAATGGTGGTTCGGGAAGGAAGAAGGAATTTGCCTAAGCACCTGCCCAGGTGTTCTTGGTGTGTGAGAGAGAGCTGCTGGGTCAGGAACGGGATCTCGCGGAAGCGCAAAAGCAGACCATCAAGTCACCATCTCCCCTCCTCCACACAAACGACGCTTGAGTGTTCTAACTCTCACGCCGCCTCAACCGTAGTGCGAGTTGTTGGTTCAGCGCAGACAACGTATGTACTAGTGGTAAAATAAGACGAGTAGGTGAAGTGGCCTTGTCTCCACGACAGAGTCCTCTTGGAGTGGATTGCGCCCAATGCTCATCCAACATTAGAACTCGAGCGAAATCTCCTTTCAAGCTCGTATACTGACGATCTGCTCGCTTTCGCCAACATGCAGACCGCTAAAAGCGTTCAAACTACTTACAAGAAAGATTTGAGTCTGGCGATCCCCAGAGCGATCACATTTTAGTGCATAATTAAGGAATAAATAAATAGATCTGGCAGAAGATTACTATTTTTTTTTTTCAGCTCCCAAGTGGTCCCAGTGAATATCAAACGTGGTCTTGGCTTGGTTGACCATACCTACGCCATATGGGCCATACGGGCCATATGATGAGCCCACTTAAACCTCGAGGTATCACACGAAAACATCAAGCGGTCATTGCCGGCCCCCTCCATCTCCCAGAGCCCAGCGGCTCTTTTTACGCTATCCTACGTAACCTACCTACCACTTACCTATACGCGTTAAATCATACTCGGGTCTCGACACTCTCGCTCGCTCCTCGATCTTCTGAGCCTCGGATGCTGGAAGCCGCTGCTGAGGGCGAGGCTCGATCATCGTAAAGGCCAAGACTGGCATTTGATGCGAAACAGCTAGCTGATCTACATTCATCATTGCTGCTGATGAAAAGGATGCCGCTATACGACTGCCGGGTGGCGGTCTAGAGGGGAGGGAGCTGGGGGAGTTCCAGCCCGCAAAATGCTCGTCATGGACCAAATGCCATTTTTTTTTTGGGCTGACCCTGCTTTGTCACCCTTTGAGGGTCCAGCAGCCTACAGAGGTGCCGAGCGGATAGTTTGAACTCCCGACCCATTGTGCTCCAGTCAAGTGAAAGTCAAATACGCGCTAGGCAAATGGGCGGCCCCTGAAAGACACCAAAAAAAGACTGGAACTGTTTCCAAAATGCCCATGGGCTTTTCCCTACTGTACATAGGTAGCGCAGAATGGCCATTGTCTGTGATTATGGGCGCAACTAGAGTGAGACTAGGTCGACGCTGAGCTGGCCGTAGAATGTGAGTAGAACATTATCACGGCAGTGATGGGAAGGCCGAACGACGGCGCAAAATAGTTGACATTGGAAGCGGCAAGGCAACTAAGTCACTATAAACTTTACTCGGTAGATAGGGCAATAGGTAGCCTTCCTTGAACTATATCTACTTATATAGCTCGCCGCCTAAGGTAGCAGGCAGGTAGGTAGATGAATATGTAGGTCGAAAAAACAAGATAAATTGTGACATACGGTAAGCCGCTGTCCCAGCTGGAAAACTGGATATTCGCAATATGGATGGGACGGCCGCTGTCAGTCATCAGTGTCATCGGGATCCGTGATCATGGCTCCCTAGACACCCGGTCGTGATTCAAGCTTGATTGACACCCCTGGCACTGAGAGAGGAACTTACCTTATTTACTGTGCGGTGTCGGCGCGTACGATATTTTACCCTCAAGAGAGAGCCCAGAGGAGAGACAAAAAAACGGATTACACGTCAAGGCTCGCTACAGAATTGCGGCGAGCGAGGTGCAACCAGGATCTTTCTTTCTCGTGCGGGATTGGATGCGGTCATCTAGGTACCGCCCTCCAAGACGTGTGTGGTTCTCTTCTCACATCTGCTGCCAGGGCTCCAGACTTGCTACTAAAGTTACTGTGGCGTCAAGGACTCTCTTGCCATCTCTATCCTCTTTTCATGCTGGTGAGAGGGGCCTTTCAACGGGGGACCATGATCTCGACGCGAGGTTCAGATTGCAGATGCCTCCACACTGGCATCCCACTCTCTCTCTCTCGTCAACCACCCCCTCCACTCCCCTCCCCCCTGGGACTCCGCTCATGATTCAAGTGGCACAGAAAAGGCATCCAATGTCAGCGATAGCATGTACATGAGGGGTGATATATGCGGCGTGCGGTGCGGTGCTGCAGGGCGTGGGACAGACAGGTACCGCTGCGTAGTGTACCTAGAATACTTTACCTAGATTTACTACTTGCAGCTTCTGTGCTTGCTGCCTCCTAACCACCCCCCGGGCATCACGCAGCGTCCTGGCGTCCACGCGACGAGCCATCCTCTCTCCCCACAATACGATGCTTGCTTGATTTCTTGGCTGCGCGGGCGGGCGTCGTTGTGGGAAAAAAGAGTACGTACTTCTCCATTTGTACACTTTTATTTTATGCCTGTGTGTGTCTGTGTACGTCCATGTCTTGATAAATCCCACAGCTAGTCCTCTTCAGTCAAGTGCAGGAGAAGGGTGAGAGATTCAAGTCTTTTCTATTCAGCGCGGCAACCCTGATCTTCATATGGGCCGTTTCACTCTATAACAGAGGTATTAACGATCCACGCAACTTTATGCCTGGACGCTGTGCAGTGTCAAATCGTACATGGGTCGACGACAAGACTTGCAGAAGTCTGAGCTCAAAACCGCAGACAGTTAATTAAGAAGTTGTGTGTGGCCTTTTTTTGCCCTCTATTATTGATCATCGATAGGCGCAGCAGATTGAAGCTGTGGGAAGACGGGGGATGATAACAGCAGGGCTAGATATTAAAAGAGAACCAAACCGGCCATTAATTGTTGTCAGCTATCACCAGCAGCTACCCAACTTATTTCGTTCTCGCTCCCCCTTCCAACCTTTCCAGGGTCCACGTTTGTTCAGCAGCTGCCAATTCCGTAAGGATCTTCAGTAGCCTGTCTTTCCCGGCTCAGCTGTTGCTGCTTACCATATTGTACACGCTCGTTGATAACCCTCTTTTAGTCTTGTGAATACTCTTTATCTCTTTCGGACTTCCTCAACCAGCACTGGGATCATACTGGGCGGGAACATACTATACTATACAGTTACTGACTTCTTCTTTCTCTCTTTCTGAAGAAGACTACATTAGACGACGACCTTTTTGACGCTACCTGGCTAGGTAAAGTAGCTGTTGCTGGTATCCTACCTTATCCTATCCACCATACTCGATTCCTCCCGCTTCTTGGGTTCTTCTAGGTCGGGGGTGGCTTTTTGTCCCTCTCGGCAATCACCTTCTCGTCTTGTCCAGTCGGGGCCTTTGTTATTGCAACGCCACAAGCTACTAAGCGTGTAGCGTTCGTTCGCTTCTACTACATTCTCTAGTAGTGACTGGGGGAAAAAAAAAAGAGAGACGAGAAACAAGCACTTTCGACAACGCCGAAAAGGTGTCGCTCTAGTGCCCATTTCTACATCACGCTACCCGTTGGACTCTTCCACATCATTAGCCCGCCAACGTCTTTGTGAAGGGGAACAGAAAGAAGGCTGGGTGGATTCTGAATCTAACAGTACAATCATACATACATTACTGGTTTGTGGCTCCACCGCATATTGCTAGGCCTGATGAGCAGCGGGTTAACATTTGTGACTTGATGAGAAAAGAACGACCAGCCAGCGCCAAGCCCAGCCAGGACAACCCTGGCCCATCTTAGCCCCCCCTTGTCAGCTACACTAGCGCTACTCGACTCCCCCATCCTCTGGCTCTTTTTGATAATAAGGCACCGTTATCCCCTCAATCGACCTAAACGTCGGCTCCTCTCTACCAAATAAGGGCACCAGGATCAGCCATTCCGGTTCTGACGTCCGCTCGGCTCCCCCCTCCAACCTGCGAACTTCTGCTAAACTTAGTGCACAACCGCCGAACTCCTGCTGCTATTATCCCCAAACGACCTCTTCTCGATCTTTTGCTTTTATTTTTTTTCACACCTTCCACCCTTTCGACACTGTCGCTTCAGAATAGAAAAAATATTATTTTCCGACCAAGACAAAGACGAAGGCGACGGCCATTTTAAGCGAAAACCACAACTCATTGGGGACCCTTCCGGACGCCGCTTTACTTTCGCTACCGTCACCCCGTGTTGCATGAGAAAGAGGGATACTGGGCAGTCGGCTTGTTTTGCTAGGGGACAAGAGAGGGCCTCGTGACCTGTGGGACATTTGAGAACCGCCGCCGCCATGTCGAACGATCCGTCCGTACGGAGGCTGTTGCCTCAGAACTCGCACCTCGGCCAATTTGCATATGCGCCGCAGCAGTACCAACAACCGCGCGAGACTCAGAAGAGTGCGTTCCAAACCTTCCAACGAGACGTGGTCCCCGTTTGCACGATTACTTGTGGGGATATGGTTCTAATGTTGGTCAATTATAGATTATGTATTCGTGGATGAGCACAACCGGCATAAGCGATTGAAAGGTACGTCTCGAGTGCTGAGCCCCCGCACCCTTGTCTTGAAAGTCACGGCTAATTGGAATTTCTCCTTGCATAGTCATGAGGTACGAATTTCCATGGATATAACAGCAGCTGGATATATTGCTGTACTAACACGATAGTTTCAGAGCATGTGAGGGGTGCAGGAGAAGGAAGATCAAATGCGACGCTGCCACGACAAACACATGGCCCTGCTCTGCCTGCATTCGCCTGAAGCTGCACTGCGTGAGGCCGAATGGTCAATACGATGGCTCGGCTGATTCTCAGCCCTACGAGACGCCGCGCGCCGATTACGAGACAGGTCCAATGCCTGATGATTTTAGGCAAATGTCTTCGCAGTCTATGATGGGTGGGCAGCCAAAGGCAGGAATGTATGCGGCCCCAGGACCATATGCCGAGAGCCATAATGTCTACCAGGCTGTGCCATATCCAGCTCCCCAACCAGGTCAGCACAGCATGCACTACACTACAATTCCTCCTGTAGGCGTCCTCGATCAGTCATACGCACCTGCCAGCGTCTTTCCTACGCCGCCAATGCAGCATCATCACGCACCACCGCACTCGGAATCCTCGCCCGAGTCATACACCACGCAGGAACATTACCAGAACAGTGATCTTGCTGATCTACTTGGCTCTCTCAAGATGGACGAGAAGGGAACTGGTAAGCCGATTGCATTTTCGGGACTCGTATTGTGCTAACAAAACCTAAAGCGCCGTATCTTGACAAGGGACTTGCTGTGAGGAATGTCGATGACGATGAGCCGGTCACCGAAGATGCCGATGAATTCAAGGTTTCGTTACCCATGAGTTCCATGCCCGGCTCCAAGATCCGCATCCCACCGGAGTTGATGCCCGATGAGGAAACCATTCTGCATTATTTCGACTTGTACTTTGCAAACGTGCATCCCTATGTGCCTGTCCTCAACAAGGCTCAGTTCTACCAGCAGTGGCACACGAACCGAGAGTCCATCTCCCCGCTAATCCTTGAAGCTATTTTTGCCGTTGCCGGTCGCCTCGCTGATGAGCCGGCTCTGGGTCAACAATGGATTGCACTGGCTACGAGTAAGCCCACGCAAACAGGTCTTGGATGAAGAAGATGCTAACTCTCTGTTAGAACATGCCGACGCATTCATGGACGTGCCAAGGTTGAGCACGCTACAGGCGCTCCTCATCATTCTGAAGGCCCGCGAAGCTTCACCCAAGAAGGGATATTATTTCCGGTCATGGACGTCTATTGTCAACTGTGTCACCATGGGCAAGGATCTCGGCCTCGATGAACACTATGAAGATCACCAGGCTGGCAAGTCCTGCGGCTCTAGCGCTGCTGACTGCCTGACCAAGACCCGTATCTGGCAGACTATTTTCATCTGTGAGCTGATGATTGGTAGTCCCCAAGGTACGAAATCCTTCCTGAATAGTTTATTATAACCCAACTAACAGTTCTTGACTAGGTCGCCACGATCTTTCGGTCGATTTGGAATCTTTGGACTTTAGTGTTCCCCGGCCCATGCCAGGTGGTGACGATGCCGAGTATCACGTTACGCGCAACTTCACCTACTTTGCCCGCGTAGTGCGTAGCGTCAGGCGGATGAACAACGTCTACGGCAGAATCAAGAGGAGAAAGGACTGGGGCCTCGACCCAGAATTCGTGCAGCTCAACCCTTCTATGAACTCATGGCTAAGTGATCTACCCGCTGACCTTTCGGTCACCTTTCCTCCGGATGGCTCCCCTCCGTGGCTTCCTTCTCATTTCATCGGGAACTTGCACTCGTATTATTACCTGTCTGTTCTTATGCTCCATCGCCCACAACTCAACTTCCTGGACCCCAATAGCCAGGACGGGCAATGGAAATCTCACATGATCCTCTGCCTTTCATCCGCAAAGTTGTTGTGTCGATTGGAGGAGGCCATGTTGCAGTCTTTTGGACTGAGCGGATTGCAATGCATGCAGCGTGGCATTAGTTTCACCATCTATGCAATCCTGACGTGTATCCCGCTCTATCTTGTACGGTTCTCTTATGTATTCCGCCTCGAGTTTCTCATCACTAACAAATTTCTAGGTTGCCTTGACGTCTCCGGATCCGGATTTGAACGTGGATGCCAGGGACTACTTTACACGGCACATGCGTATCTTGGAAAAGACTATGGGATCCTGGCCAATGCCGGAGATGGTCAAGCAGATTGATGCCGTCCGGGAGGCCTTTTCTGCCGACCTGAGGAAGCCGTTTGTCCTAAAGCCCAGTTTCCCATATGGCAGCCCTGCGCACAGCCACAGCACACCGCCCCGGGTTAACATTAAGCCTCCGATGCTGCGGACAAGCTCAGTGGACCAAGTCAGTTATACCAGTCACCCCATAACTCCGCCCATTTCAGCTGGTCCTGTGGACAACAAGAGTGACTCTTCTCCTGCTATACAGTCGCTCGTCATGATGGCATCCGGCCAGAATTCCCAGGCTCCCTCACTGCCACATGGAATTTCAATGGCCGAACCACCAACCTGGAACCCGTCACGGATTTTTGAGTAAGTCGACGTGTGGTTTCAGCTCTTTTAACCTTTTGCTAATAGACAACTCCAGTCAGTGGAACTCCACATTTGGTACGCCCCAGCCAACCTCAGTGCCCCCTCAGTCCAATTCCCTAAGTGTTCCTCCATCTTCAGGTACCCCGGAAGTCCCATCCATCCAGGCTCTTCAGAGTGCAAACGCCGCTCTCCCATCCGGTCAGCCAATGCCCCCTCAGCAATACTCGGCAGCTCCGGTGCAGTCATTTGTAACTCCCGCCATGTGGCAGGAGTCTGTGGCCAGTGTATACGAGGGTGGTCTCAAGAGGCATTGGGATGCTCGATGAGATGCCTTCATGGCCAAAGTCCGTGGTTCGCCATGAACCGCAGGGGGCATATGGCGCCATGATGATGCGATGACTACCATGTATATCGATGAGCCGATCCACGACGTAACGATTCCACGAATACGCGATCTCTTCTGCCAACTTGCAGAAGCAAACTGAAATTCTACGTTTTTTTTTTTTTTCCCGCCTCTGGCCTGTCAGACCTTTTTCTTTTTTTCCCCCTTTCAATTTCGGATGATACATATATACACTGCCTTTTTTTTGTACAACAAGCACATGTTCCGGCCAGGCAAAATAAAATTTTCAATGGACTGATTGGGTTACGATCGATACGACTTGTACAGATCCAGAGCGGCGGAGGGCATATTTGCATAATCAAAAGTGAGCGATCAATTTTGATAAGAAGTATTCCCTCTCGGCCGCGGGCTGCTGTGCCGCGTTCCGCGAGTTCTTTTTCGAGTCTGGCGTTGGGGTCAGATTTTAAAATCAATCTGACTCATCAGTTCTATCATTTACGGATGATATTTGTACTAAGCAACTCCTTGGTGAGGTTGCCGATGTATTATTACAGTATACCATTTGCTTGTTTTTGGGGCTTGCCAAAGAATGGGTTGCTTGTTGATCAATGGTGCATGAAAGACTTGGAACCAGCATATAGGTATTAAGGATATACAAAGCCCTGGGGGCTGTTTGCAAGATCTTGGTCGCTTCATTTATGAACTGTTCTGCGTGTGGCCATTTGTTGCATTGTCTTGATTCTTGGTGAACTGGGCCTCCGTCTATCCGGTCGTTGGTAAATCTAATTGTGTCTAGCAACACGAATACTGTAGAGAGTACTATACATCTTGCCCCTTATTCATGGACCCGTCGCCATCCTTCAACGGTGTCCGAGTCTTATGAGGACTTGAGTCAATGTCATACCGCAAAAGCTCCAAGGGCAGTAGCGGAGAATAGTAGAGCACCGAGTGTGAGTCCCAAGGTACTAAGAGTGTAATCGGATGCTCCCCGAGGCGCAGCATTGCCAGACGAAGTCGAGCTTGAGCTAGAGCTAGAGCTAGAACCCGTCTTTCTGCTGCCGCCACCAGTCCCGCTCGCGACGATACTGGCGCCGGCGCTGGTGGGCAATACCGAATCCGTCACCGTGGCCGTGGCCGTCAGGTTGCCGCTGCAAAAGACGCTGGTCCAGCCGGCGCCCTGATCAAAGAGGCAGTCCCGGAGGTCTTGTACGCTCTGGTCTTGAGCCTGGCAGTACAGGCCGCAGTTGTCATAGTAGGAAATTACATCCGCTGATTTGCAGCAGGCGGCCATGATGTCGGTGTGGTTGCCGCCGTACGGCATGGCGCAGACGGCGTCCTGGACTGGTGTGTCGTAGATGTTGGCCGTGCAGGTATTAGCCGCGGCTGCTGAAGTCGTTGTGGTAGTAGACATGGTGGGCAATTTTTGGCTTGTGTGACCAAACTACAGGTTTGAATCAAATTAATTTGGTAAAAGATGAAATGTGGGAATAGACACCAAGAACTATAGAATAGAACAGAATGATAGGACTGAAAGAAGAGACAGTGATTCATCAAGTCAATAAGTATATATCAATACCGCGTTTGCCACGCTCGATTCGCTCGTACTTGTGTAATTGAGCAGACTATCAACTCCGAACATGGACTTCTTGTGGGGTTATCTAGTCTAGACGACTAGTTGACTTGTGCTGGCCAATGAAGCTAATGAATATAAATAAACACGAAGTTGAATTAGAGTCCGTTGTCTCAGCCAGCAGCTACTTTCGTGCCCCACATACGGGTTGATCTTGGGCAAGATGTGAAGCAACGATGAAAGTTTCAACATGAAAAGTTAGCCACGACAATATTCCAAAGGCTGCTCACAATTTTGAAAGCGTTTCGATAGATCTACGAAGAGAGGCTTTGCTGGAAAATAGACCGTTGGCCCAGCTCAGTCGAAGCTGGTATATTCGTGGACTGAGATCAGATTATACCACGTTGAAGGAATATGCCCGTACATTGCGACTACGGTCCGGAATTGGAATGAAAGGTCGGTTGTCTTGTCTTCTTTATTTAATATCTGCATGAACATGTCTACTGCGAATATAATGCCTCCATGACGAACGCGCAGTTACAACCGTGACTACGCAGGGGAAATGTCTATTCTATCGAGATCTATCGGTCCACAATTATAATTCTACACATGAATGCTGTTTAGACCTGATCAGGATTCGTTTCATACCGCTCCCAATTTGCGCAAAAGCTCGCTCTTGGGCACTTCATCGTTCCACCGCGGTCTCGGGCGATCGAATGTGCTTGTGATCCGGCCATAAGCCATCCCACCGAGCTGTGCGATAGGTCTCAGTTTGTCGAGGTCAATATGACTATAGTCGGCATTGGAAGCGTCTGAGCGCACCCAAAACCTTGTTGCCTTGATAAGTACCAGAGCCGCAACACTCTTGCCGTCCTTGGCATGGTCCTTGAACTCGTTGACGTCAACCACCTTGCCCTCTATCGAGAAGACGGATTCCTGCACTCTTGCGGGCGCCACCGTGGTAGTCGGCGCCTTTGTGAGTCCGGACAAGTCCCACTCCGACACCCCGTACGGAGCATCGATGGAAGTCGCGTTGACGGCCTCAATCATGTCCTCGGAGACCGTGTTGATGACGCACTCGCCCGTCTCGCTCAGGTTGCGATACGTGTCCTTGGGCGGCCCGGGCCGCGATGAGAAGCCGACAATAAACATTGGCGGGTCGTGGTCAATGACCTGAAAGTAGCTGAACGGGGCCAGATTTTCGCTCTTGCCGTCGGCTGACTTTGTGCTGATGAAGCCTATGGGCCTCGGCGCGATCCCCGAGACTAGAAGACGGTAGTTGCTCACCATGGACCGGTCGGGGGCATAGGGGTCGACTTCAATATGTGCTGCAGTATCTCGGGTCGCTGGGTCCCTTCCACGGGCTCCATCACCGTAACTCCAACTCGGATCGGGCGACTTGGTAACGGTAATGGGCGTTTTGCTGTGGTCGAAATCGGGCCTGGACGCCTCCGTCTCCTTGAAATTCGTGACTCGCATGACGATTGGATTGTCTGCTGGAGCCGCTGCGGCCGCCGAACTTGCTGCAGATTGGGACGATGATTGCCGCTTCATGAGCAACCCCGTATAGCCTCTTGCCAGATTATGACGTCCTGACCTGATGGTAGTAATCCTGTCCAGCGTGTTAGTGAGAATCATATCTGCTGATCAGGGGCCTTACCTTGACTGGATCGCGCGTGCGACTTTGTCCGACACCATTTTGAAGATTTAAATTCAAAAGGAAATTGTATACCCGTAGTCATGGGAGACTCATACCTCCCAGCTTTATTTGGTCAACTGACGGTCCCAGCCAGTGTTGACTCGTTTTGCTGTTTGTCCCAGAGTCGGCGGGCTGATCCGATACTTTTTAGCGGACTGGAGAGCATCGGACACAAGACCCGACCATATATTCCGGAAACCGGCCATCTTTCAAAGACCTCATATGCAACTTCACTCTATTCTATGTTCACCTTAAGAAATCTCTTGAATTGCAAGATGTAGTAGCATACTAACATTTAGGCCCTGGAACCAGTTGAGTGTGCCTTGTGTTCCATTGACCTGCGCCCAAAGACCCTGATTGATGCACCTCGGTCAAGGCCTAAGGCCTCAGGAACTGCACACCAGCACCAATCCACCGAGCCAAGTCACTATATTGACTTCATCGTTTGAATCACAGTGTCTATCTTTTACAATGCGCCATATCAAGGTTGAAATCCATGGCAACTGAGGTAATTTTGACTTTTGTTTGAATAAAGGCTTTTACATTTATATTATCATATGTACCTAGTAGGCAACTACATTGTACTTGGTGTGTTTAGTGGGACAACATTGAAGGACGGGAGGCTTTTAGGCGTGACTTGGCACCTACGGCAGAGAATTAGGCGCTATGATTTTTAGTGGCGCTGGCGTCTTTGCAGGGGATTTCGCCCGAGGCAGAAGAAGCACGCAAGCAAAATTGCGCTATCAGATGGTCGGAGGCGTCTTCCGATCAAAAGCCGTGACAAGTGACACTTTGAGCAGATTCAGTCCTCATGCCGACACTCAGAAATTCGGGAGTCTCGAAAAAGACGTCAAAGGCGTGTAATCGGTGTCGGGCCTTGAAAGTGAAATGCTCCGGTACGCAGCCGTGCGAGCGATGTGCTCGAAGCTCGAAACATCAATGTGTTTTCGCCATTGAAGAGAAGCGAGTCGCTGTTCCTGAACGGTGAGACTGGATATCCCCTCTGGATCTAGCCTTGTATTCGTCACATTGACTGAAACTCTTCAGTTATCTTCGTGAATTAGAGCGCCGAAGTACCATTGTCAATACTAAAAATGTTCCCACTTCTGGCGCAGATGGACGGCAGAGTCAGACAGAGAGTCTCTCGCCAACTCATGGTCCAACTGATTCCACAGGACGCAGGAATGTTGGCGAGACTGCATTGAATAACGCTCAAGATTCTGCTGTAACCGAACCTGGATTTCGACAAAACCCTTTGGTCGACTATGATCTCACCTTTCCCAAGGCAGCTGGTCGTTACTGTGAGTTTCTCATCATATAGTTTCTATGTACACACACTAAACATGACGGCACAGGGTACATGGGACCTTCATCGTCGTGGTCATTCTGTCGACGAGTCTTTGCCTTGATCAGACAGAGGATCCACGAGGCCGATTGCCCACCAGTCCCGTGGAATTTTGACGGCACCGCCTTTCATATGGACTGGGCTTCTCTGCCGCGGGATAAATGTCCAGATGTCTCGAATCTGCCCCCTCTTGATTACGCTCTTTTTCTATACAACACGGCCAAGTTCTATTTGGGCGGCAACCTCATGTGTCTTATTGACGAAAGCAATTTTCTTCGACAGCTCAATGAACTCTATGCGGACCCTCAATTAAAAGCCAGACAGTGTCGCTACTGGTATGCTACATATCTTTTGATAATAGCTTTCGGAAAGGCTTTTGCATGCACGCGGGGGCACCATGGCCCGTCTGGCTATCAGTATGCGCAAAGAGCCATGGGGCTTCTACCAAGCATATCCATCCTGCCAGCGGATACGATTGAAGGGATTCAATTACTCGCACTGGCAGCCATATACCTTCAGTCCCTAGACATGAGGGTTGGCGCGTTCCAAGTGATTGGGCAGGCGCTGAGGCTCTGTCTCGTAGAAGGTATGCATCGCGAAATGCGCGAAGAAGTAGAACGTGAGCATTCCCAGCGATGTAGCGCGGTGTTTTGGACCGTGTACGTGCTGGAAAGAGAGTTCTCTGCCTTGTTTGGTGCGCCCAGTTCCATCCGTGACGAGGATATTACAGCAAAACTACCAGCCGAGGCGGAAAATGCTGCAGACCCTTCCATGTTGAAGCTCCACGTGCAGCTTTCTCGCCTCAGAGCACAGATAATGGATACCGTGTACAGTGTTGAGCCGGCCGCTGCAGACTCCCTGGTGAGTAATGTCCAGAAAATACTCCGAAATCTAGCGATCATGCTCGAGGATATGCGGGTAGACAGCCGTCTTCATGGACCCAACAGCCTTGCATCGAGAAAAGCGTTGAGGTTAATATTGGGACACCACCATGTAGGTTTTCGAGAGGCCCAAAAGAATGACCTTTTTCTTGATAGCTGATCTGGCTCAGTGTGTTGTGCTGTCAACCCGACCGCTGGTCATGTGCGCTCTGAATCTGTGTCTTGACCGCCGACAAAGGCAAATCACGGAAGCAATCTCTCTATCTCCAGCAGTCACGTCTCTTCTCCAAGCATGTCTTGATTCAGCTCAAACCACATTGCGCACACTAAGGTTGCTTGCCGAAGAGGAGCTACTAGGTACGATATACCAGATTTAATGCAACAATAGCCGGGATGCAAAACTGACCTAGATACCACAGAAGGATTTCTCCCTTTCCAGGTCGAAGATGCCTTTTCTTCTGCCTTCATCTTGCAGCTAATTTCATTCGTGGCTCCCGACTTGATCTTGGACGAAGGTTGGAATGTCAATGCACAGATTGCGTTTGACCACATGGTGGCCAGGGGGAGCATACTGGCACCCTTGCGTCTGGAGGAACTCCGGCAGCTGGAACGAACTCTGTCTTCACTAAAGCCAGGAGCTCAATCCGAGAAGACTACGGAACATGGAAATGAAGTTGACACACAGTTGGGTGATGATGGCCATGGGCTGCACGAGCCTGGTTGGGATTTGTTCTTCATGGACTGCTTGGGTACACTGTCATCACAAGACATGATGGGTTTGGCTGATCAGCTTGATTCAGAGACTGAATTCGCGGCATTGATATGAGTTGTACCTAGTACACCTCAATGACTTCTTAGGCAGATTGGAACCTTTGAGAGCATGAACACCCCGACTCTGGATGAGTTTGCAGCTCCTACTTTCCATGACCCTCCTTCTGCTCGCTTGTGGGACGCTCCTTTGCTCCAGTATCTTTGGTGCTGGGTGCGCGGACCGAGTGCTCATCAGCCTCCTCCTTGCAAGATTGGCCTCCCCTATCTGCAGGGCTTTTACTGCCAGAGGCCGGTGTGCCCTCCTCGTCAGATCTGCCAGCTGATCCCTCCCGACGGAGACGGTCAACCCATCTCATGAATGCCGGGTCCCTATCCCTGAGTTGCTCTCGAGGCTCTCCACCTCCGATGAAGAGCCGCCTGACAAAAGCCATGCTTTCCGGATCTAAATCGGAACGCAATGTCTCGACCAGCTGTTTAAATGACATGCTGTAGAACCGCTCCTCTACGCTGCGATTGTCGCGCTCCTACAAGATATGAGTCAATTATAATTCTAGAGAATAGAGATGCGGTTCGAGGAGTGAATAGTCTGGGAAGCCTATTGCAAAATTGTCTTTAGGGAAAAAGATAGGCTGTGCTTACCTCGCGATCGGAGTTCTTGCCTCTGTCATCCATCGCGATGATGGAGATTGGCTCAGAGATGACTTATGTTGGAAGAGAAGGTTGCGGCGCGTTGAAGAGAAGGAACAGGTAAATGATGGTTACAAAGACGAAAGAATTGGCAATGTAGCGCCTTTGAATGAAGTGGTGGCAGTGCAAAGATTCCGCAGTGGCAGTTTGTTGCTAGGTTTGAAAAAGATTTCTAGCATACGCCACAACTTCACTTGAATGCTTACGCTGGTGGTAGGGAAACAAAGGAAGGTACCGTTGCAGATATCTCAGTCTAGAATTTCGCAGGACAATTGAGCGATGAATTGAATTCTACCGGCGGCTGGCCACGACTGATGAGTTGTTTGCATTTATCAAAGTTAAGCCAAAGTGGACTTACATGAAAATGTTTATTTTGTCAACGCTGATACAATAGGCAATGGGAGCTTCCAATCATTATCTATGCTGCGTGTAAGCAAAACAAGAACGGCAATATCAGAACATATGAACCAGAGCAAGCCAGGAAAACCAACCTCACGCTCATTCAGTCGTCAGTGCTTACCTTTGGGTGTCTCGAGTACCGAAACTTTGTCAATCAAATTGTCTTGACTTTTTATTATTACCTTGCACTATCAAGTTCACTTAGCTGAAGATGTTCAGGGGGTCAAAGGCGAATAGCAATGCATTCGTGTGAGTGAGGTCCTCTTTTTCTACCTGAAATGCAGCGTATAAGCAAGTAGGAAAGGAGGTTGCCCCCATGCAGATAAAAACACAAACACAAAACTTGCAAATACCATGCAGATATGTCAACCTTCCCATTCTCACTACGATATCGACGGAGTGATTGCCCACTATGAAATATCGTCAAAGTGGTTGCCCACTATGAAATATTAACATAATTCAGTGGTTGCCCACTCTTCGGTATCATCACGAGTGGTTGCCCACTGTCGGGCATCGACTATCCGAAACGGCTTATGAACCCGCTGCCACGACCTCCTCGACCTCCACGACCACCGAGAGGAACTTGGCCACCGAGACCATAGCCAATTGATTGGAAACGGCTCAGGTGAGCTTCTGAAGGATTGAATCTGTCCCAAAGAGACCTCTTGGTGGCTGTCTCAATCTCTTCCTCACCGCCTGCAGCATTCTGACTAGACTCGTTCATTGGAGGGAGATATATGGTCGAGGTGGGATTCTCAGGGCACCAAAGCGTAACAGGTTCTCTTCCCAAGTTCCAATTCTTCTTTGGGATCATGTCTTTCGTGATCTGACGGCCGGCGTTCTGCCAATCAGTGTACATGTCGTAGTCCCCCCATCCCATGCCAACTCCATAAGGACAACGATGTTTCTCAACGAATGCGTCATGAGTGGTGGTTCGAGAATCTGTTATGGAGCTGGGCGAGGGCAGCATTCTGGCAGGTGCAAAGGAAAGCGAGGCCGAGGACTGAGCATCTTGACCCATGAGTTCTCCTGGTGCCTAAACCGCCTTGTTGTCGCCTCTTGACTCAAAGGATAGATCGTCAAAGGAAGATCCGGTATGAAAGAGCTTCATTGTGTCCCTATGTGGCTTGTCTTGGTGAATGATGTCCTCAGGAGCTGAGATCGGGCGGGGATCCACACCGTTCTTGTCTTTATTGCATGGACGGCTTGGATAGTACCAAATATTCCATCCTTCGGACTTCCACTTTTCAACATCATCCAGAGGAATGGTTTTCGACACGGTTGTGCCATTGGCCGGATCCGTTCTGACTACATTGATATGGACTCCTTGGCAGTCATCATTGACTCCAGGCGCGAAAGGGCCGACGCCTGTTACTGCAGGTGCAGCAGGGCACTGGCATGCATGCAGCTTTGAGCCTGTTCCAGTTTCATCAGGCTGAGCCAAGATGTATCTGGTTTTAGGGAAAACCTCTTCCATGGTGCTGTTCCAACCTCGGAGAGATTGGTAAACTGCTTCTACATGAGCAGTAGGCTTCTCTGGATTATAGACCCACGGATCTTGCCAGATTTGCGGTATGTTTGTAAAGTCGAAAACGGCAGCATGAGCTGCCTCGGTCTCCCCAGGTACTGATTGTTGATATGGAGTGACTGTTGAACCGAGGGTATCTGGAGTGGCTGCTGATTGCACAGTAGCGGCGCTGGTAGGGTACTGGGGCTGGCGATGGGGCAGGGAATGGGCTGTCTCTTTCGCTCCTGTCAGTGAGAGAAATACAGTGCCTGAATTGATACTAAAATCATCATGCAATGCTTCGACATGTGCGTGGTGGACGATTTGAAGCTTTTGGTGTTTTATCGGATCGTGGGAAGTAGAGAAGGCAGAGAAGGGGGGGATGAGAGGGTTAAACTGCTCCGCAACCTCGTAGAACCAAACGGGTCAGTCAAAAAAGCGCCAGGCTTGAGGATTTTTTGAACATGATTATGCCAATCTGATCTCAGTGATTATTCGACTTCCTATCTGTCTAGGTACGTGTCAAGCTGTCCAAAACATTCCTGTACAAACGTCTTAATACCAGCTTGTCCGTTGGAATGACCCATCTGCTCGATTGATCAAATGGAGTAATCACTGATAGCACCTTCGCCCGCCACGCACCTCTGTCTTTTTTCTTTGACTGCAACAGTCGTGCAAACGCTCAATCTTGCCACAAACCTTTTCTTCTCTTGTCACCCTTCATTTTCAGTACTCTATCAGTCACGGATGCGCATCAGAATACACATTACAGATCCTCTGTACACCACGCAGCTTGGGCAGCTCTCAGAAATGGACCAGTTAAGGCGAAATCAGACCACGGCGGAGCAAGCCACTGCCCTCGAGGATGGCAATAATAATTTCTTGACGAACAAGCCCTACAGCGCTCGATTTCGTGAGCTTTTGAAGCAGAGAAGAAGACTGCCTGTTTCTGCCAACCGATCCCGCTTCCTTGAGCTCTACCAGCGATCTCGTGTCATAATCCTGACCAGGTAAGATCTCAGCTTGGTCGCGAGAGCCCCAATCAAGCTAACGTGGATGTTTCAGCGATACTGGCTCGGGGAAGACCACGCAAAGTACCCAGTTCATTCTGTTCGATGAATTTGCGTCGGGCAAGATGGTTGCCTGCACTCAACCTCGCCGCCTTGCAGCCACCAGCGTCGCCACGAGGGTTGCCGAGGAGCTGGATGTAGAGCTGGGAGCCCAGGTTAGTAACTGCATAGTTTCACTTTGATTTTTCTTCATTGGATGATACTGATTCAGTTCTACAGGTGGGATACAATGTTCGATTCGATGTCAAAGGCAGCAAAGAGACCCGTCTGGGTTACATGACCGACGGAAAGCTGCTCGCAGGTGCCATGGCCGATCCTCTATTCTCCAAGTATTGCTGCATCATCATCGATGAGGCGCATGAGAGAACAATTCCGACCGACATCTTGCTGGCCCTACTCAAGCGTGCTATCAGCGACCGAGACGATCTCTCAGTAGTTATTATGTCCGCCACTTTGGACGCCCAAAGATTCCAGAAATCTTTTTGGCGGTGAAGAGGTGGCCCCGATGCTCTATATCTCCGGCAATGCACACCACGTCAAGGAGTACTATCTCCCTTCACAAACGGGTCACTCAGGAGAGACCATAGAGGGGGCAACCCCATCCTATCTTCACACTTCGGCCAGCTTGGTCGAGCATATCGACTACGGATGCCCAGAGGGCAAACTGTTGAAAAACCAAGATTTGGATGAGATCACCCTGTGCATAGCAGTAAAAATCCACTCCATATTGCCCTTCCCCCCTTTTTTTAAGGTTTAATAAAAAAATAAAAAGGTATAAAAATAAGAGAATACGAAATTAAAAGAGAAAAAAGTGTAATATGAGAAAAGAAAGAAAAGAAAGAAAAGAAAGAAAAGAAAGAAAAGAAAGAAAAGAAAGAAAAGAAAGAAAAAAAGAAAAAATATTTCTTTTTATTTATTTATTATTTCTTATCTCTTTTAATGTTATAATTCATTATGATTTTTTTGTTATAGCCACGGTGAGGTGAGCGTATAAGGGCAAAATCGGGGTTTTTCAACAATTTGGCCTCTGGTGCTCCGTAATCGACGCAAAAGAAGGTCCTGGCGATATTCTTATGTGAGTTCCAGACCATATATCTTCATTACTGCAAGAAGGTGACAAAGTTTGATTTGCCAGATTCATGGCAAGCGAGCTCATCAGGTTCAAGCGTGGGGCCATGACCGTATTGCCGTTGTACGGGAATCTGTCACCGGAACGCCAGAGGGAAGTCTTTGCATCCACATCTGGACGGAAGTGGGTGGCTGCTACCAACATTGCAGAGACAAGTCTCACGATAGACGGTATCGTCTACGTCATTGATTGTGGCCTTGCAAATGACATGATGTTCAGTCCTCAGCTCCGCGCCAATGTGCTTCAACGTACAGCGATCAGTCAAGCCAGCGCGAACCAACGAAAGGGCAGGGCTGGCCGCACTCGCCCCGGCGTTTGCTATCGTCTGTATACGCAAGACATGTTCACAAGTCTCCAGCCAAGCACTGTGCCAGCCATATTGCGCGCGGACATGAGAACCGCCATCCTCCAGGTTCAAACATGTGGGTTTCACGATGTTTGGTCTTTTGATTGGCTTGACAAACCTGCCCCAGAAGCTCTACTACGTGCCATCAGTGATCTCAAATGGATGTGAGTGCCTATATAAGCATTTCCTTGTGTCGCTCATGCATCGTACTGATATTTCCTCGTGTAATATAGGGGTTTCCTAGACAAGAATGCCAAGATCACAGGGCAAGGCAAACAGGCTGCAAAATGTCCCGTTGACCCGGCTTGGTTCTATACAATTCTCCAGGGCATGAAGTTCGGATGTGCTCAGGAGACGATCTCACTGGCCGCTCTCTCGAGTACACAAGGCTCAATTTTTCTTCGTCCGCACAGTCATCGATACGCTGCCGACTTGATCGGACGTCCCAACTTTGGTCACCCAGTTTCCGACCACCTTGCCCTTCTTAACGCCTACCATGCATGGTGCCGAGTGGATAACGCCCACGAGAATCATGTCACGGCAATCTGGAGTGAGAGACATGGTCTTTCCAACAAGACTCTTCGTGAAGCTGCCAAGATTCATGAGCAGTTAGGTGGAAACCTTCAGTACCTCCTACAAGGAAAGTTTCCGGCAGCCAAGTTTGACGACCCTGAGTATGCCACCAATATTCGCAAGGCATTGGCTGCAGGACTATTCCTCAACTCAGCTATCAGAGTCAAAGGCGAAGATACTTACAAGACTGCTCAAAGACACAATGGCCTGATTTCGCCCGAGAGCGCCCTAGTAGGAGGGCAACATGAGTTGGTGGTTTGTTCGACACTCGCCATGTCGAATAGACTATACCTTGTCACCTGCACTCGCATTGAACCAGAGTGGATCGCGGATATGCCATACTTTGCTGAAGAGAACGTACTGAAAGATGCACATGGTCAGCCAAAAGTGGCCATCATGCAAGAATCGCTTGCCAGAGCCAGAGGAAGGATTGAAGCGGAGAAGAGACGCGATGTAGGGGCTGAGAAACCGCAGTAAAGACCAATCTCTTGTGCAGGAGGCTAAATCGACGAAGCAAATCCGAGTGCACAGGGGCAACCTCTTCAGTAGCTACATCATGTGTACCTAGGTGTGCAGTATGTAGAGTTTCTGTAAAGATGTTGATGCATTTCTTGTTTCTTGCTCTTTGGTGCAGTCACAACGGTGCAGTTCTCATGAGAAATTGTAAAATTCTCGATATTCTCTTGTGAATGAATGGATGCACTTGATCACAAGCGACAAAACGCCATGGTGTATAGAAATTATCGCACACCTCAAGTGAACACTGATGCGTAAGGACTTCATCTACAGCAACGCGCCTTGACGCTCTCTGTACAGTTTTGTTTGGACGGTGCCGGTAATGCCAAGAAACCACGTTATAATTGATGTTATTTGTACCTTCTCTAACATTGTCCGAGTAGCCTCCAATCAAGCTCACTTCCTGCTGTCGTGGCTCCTTGTGAGGCCTGTCCTTCGCTCCGTAGGGCAGTCACGAGAGAGAGACGTCATTGGTGCTGGGGTTCTTGGGCAGGCATAAACTACAAATCATGCAAAATCAATGATACGGTATTCGCATTGGTACAACCAGCATTGCGCCGTCTCACTGACCAATGTTGACTGGCGGCTTTGATCACGCTGGCTCCTGGTACCGCCAGAATGTCGACCAACGAGACCACCGGGTTGAAACAACCCAACTTGGCCAGTACATGGGACTCCGAAAACCCGAGGTCGTGCGTCACCGGGGCATGATGGGCCAAATGTTCAGCCAACTGCTCTGATGATGATCGTGGTATTTGGCAATGTGCGATGGCGTGGGCATGAGCTATGGGTTATGAGAGATCAGCTATGGTATTTTGCGACTTGACTACCGCGGGCAGAGGCACTCAGATCGCTTCGGACCTGTTGATGAAAATGGCCGTATTGTCGGGAGAAGATGGGAGACCACGACTTTTGGAGCCTACGAGACCATTGCCCAGTACGGGCGTAACAAGAAGCGACAATTCTGACGCTGGGCGATTTTGTCCCTGCCCGGATCAGTTTCCCCTAATTGCCTGAAGTGCCTCAGGGAACAGTGCGAAGCAACACGGGAAATCCCCGACTATACTGCTTGAACTTGTGGGCAGCCGTCGTGACAATCCCTGTCAAACAACTGAGAGCCGAGAGGGACAGACAAGTCGTTGCCGCTGAAAAGATTCGAGAGTACTACACCCGTGGTACCTTCCCATATTGTGCCCCAGCCAGTGGCCGCTAGGTGTCTCGATCTCATCGGACTGGACCACGACACACCTGGTATGTGGAAAGGCCTCTTCAACCGTGGCAGACTGCCTCCTCGTAGGCGTCCGGCTCGTCCGGACGGTATGCCCAGGAGCGATGCCACATCTTTGGCAGCTCCTCAAAAGCTGTAATAGCAGCTTCTGATACCTTAATCTCCAAGGACATTGTTGGTTGAGACAAAGGAATTGTCACGACCTCGGGATCAGGGTGGTTGACTGCTTGGGCGGTTGGTGAGGGGGCGATAGGTGCTTGCACCCCACTAGACACTGCTGTGTCGTGATAGGTTATCTGCAGTTCAATTTTGTTAGAAGCAATAAAATTATCCCAATGATGTTGGACTTACCGAGGTGCTGCCAGGGGCACAAGCCGGAGCACTTGGTGGCAGGCGGACAATAGGTCTCATGACGAGAGATTCTTGCTCTGTAGCATGAGCATCGGTCGTACTCTTCGCGTCAAGGGCGTCACTCAAAGTCTGAGCTGTGGTAATCGACTCCTGTGTAACTGTGCTGGCTGCGGGTCGAATAGCAGCACCTGCATTGCTTGCAGAGGACGAGCTGTTCGCACCAGCGTTTCTTGACTGCAAATTTTAATTGCTGTTAGCACAAGAATCCAACATTTTTCATGGTGTACTGACATAATCGCGTGCTGGCTCGGCATGCAACATCCTGCCTTTGAAGTTGACTTTGTCCAAGGCTGTTGTGGCTGCGGCAGCTTCTGTACAATAACTGAACCGAATGTGGCAGTGATGGTTGAAGCGATCAGTCTCGGCCTGCTTCGGCCAAATGAGAGCACATGATGCAACGTTCCTCTGGGCAAACAGTTGATCGATTTAAGCCCGGTAGGCACCAATCGGAAAGCCCCTGACAAAGATGAGGCGGTCCTTTCTGGTCCATTTGATGAGCTTGCAGGGTCGATTCTCCCTGTAATGCATCCACTCGTGCACGTAGACAGGCATTTCTGATGACTTGTGAGTGATGAATGGATGCAATGAAATTCAACGCGTGTGGAGTAGCTTACTGGTTGCGTGAAGTTCTCAATAGTTTCGGAATGGTTTGTGGTTGTTGAAGCTGAAGAAATTGTCAGATTGTGACAGGCAGTGGGCGCGCAGAGGAGAGGAAAACAAATGGAAGATCGAGGAGTTGCTTGGTTGAAATCCACGTTGTGAGCAAACGACTTAGTTTAGGTACTTGGGCCACTAGGATGGTTAGTCGAGTGGAATAATATAAGATGCTGCACTATCAGTTATTTTGAAAATCCTAGCCTCATGCCATTTCCTTGGAATAATCAGCATTTTCAATCACAAGCAGAATTAAATCAAAGGCCAATGCAAAATCCGCCAGCAATGGTTATTACTCCCAAGACCTAAATGATCTTGGAGAGAGTGATGACGAGGACGTCCAGCTGAAAAAGTCCAAGAACTTATCCACCAAGAAAACGTCCGGGAAGCAGCGTGCAACCAAAGCTGCGGCCAGTCTCTACAGCTTGGATGAGGACGACATTGAGCAAATTTCGACGTCTGGTATGAGGCAACCTCCCCAGTACAAGAAATTGAGCAACCACCCGAGATTGATTTTGATGATGCTAAGACCCGAATAGAAGAAGTAGAAGAGGACGGCCGCACGACTGGCTCCGCAAGATGAAGGCAAGAATGAGAGGGAAATCGACATTCACCATGCTGGTGAGGATGATGCTGCCAATGACTTCGGCGACGAAGAGCCGGACGATTATTTCATCCCCTCCAACGTGGAAGATGATGGAGAAGAAGAAGACGAAAGCGAAGAATACGATGAGATCATCGACGTTGTTTTGTCAGAACATGAGTCTCAGACCGAAGGCAAGGGCCGTGCAAAGCGAAGTGCCACTATCAAGGCAGAGGCCTCTCGAGGGAAGCGACAACGTCTAGATGTACCCAAGACCGCCGCCCAAGTCTTGGCCAAGATCAACAGACAGTATCCCGTGGCACGTGAAGATCCTGATGTTGCAAGATTTCGGCAACGAATGGCTGCTCTGGTCGAAGCATTGCACGAAAAGATCAAAGAAGAGGGCCAATAATACATCGCAAAGTACTTTAGCATACCTGCGGATCAGCGAAAACATAAACGCGAGGACATGTCAATCCCCTTCCGAAAGTACTTTCTCCATCCTCAAAGAACGCCCAGGTGCATATTGAAGCAAATATTTGCAGCCATGCCACTGAAGTCACACCAAGTTTTGGGACGAAGTAGCCTTCAACCAAGCGATCTTTTGGATCTCCCAGCAGGCAACCACGAACTCGACGACTGGATGGTCTACGTCGACGTCCTCACGCAGATGATGCCTGGAGATATTTCCTGGGAGTACTCACAAGAATACAACATACGGACCAAGATCAAAGTAGTCAAGGATTCCGCCGACCCCAAGAATGCAGTCAAGACTGACATCTATGTTGGAATGACGGCTGCGCAAGGCAAAAAGTTCGCAAGTGGTGCGCAGCATTTCCGAGAGGGCAACAAGGATCCGAGCACTATCGGCCCCGATAAGTATATTTCATCGCACTATAAGATTTCCATGGAGTCGAATACTGCCATGAACTTTTGGATCGCTGGAATCTTCGAGAATGCATATCGTGTATTTTGCGACAAGCCACAATGGTCACCCACCGCCGTCAGGACCTTGGAAGGGCTTTAATATCCTGTAATAGTCAAGAAAATTCTGCAGATAGTCCAATTTGACGAAATAATATATTATTACTTAAGCTTATGCAAAATATTAAAAAAAGAATTTAAAATATTTCGCAAGAATTTCTTTTTTTTTCCCTTTTTTTTCTTCTTTCTCTCTTTTTCTCTTTCTCTTTTTCTCTTTTTCTTTTTTTTTCTCTTTTTTTTTCTTTCTTTTTCTCTCTTTTTTTCTTTCTTTTTCTCTCTTTTTCTCTCTTTTTCTTTTTTTCTTCTTTTTTTTTCTTTTCTCTCTTTCTCTCTTTTTTTTTCTCTTTTTCTCTCTTTCTCTTTTTCTTTTGTAATTTCAGGTTTTTAATATACCGTTTTGCAGCCGTCTGTCAAATTGGTTCCAGAAAGTTTGGGCCAAGTTGTTGGTCACTGTTCTTACGGCCGCCGGTTCAATGACCTGAAAGTTGTCTCGTCGAGCTAACTCCAAAGCAATCCGTATAATATCATCTGTGAGATATTGTTCGGGACGTAGCGAATCCAGCTCGTTCGACCGAAGCTCCGAACCCCTGCCCTGGATTGTCAGCTGATGTTTGTCTTCTTCCGAAAACATCGCTGTTACGGCTGACCAGCCGTCTGTCGACTGAGGGCTAACAATATTGTTGACCAATCTTGGTCTGGCGATCCTATACTGTTCGCCGGAAGCCCGCAAGGTATTTTCAAATGCCTGGAGCTTTTCGCCTGGCGTACTCGAGTGCAGAAGACTTTGAAGCTCGCGCCCAGGGCCGTTTAACAGTAATCTGATGAAGTCCCTGGTTCCGATGCAGCTCTCCAAAGTCTTGTGAATCGCCGTGAAATATCCAGCATTAGCCTTGATACAGGATTAGCCGAGTTCTATATAGAGATGTGTTGTGGGTAAACTTACTGCTGCAAGAGAACGCCCGAGTGCCTGACGTAGCGCGGCGAATGGAAAAATCGCCGTAACGGCGTCTCCAAGGTTCTCAGCGAAGACATTTAGACGTTTCCCAAGAGTATAGATTTCTTTCCATTTTTTTCTGATTGGGATGGACAGTAAACGACCAGAAGACGGCCTGGTCGCCTTAAATCGCTGAATGTCGACTTTTGCAAAACGGAGATAGTGGCTTGCTTCGTATCGTCTGACTGGTTCCAAATGTGTTGCGCCTAGTCCTCTGATTTATCCTACGTTAGGATGACCGTCAACGAATTCGATAAAACGCAATACGTTTTTATCGATCGTGCCCTTGGGCATTATTGAAGCCGAGTGCTCAACTATGGCCGAGGGTGCCGCAGGCAGCGTGCCAAGCTCTTAGACAAGGGTACCCGATATAATTGGGGGGTTATAGGGATTTTTGCGATTCATTTTATGTTGTATTGTGTTTAATGGCCTACGGCTGATCTATTTTGCATCATTCCGCGATATTACAGTGTATTTGATACTACCGGTGTCGGACAGGATCAAGGAGGACATTGGACTTTTGTACATGTGCAAAAAGGTAACTATTCATGCTTGTGGGCTTTTCGGAGACTGGTGTTAAAGACACTTTTATCCATATAGTGAATCTGATCTAGTTTCTTAAGCATGGCTTATCATAAAGGATGGAAGTACAACTCCCATTTATCATCGACAACGCGTGAGTTCCAAGCTCTTGAACTCCCTATACCTTTTCCTCGACAACCATGGGGACCGGCTCTCTCACGCTCATACCGTCAATATTCTTTTCCTGCTCTGCTGCAATGATATCGGCGGGGATGTGGTCAGGTGTGCGATTGACAAGAATCACCATCGGGCCCACGGCAACAGCCATGAGTGCGAAAGCCACGCACCTGTAATCGGATTTAGCAATGATGCATAGCCAAACAGTCACAAGATGCGAAGACTTACATGCCAATCAAGGGACTTGTGCTCGTCTTGGTGTTCATGCCATAGGCGATGGCTTGGCCGATTGCTTCTAGGCAGCTATTGCGTTGCTTAGTTTCTGCTCTCATTGTTACAATCAGGAGTCCCATGACATACCGGAATGCAGCTCCATTGCGTACATTTGCTGAGGTACCATCATAAGTATGCGTCGATTTCCTCGAACTCGTATGTACATGGCTACTCACCTTGAGCATCCGTCGCAAACGACGACAAGAGCCAGTACATGTACGACTGTGATAGCGGGCCGGTTGTCTGGACAAAAAAGTACGGCAAGAAAGCCGATGGGTAAAGCGCATCGTCCCAGTCAATGGCTCCAGGATCTGAGGCGTCGAATCTGGTCTGTATCACGATGGACCAGATATAAACTCCCAAATTGAGAATGACAACAGTGAAGAGTCCCAGCTGGGCTCTGCGGCGCTGGCTTAGGTGCTTCAGGTCGAGGATGAATCCGAGCCCGAAGCATCCGACGCTATGGAGGATCAGTTTGGTATTCTGAGACGAGTTGAAATTCGATTCGAGACGTTCTTACATGCAGAAGAATGGAGATATCAGAGATGACAGTGCCCTTGCGCGTACTGAAAAGTAAGTTGCAAGATATGTGGACCAAGTGCCACTGTAAAAGAAGGACCATATAGCCCAGAACCCACTCAGTAGAATCAAACTGCTTGTGATGGTGCGTAGAATCTGCTTCAACTCCTGTTTGGTCGATAGCTTCTCGGACACCAATATTCTAGTTCCATCCGATCGAATCACCTTTTCCAGAGGCACGATCAAGAAAGCAAAGGGTAAGGCTAAGCATTCAATGATGACAAAGGCGAGGTAAGTATCAGTGGTTACACCACCCTCGACACCTTTTTGATAATTCTTGGAGAGGCTGGTTTGGTACATTCGTAAGTATGAGATCGACATTTCCCAGAAACCGTTTGAGGGAACATACTTGATTGCGCCTCCCACGAGTTGGCCCAAGTTTCTTGACACGATCCATAATGCCAAGTACTTTCCTCGAGCCCCCGCTGGGGCGAGGGACATGATAGCACCAGCCTCTCTATGAATTGATGTTAGCACATCTGTTTTTCCTCAACTACACTGCCTCCTGGGCACAATCCAAAAAGAAGATTCGTCTCGATGTAGCTGCAACGACTAATAAAGAGCACCAGATGATTTGGGTGACTTACGCGACGTACCAGCAGCCTGTGCCGATGCCAGACAAGGCACCACCTAGAATGAGGTACTGAGATTGATTTGTGTGAGCACATGGATATCAACCACAGGACTCGCGTAGGCTGGGACAGTCATGGTCTTTTGAACTTACCCATTGGTTGCCATATTTACTATTGCAGTAGTAGGATGATCCTTCAATCGGAAACGACATTGCACCGAGGACCAATGCCCACTTGACGCCCAGTTTGTTAACCAGTGGACCTCCTAGAAAGCAGACCGTGGCAAGCATTGTATAAGTCAGGGCGGTCCTGGAAATGTCCTTAGCACTCCGCCGAACATTACTTAAAAGTTTATAGGCAATATTGATAGACATACGCAATGTTGGATACTTGAGGTGTTGCAAGACCGCCTCCTCCAAGTCCTAGGGAATGGATCAGCAGGGCTATTCAATGTCAAGTACAGAGTCATCTTCAAGTGCGCGCATACCGGCAATAGCATCAGACATGGCCGGCCTGGTGGTTTCAACTTGTAAGCCTCATCTCTTCTACTCTTCAGGCATTCCACGACCTGCTTACCCGCAAAAGGCTTGCACACTGATCAACATCATTTGCGTCAAAGAGTGTTTGTGTATCCTCTTCCACAGTGGAACGGTACTGACGGGCGGCGCGCCCCGCGTTCGGAGGGCATATCCGTCTCCACCGGCGACAGCGTTGGGCGGAGCAGCATCAAAGGCCGACATGATGGGCGGTAGGTCAAATTTAACGACGTTGTCAAAGCCTCAAAGTGTTAAAAGATGAGAATTGGAGACCGTAGGACATGAAAAGACATCGCAGTTGCTACTATCATCTATCTATATATTTGTCCCGCCAATGCTCAAGCTGTACTCTGTAGGTGAGGCAAGTTAACCCCAGGTCCTTCGCACAATACCCCGGGACCATTCCTTGCTCAGTTCAGCAGCGCACTTCCGAATCGGCAAGACGGAGGTGCTTATCTTCGGCGGACAAGCGAAAGGAAGTGCATGATCACCTACCAATTCAACGACGAACCCTTTTGGGTATTCAACCCCATGTATGATTGGCCATGCGGGGATCAGGGTAAGAGGTCTAGGGTCTAGGGTCAGCTAGGATTTGGGCACAATGAAGGTCCAAGCGAAAGTTATTTCTTAGTTCATTGTCGCTATCCCCTCAAGACGAGTTGACTAGAGCCCGGCAATATGTGTCCCTCCCCCGGAGCGGGCCGATAGTTGCTACGCGATGAGCTGCTCCGCATGGAATACAGGTAACGTTAACGAATGCTGTGTAGGCGAATTGGCCGCATGCAGGGCCCCTCGGCGTGGCTATCTCCGTGGGTCTTTTGTTACTCGTGGCGGGCATGACGATCAACCCCACCGGCTTGACGAGCTTGGCTAGCGACTTGCAAACAATGGAAGCACACGTACCTTGCTCTTCGTTTTGCATCTTTGAAGTTGATCACGTATAACCGTATACGGACTTTTATCGACCGTTCCTTGGGTGTTAACATAGCTCGTGCGATCCTTTGGACTTGGCAATCTACTCGAGGCTAAGAAGCCGTTGGAGACGCCCGCTGGACCACTGGAAAGTTCATTAGGCTCTAAAAACTCGCTATAAAGTCAACCGAGCGAGCCAATACACTACATGCCTAACAAGTACTATCCAGCGACCAAAATATTATAGTCCGCCAGATTCTCGTAAGCACCGCGAACAAATCATGGCTACAACGCGCGCAGACACAAAAGTCATCGTCATTGGCGGCGGTGGGACTCTAGGTGCTTCAACAGCGCTACATTTGATTCGCAACTCGTATGCGCCATCAAATGTCACCGTCCTCGACACGTTTGAGATACCTTCAGCACAGTCGGCTGGCAACGATTTGAACAAGATCATGGGCATCAGAATCAGGACTCCTGTTGATGTACAGATGAGTCTAGAGGCGAGGGACATGTGGAGAAACGACGACCTGTTTTCGCCCTTTTTCCACAATACGGGCAGAATGGACTGCGAACACACTGAACAAGGTATAAAAGGGCTGAAAGCACAGTATCAAACACTCCTCGACGCCGGATTGGGTGCCGAGAATGAGTGGCTGGATAACGAAGACGAGATCTTGGCAAAAATGCCCTTGCTCAAACGGGAGAAGATCAAGGTAGACTCTTCTCTTTCCCTCAGAATCATTAGGACATCGGAGCTGATCGATACAGGGATGGAAAGCTATCTGGAGCAAAGACGGCGGTTGGTTAGCGGCTGCAAAAGCCATCAACGCAATCGGCGAGTTCCTGAAGGCGAGCGGAGTCAAGTTCGGGTTTGGAGAGTATGCGAAATTCTGCCCGCATATTATGCACCTCTTTACTAACAGCAGTAACAGTGCTGGGTCGTTCAAAAACCCCCTCTTTGCCTCGGACGGCACGACTTGCATTGGCGTCGAAACCGTGGATGGGAACAAGTACTTTGCTGACAAGGTAGTCTTTGCGGCAGGTGCCTGGTCCCCGACTCTGGTGGACTTGGAGGACCAATGCTGCTCGAAGGCTTGGGTCTATGCTCATATTCAGCTGACGCCAGAAGAGGCGACTGGGTGGAAAAACATCCCGGTCGTCTATAATGGAGAGATTGGGTTCTTTTTCGAGCCTAACGAGTGAGCTCAATGCCCTCCTATCCCATTCGTCTTGCTAACCACATGTCGTCAGATTTGGAGTAATAAAGGTCTGTGACGAATTCCCGGGATTCAGTCGTTACAAGAAGATCCAACCATGGGGAGCACCAGAACCCAAATCCATTTCGACACCGCGCTCTCATGCAAAGCATCCGACGGACACGTATCCCGACGTGTCCGAGGTAACCATACGGAAAGCCATTGCCACATATCTCCCTGATTACACAGAGAAGGAGCTCTTTAATCGAGCCATGTGCTGGTGTACAGACACGGCCGATGCCGCTCTTCTGTAAGTCTCTCGCTTGACTCACATATAATATGGATCATTAACACATGAAAAGGGTCTGCGAGCACCCAAAGTGGAAGAACTTTTTCCTAGCTACTGGAGATAGCGGGTAAGTGTCGATTTGGAATCTGTTGATGAAGAGACATTGCTGATTGACTATATCAGCCACTCATTCAAGCTCCTGCCCAACGTTGGAAAGCACGTAGTGGAACTGATCGAGGGCCGTCTTCCCCAAGACATGGCAAATGCCTGGAGGTGGAGGCCAGGAGGCGACGCCCGCAAGTCCCGGCGAGCAGCGCCGCCACAAGATCTCGCAGACTTGCCAGGATGGAGACATGATCCTCAGTTGTAAGATAGCCAGAGCTCCAAGAATCGGAAGATGAACCTACTGTATCGGGGTATACCGCTGTGAGACTACATTCAATAATGTTCTCTAGAAGTCTTCCGAGCATTGACCTGCCTAGTACTCCTACCACAAAATTCGAGACCAAAAGCAATTGTTTCCATTTGATTTCATTAATTAATCTTCATCTACAGGCTCGCACGCCCTTGAAGTCACTGAGAGTACTTGGATCCGATTCCCTTCTGAACCGCAGGACGCGCCGCAATTCGATCAATCCACTTGAGCAAATGCGGGAACTCGTCGAGTTCCTCCTTGGTGAATCCCGTCCTTTCCCAGCCCTTGACCCACGGCCACGTCTTGATGTCGGCCACCGAGTACTTGCCCTTGCCCTTGCCGGCTAAGTAGTCCCTTGGCTCGCCCGTATACTTGCCAGACAGTCGGATTTCCAAAACGCCGTACACGCGGAGTGTTTCCTTGCGGAAGCGTTCAATGGCGTCTACTTGTTGTCAGCCGTGTTGTTCATCCCAAGAAATGGATATTTGCGATGGGTCATGACTTACAGGGAATCTTCTCGGGAGCGGCCTTGCTAAAGTGATTGGTCTGTCCCTGGTAGGGGGCGCCAGAGCCTAGAGACGCAAATACTATTAGCTTCTTCTTGATCTTCTGATTCCACGAAAAATACTAATATGTTGCCAATCAAGATTCCCTCCGGCGATAGTACATCAAGGGAATGCGATGATTGAGATTCTTGGAGAAAGACCACGTGATAGATTGAAGACGAATTATTTGGGTACTCACCGTGCCAGAAAAAGAGCCACTGGAGGGCCTCATTGCGCTCGTACTCGTCCTTGAAACCAAATTTGTCCTCCTTGTCCTCCTCCTTGAGCAGGTACAAGAGTTCGGCAGAAGTCTCGTGGACCGGGAATGGGTTCTGATTGTTGGCGGCCTTGGCGCTGGCGCTGTTATCAACCAAGACGGGGATACGGCCATTGGGGTTGAGCCGGAGGAACCCTGTTTGTGTGAGTTTACAGCTGTCTTTCATGGGCGGGGTCGTCGGCTTGGGTAAACTTACACTCCTTCTTTTGTTCATTGGTCCTTGAGTAGAAATATGTTAGCCTGTCGGTTTTCTCTTGATCATGTAGAGGATCCCACCAAGCGCCCGAACTACAGGTATCGAGTAGGTACTAGGTAGGTATTTCCCAAGACAAGATTTGGGACCGGGAAACAAATTCTCCAAAACAAACTCTTCTAGAGAAACATGCCCTCCCCCCAAAAGGAGCACCACAGATCTTGAGTACTTACATAATGTTGATTAAAGTGGTTGTCCATTTAGTGCCGTAGGTCTCTGCCAGCTCCTCGAGGAAGATCTGGACTGCCTGGCCATTGGGCGTGCTCTGGGTGATGAGATGGAGACCCTCTGCGTTTTTGACGTCGGCGGGGGTCTCGTTGATATAGAGCTTACTTGCCATTGTTGATGCTGCTGCTGATGTGTGGTGAAAGGTTCTGAGCGATTGTACAAAAGGTAATGTGGCAGAGCTGTGAGGTTTAATAGCTAGTGAGGGCGACGAGAATGAAGAGAATTGTCTGTGAAGACGACACGAAGAGAACGAGCTGATGAATTTATGGTTCTGTAACCGAATCACATTTGTCATCGATGGTGTAGCCCGCACACCCATTGCCATCCCCGCATGCATGGCGCAATGGCGCAATGGCGTCAGAGAAGTAAACTCAGAATGGCAATGAGACGTGATGACGCTTCAAATTGAGCAAATAGCGAGTGTAGGTTTACCTAGGTAACGTCTGGCCTGCTCTGCTTATAGAGGGAAAAGAAAAACCTGTACGCAATGGGAATTTTGTTTCCAGGGCGCAGGGTGTTTAATAATCATTGATTGACGAGCTTATTAAATTGGCGTCGGGTGTTGGCTCCCAATACATCGACGGGGCCCCGTCGATGTATTGGGCGCCTCGGGTGTTCGGGACTATAATTATTAACAGGGAATTTCGACTGTGTTTTGTTCCAGCCGGATGTTATGATGATCTCGTCCTGTTCATACCACCTCTCACTGTTTAATCCACCACTACGCTGAACACGAATTGAAAAATATTCATTTGAAATTGCGAATTTTTCACATCTCATTTCGTACCTAAAGCCAACAAGTATCATGATTCTCATGCTGCTCTGTTCAGAGACATTTATTTGTAAGCGACTTCGGTTCTGCCCGGCTAGCGCCAGCATAGTCATCACAGCACGGCCAAAACCAGACGACAATTGGTCAATTTATTTGACAAATCAATCTTCCATTGCTCAAAGAACCTGGGAGAATTTCCAGCTTTGATCTTTTCATGCAAACAATGCTTGTGAGACAATGCACGGCTTAGAAGAGATCAGTTATTAGAATTTCAAAGTTGCTACCTAGTCGCTAGAATGCTGCCGGCGAGTTTGTAAGGAGGTACCAGGGTACAAATCCCCACAACCTACCTTGACGTGCTCAGCAGTCTAACTCGTACACAGGCCCAGTTATGTCAACTGAATGGGGTCAAGCCGCACTTTTACGACTGTCCAATGTTGGGCGCAAAGAGAACAGCTGGCGCACCACTGGCGGCCGAGTAGGAGAAGACCGAGTACCTACAGGTTGGTGGTGAGCTCACGATCCTTTCATCAAAGATGGTTGTGGCACAGGAATACTCACCAGTTCTTGATGAACGTGTCTCCCACAATGTAGAGGTCGTCGATGCCGGTGAGGTCGCCCCCCGAGAATCCAGCGATGCAGTAACCGCCAGCCTCGGGGGCGAGCTCGGATGCCTTTTGCCGGATCTCGGCGGCCAGGTCGGCGTTTCCGAGGGTCAGGTCGTCAACGTCGACGCCGAGGCCTAGGGAGCCGAGCTTGAAGTCGAGTGGGTTAATGGCCAGGTCGACGCCGGCAAAGGTGATGCTGGGGATGTTGGCCGTGTTGCATGGGTCTAGTAAGTTGAACGTGTTAGCTCCTGACTTGAAGCAGATTTTTCTGGAACTGGCAAGCAAAAATGCGCCGTTTTTTCAATACTTACAGAGGTAGATCTTTTGGCCCTCGAGAGTAAGACCAAAGCTGCCCTTGATCTCGGCGAATACGGCAGCTGCGGCAGCAGTAGGCGCGAGGAGAATGGTCGTGCCCGTGTCAATGGCCGCCTGTCCCTTGCTGTTGGCGACAGTGGTGCCACCGACCTTGACTCCATCGAGGTCAACCTGCCAGTAGGTCTGCGATGAGACGGGGACGGTCACAAAGTCGCCGGTGAACTTGGTGCTGTCGCGACCGCCAAGGGTCAGCTCCGAGTCCTTTTGCGTGCCACCCGAGACACGACCAAGATAGAAGCCGAACTCATCCGTGTCTACGGCACCCTGGGCAACCAGATTCTCGAAAAAGGTGGTACCATTGTCCTGCGCAATGGTGGAAAAAGCCATACCAGCCAGGCCATCGGCGTCAATCTGGGTAAAGCCCGAGGCCGTCGTGACGGAAATGAGCGTCTGGTTTGTTGCGGTCAGACCGGCAATGGTGAACTCATCAACGTAGTTCTCGCCCTCTGTCGCTCCCGATCCATACTGGATGCTGGTCTTGGTTCCCAGATCCGAACCGCCTTGGTCGTACTTGGTACTGTGGACGCAACCCTTGAGCCTCGTGCAAGAAGGACCAGGCACCCACACATCGGCCGAACCAGTGTCAAAGATTACGTTAAAGTTCTGTCCGCCAATACCGACGGATCCATAGTAGGCAACATCCTCACTTCCCAGCTGAGTCTGGTCCGTGATTGGCTCGTTGGCCTGGCGCTTGGCCACACGCGCCTCGAACATGGCGGCTTGCTTCTCGGCGACGGGTGCATAGTACGGCAGAGGCTGGAGGTTGTACTTGTGCAGAGTCTGGTTCAGAGAAGCAAAGATGCCGGCAATATTAGCCTCGCCATTGTCGCGGGTCAGCGAGTACCGCTTGCCGGCAGAGACCTTGAGCGGGTTGGAGGCTGGCAGAGCCAGAGCTCCCGAAAGGAGGGACAGAGCCAAGACTGACTTCATGGCTCACCGTTATATGGCGAATTTCTCAATGAAGGACTCGAATCACGACGAACTTGAGCAAATCTCCTCCTGATGAGCATGCTAGGAGACAAAGGCCTTCTATAGTTTACAAGCTCAAAGCGGAGAGGGATTTCGTCATTGAAACGATCTCGGCCGGTACGGGCGAGTAACTGAGTATAGGAGGTTTCTCGTCTGATGTTGCATCCGCCCTGGGGCCATGCTGAACCTACCGAGGCCGCTGAGCCAGTACGGAATGTCGTCAGTGGAAGCTCATTCTCCAGCTTCCGACCTGATGTGTAAATGTGGTTCCTATGTGACCCAATAAAGTAGGTTACCAAACAAACTGTACGGACAAGTCAATTTGTTTCAAAGGATTATTGTCCACGCGAGTGATTGATACTCTTGATTCGTTCTTGTACCGCTCCCAGCCGACATGGTTGCCCCATCCAGGGGTGACGGTGCTAGTGCTCGAACCGCGACCTTCTCAATGCGGCAGTCGAGTATGACATGTGGACGACGATCTGCCCAAGCTTTCTAAGACAAAGCTTGAAAACATATTAATAAATGAAGCGAATCTTGGCAATTAATACAGCATTGGCATCTAGCAGAGTTCCACCACGGGTCAGTGTAAGAATCGAGATTCATCCACAGACGACCGAATTACAACAGCTGGATACTTCAATCTTCAATTAAACTGCAATTCATTCGATGAACAAGAGGACGTCAAATCGCACTTAGTGGCTGGTAAATACTTTTGATTATGTTTCCTGCTTAAATACTGAGGCTCTGACATTTCGATGCAAAGGCCGGCCAGTAAGGTGGAGGCATTCAGGCTACATACCTGTATTTCGATGACATATCACTGGCCGTCGCATCACCGGAAAACTCTCAAAGCACGACACCGCTCGACACCGCTCGTGCTAGTCGCAAATACCAAGTTCGGCAAGCTATTCGGCCTTGCGCAACAGCAGGCCAGTATAACTCGGATGGGAGTCTTCCACTTTGGGTCCTTGCCATTGTTCGGCTTCGGCGATCTCGGAGAAGCTTTCTGGTCCCCGGGGGTAGACAGTGCGCTTGTTCTAGACTGACATGACCGATTTTGGCATTTGATGGCTTCCGTATTTTCCGATCCGATATCCTAGGAACAAACCACCGCAGTAAACGATACCAGCTCTTTCCCTCACATGGCCTTCACTCGCGTGACGAATATTTGACGGCAGTAGTTGGCCACGGTGAAAATCAAACTGACTTTACAATACCATCAAGAGCAGTCGGTCAGAGATGCAACTGCGGTTGTTGTGCTTGAAAAAGATAACAAATGCTCGTTTAGAACTCCCACCCACAAAACACCAATCCTAGTACAAAATTACTAATAAATTTCGAATATATGAATTGTTATTTTATTCCATCTATTTGTACTGGTTTAGAGATTGCCTCAAACTGCTGCACCGTCCGGTATCCTGAGTAAAAGGCGCTGTGAATTCGCTGATCATGGCAGCAATCAGAGCGCCCATCTACATGTGTATGCACAAGCTGAATTGCTCATTATAAGATTTAGTTACCGTGAGAATCACTTAAGTCTGGTTAATTGTCTTGCTCGTCTAGCTCAGTGAACCCCTTTCCGCCAGTTCTGTAGGGTTTCCAACGATTGATCATCTGAATCTTATTCCGCCATGTTTCGTCTGCAAAGACGCCCCAGATAGTTCTTCTATACACAGGTTAGCCCGACTCTTGCCAAGAAGATTTACATAGGAAGCGCTCTACCTTTTTATTGGACCCTTTGCTCCAGGTTTTTGTGAATCATCGCATGATGTGCATAACCTGTCGCCGCAACCTACGCCATGAACGGTGAATGCACGTCCGCACGAGTTATAGGCAGGTCCTTGACAGCTTTTGCATACAGATACACACTCTGTCATGACGGCCTCGATACGGCACCGACTGCAGACGAATTCCGTCTTGCGCTCATAGCAATGCGGCGGAGGTGCGGGCGTTGGGGTATAGTGATGAACATGATTGCCGCCATTGCGGTCTCGGTCTCGGTCATTATCGCCGCCTCCTGTTCTGCTCATCTTGATTGTTGTGTTGTTAGAGCTTAGGCACAAGCTCGATGTAGGTAATCTGACTATCGGAGGTCTTTGGTGTATATCCTTGCGGCAATGGCGGGCGATCGCTGAAAGTATGGCACTTCTACGTAGATACAACTTTCAAGCGCTCAGAGATGTTGTGAATTTTATATTATGTTCGAAGAATAGGTATTTATGATTCAGCCTGCTATTATCTGAATTTATGTTAATTCAAGTTTGCCATGCATTCGTTATTCACAGTGTGGTTGTTGAACATTCCATTGTGATGAACTTGTGGTCCTCCTTAAACTCGACAAAACCACGCACATTCGAGTGTCAAGATTCCAGCGCTGAAATCTCAGTATATTTCCAGTATTCTGGCTTTTTCAGGGCGAGCAAGGGAAGGAAAGGAAAGAAATCCTCTTAACCTAGCAGATAAGTGACATGGGCCCGTGCAACATACTTGGTCGCAATATGTCTAAAAGATTTATGAGATGTCTAGTTGTGTCAAGTAGCAGGTCGCATATACTGGCGGGCTATACTTGTGGGTTGATAGTGGAGCTAGCTGTTGATCTGGACTTTGAAGCGGAGCTTGGCCGCATTGCTAGGTAGTTACGCCTTTTCGACGACATTGAACTGCGAGAATAGACTCAATGCTAAAAGGCTCTCACTTGATCACATAAGATACAGGAGACTCTCGGATCAGATCACAAGGAAACGATACCAGGCTATCATCGTCGTTTATCAATACACGCCAACTTCTGAATTTCTTGCCCTTACCCCGCTTGTTCTGGCGGCGCGCTCTTACTCCAAGCTTCCCCAAGACTTCCCTCGCAAAATGCCTGCTCGTTTACCAATTTTCGAGGTGGAACAATGGATGGACGCGTATGAAACTACTCCTGGCGTTTTGAATATTGCAGAGACATGTTGTGCATCAGTATCTGTCGACGACCTCCGAGCCCTCAGCAAGAATGTCGATGCGTCTTCACCGATTGATCTGGCACGGAAGATGACATACGGGCCGATCCTGGGTTCACCGGAGCTTCGTCAAAACATTACAAGCCTCTATAGACATGACGACTGTGCTGAACCGCTCTCGACTTCATCAGTCATTGTGACGAATGGTGCAATTGCGGCAAATCATCTGGTGTTCTATAGTCTTGTTGGCCCAGGTGACCATGTCATTTCAGTATTCCCAACATACCAGCAGCTTTACTCGGTGCCAGAGAGCCTGGGAGCCGAAGTCTCGCTATGGGAGTTGAAAGCCGAAAACGGCTTCGTGCCCAATGTCGCGGAGCTGGAACGATTCATCAAGAAGAATACATTGGTAAGTCGTCGGCTGCATACTCGATACATGGGCCGTTCATTAATGAGTTGTAGATGATTGTCATCAACAACCCAAACAATCCTACCGGAGCTACGATACCGACGGAAACACTCAAGGAGATTGTTGATGTGGCACGCAAGCACGACATTATCCTCTTCGCGGATGAAGTGTACCGGCCCCTCTACCACGGCGTGGAAGAGGACAAGATTCCGCCCTCCGTTCTATCTCTCGGCTGGGAAAAGACAGTCGTGACTTCATCCATGTCCAAGGCATGGGCTCTAGCAGGCATTCGAGTCGGCTGGATTGCATCTCGGGATGCGTCGATTATCGAAAAGGTCGCTATAGCGCGGGATTACACCACCATCAGCGTTTCGCAACTAGACGATCAGGTGGCCACTTATGCCCTCGGCGACGAGGTGCGGCCTCATCTCATCCAGAGAAACATGGAGCTGGCCAAGAAGAACCTTGCACTGCTTGACGAGTTTGTGCGCAACCACTCAGACTACGTCTCCTGGGTAAAGCCAAATGCTGCAACGGTCGCATTCGTCCAGTTTAGAAAGGCGGGTCAGCCAGTCAATGATGAACAGTTTTGCTTGGACTTGCTGAAGCAAACAAAAGTCATGGTCCTGCCAGGATGCAAGTGTTTTGGTCACGGCAATGCTTTCAAAGGTTATGTTCGGATCGGGTACGTCTCGGAGACGGAAGTGCTGAGGGAGGCACTAGAGCAACTAAGTGCCTACGTCAAGGAGAACCTCGCATAATCGAACATATTAAGAATCGGGACAATAAAGACCCAATGTAGACCGAATACGTACATACAAATTCCAAAGATGGAAACATGTGGTATATTCAAGACATTACCAAAGTGCCGGGATTTGAAGGAAAATGGAAAAAAAAGTCAGTCTCCTCTTGGATCCGCTTCCTTGGGACCGGGACCATTCGGCTCGGGATTTCCATTTGCTGTGCTCAATCGGCGCATACCGATCGTACGACCCAGGCCAAAATGGCACAACCCGGACCCACACAACGGTCAGCATTCGTCCCTTGCGTTCCTGAGAAATCCGACGAAACACACCACTTGTAATTCAAATTCGCGTAAAACGCTGTCATGCACGTGTCCATGTCCTGGTTATGTTGGTACCGTTTGCGGCTCAGCTGTCATACTCGCTGCGCCTAGAGCCTTCCTTGTCAGGCCTCAGGGCTGAGGCTGTCCATTTCTGCCCCAGGTCCCCGGGATTCGAAATGGCCTGACTTTGAGGCCATACTGTCGAAATATCTCCTGATGCGCTCTATTCCCTACGTGGAGCCGACAAACTTGCAGTGAAGAAGTCTTTACGCAAACAACCGTTGCCGCCGGAGACCGCGCTGTCGTGGTAAGTATAAGATGTCTCACAGATGTGATGCTGAACTTTGTTGTTTGGCTTGTACTATCATCATCAGCATCTCCATTCAGTATTACCTGTCTGTACATACAGCATAAACTCCTCTCCTCTTATAACTGTACATAACTACATCTCCTCTCGGTCTTACGATTGTAACAACAAATCCAAAAAAAAAACAACACCAAACTCAAACTTGTCAAAAAACACATTCCACCTTCCACAAGAATGTCGGCACCACTTTCTCGCGCAGCTGGCCAGGTCATGGCAAGGAGACTCTTCTCTTCTACGGCCCGTGTCAACTCGGTCCACGCCAGCGCTTCCCAGGAGCTGCGGGCTCTATTCAAGAAGAGCACGACCGAGTCGCAACCCACAGACTGGGGCAGAATCATCCGATCCCGTGCCAGCACGTTAGTCCTGTAAGTCCTCTTCTCTCAAATACATCATACAATGGTTGAGATCATAATTCTAACGATGTCTTATAGCTACGCTGGCGGCATGGGCACTGTCCTGTTCTGGCCTCTGGGTGCTGCCTGGGCCCTGGACGGCAGAATGTGAGGTGGCCTCTTGCTGAGAAGCACACCTGCACCCATTGGTGATTTACTTGCATATGATCGGCGCTGGAGGAAAACATTTTCATTAGATACCTGCCAACTTGGCTCTTCTTTGTTCTTTTTTGGCAGAATACAGATTAAAAATAGGGAAGAAAGACTCGTAGAATATGGATAGACAGACATAGAAGCCTAGCTCCTACGATAATCATGAATACTCTTAATCTGCAACTCCACCTTGCTCATCAGCCATTATTGTGCGCGCTTTGTCTGTCTTGGAAAAGTAGTTTTATTGGTTTTTTTCAAGAGCGCATCTCGTAATACGGTTGTAATGGAATCAATCGCCTCAAGCTGCCTGACTGTGAAGGATCGGGAGCGTAGATCCACACCTACTTATCTGATGATAAAGTCACATCACAATGACTGGAGTAACCTGTAATCCTCGCAGCAAGGATCTTGTATTTGCACATGTGTCATATACAAATAGCACTAAATCCAGACTATACGAGGCAGAGTCACATTATACCGCTTTTATAATAACTTAGAGTTCTGTGTATTGTAATATGATACTTGTTCGCACGGATATGAAAAGCAGCAGCCAAACCTATCTATACGTTGAATGACATCATTTGAACCGTGCCGAAAGCCATGCTCAGCGTATGCAATGCGCAGCCATCGCATGGGCATTGGCTACAACTCGTATGCAAAGAACTGGATATGTGGTTTCACACGCGATCGTGCTACCCATCCGTCTGCCTAATCTTGTTACGCGCAGGAGTTAGATGTGACTTGTTCAATGGTGGCCCAGAAGTTGAGGTAGTTTTTATATGGTCAGGTAACAGGCGTGGCGTTGGGGAAACGCCAAGCGACGTGCGCATCATCCATCTCGCCCAGCAGTGCCACAGTGCCATGGCATATATGGTCGGGCGCAGTCGTCCGAGCTTCCTCTGGCTCCTCCTTCTAGTCGACAAAGATCCACTGCCCCATCAACTTTGAATCCGGGGAAACAGATATACCATTCAGTCGTCAAGTCAGTTGGTCAATAGGCGATATCTTTTCTGTCATTCTGTCAAGGAAAATAAAGGAGAAACAGACGGTGTCTTGGAGCTTAAAAGCTATTGCTCTTCTTGTTGAAGAAGGCTGGGGCATCTGCTCCGAACCTAGCGTTGCCCGCAGTTACGCCAAGCCCAACCAAACGCGAGTCCAGGTAGCTTAGCTCCCAGTCGTTGCAGCTCGTGCCAGTGGCCTGCCGACCTGTGGGGAACCGTCTCTACCGCCTATCGCCGCCACCTCCATGCAACCAACATATGGGCATCTACTATCGTCCTTGTTTCCCATCAAACACATTCCTTTCGCATCAAACACTGGGAGCTCCAACATGGCGAGGCTGAAGATGTCTCCCTCGGGCCTGGGGCTGTTGGCCCTGGGCGCGCTCTCTTTATCGTCAACGCTTGTCGCGGCGCAGAAGAACTACACGCAGGAGGATATGCTGCGGGCACAGCTCATGCTCCTCACTGGCCGACCAGACGACTGCCCGCCTTGGTGAGTGATTTCAGTACAGCTTTGATGCCACCCGGCCACCCACGTTCAAGTTGGCGATCTCCTTTTGCGATACAATAGCATACTGACACATATCGCTCGACAGTTTTAATTGTCTTCTTCCCGCCTACACCTGCGGACAGTTTTCCGAGTGCAATGAATACAATGGAAAGTGCGAATGTCCTGCCGGTTTCGGAGGCGATGATTGCTTGGAAGCCAGTATGTCGACTCTCCTTTGCTTCGAAGATGCGCCAATGATTCTGACTATTCAATAGCTTGCGGCTCACTCTCTCGCGGCAAAGACCGCCCGATAAGACAAGGCGACTCCTGCGACTGCGACGATGGCTGGACCGGCATCAACTGCAACGTCTGTACCGAGAACAAGGCCTGCGACGCGCTCATGGAGACGGGCGCCGATGGTGTGTGCTACGCGAACGGCGAAGTTGTCAAGCAAAACCACCAAATGTGCGATGTCACCAACGACAAGATCCTATCCATGCTCGATGGCAAGATTCCCCAGGCGACATTTAGCTGCCAGAAGGAATCTGGAATTTGCGACTTTCAGTTCTGGATCGACCGTCTTGAATCATTCTATTGCCACCTTGAGGACTGCGAGTCCAGCGCTGAGATCGATTCCGACAAGAACAGCACATACTACAAGTGCCCGACGGTCGCGTGTTCGTGTATCCCTGACCGCATGCTGTGCGGCGAGGATGGGTCCATCGATCTGACTGACTTCTTGGCCGAGGGTATCACGGGTCCTGCTCAGTTTGAATGTCTCCAAGAAGGCGGCGGTGTCAACAAATGCAAGTTCAGGGAACCAGAGCTCGATGGCATGGTCAAGGCAATCTTTGGCGACCCAAGTATCGAGTTGAGCTGCCGTGCTGGAGAATGTCTGTACGCGACCGAAATTCCAGGCTACGTCAAACCCATCAAGCCGATCAATACGCCTCTTATCGCTGGTGTCATTGCGGGCTGCTCACTTTTCCTGGTTGCCGTGGGTCTACTGGTCTGGTATCTGTCCCGGCGATCCAGTCAGTACCAGGCGATTTCCCTCGAGGATTCTGACGACGAGACTGGAAAGCTCATGGCTGATCACAAGCCTGCATCTCTATACTTCTCCGAGGTCGCATACGACCTTAACGGCAAGCGTATCCTTCACGATATCCAGGGCATGGCACATCCGGGTGAAATCATGGCTATCATGGGCGCCTCTGGTGCTGGCAAGACCACATTCTTGGATATTCTGGCCAGGAAGAACAAGCGCGGTAAAGTGTCGGGCAACTTTTATGTCAACGGTGAAAAGGTTGACGATGCCCAGTACAAGAACGTTGTTGGTTTTGTCGACCAAGAGGATACTATGCTCCCGACTTTGACCGTCCACGAGACCATTCTCAACTCTGCCCTGCTTCGACTACCCAGAGCCATGAGCCGTGGTTGGAAAGAGCAGAGAGTACATGAAGTCGAGAAACAGCTTGGTATTTACCACATTCGCGATTCACTGATCGGCTCCGAGGAAGGAAAGGGACGAGGCATATCTGGTGGTGAGAAGCGCCGTGTCGGTATCGCCTGTGAACTCGTTACCAGTCCTTCCATCCTCTTCCTCGATGAACCGACCAGTGGTCTGGATGCATACAACGCCTTCAATGTTATCGAGTGTTTGGTCACTCTTGCCAAGACGTACAAGAGAACAGTCATTTTCACTATCCACCAGCCCCGTTCCAACATTGTCGCTCTTTTCGACCGCCTTCTGTTGCTTGCACAGGGCAAGACCGTTTACTCTGGACCCTTCGCCAGCTGCCAGGACTATTTCGATCGCATTGGCTACTCCTGCCCACCTGGTTTTAACATTGCTGATTACCTGGTTGATCTCACGATGCACGCTGGCGCCATTGAGCCGTATGATGATGGCGGTCTCAATGCTGATGCTGCTAGTGTTGGTCCGAGCAGCACCACTGCTGTTAAGTCAGTTGCTAGTATCTCTGGAAACAGCACCAACGAGGAAAATGAGCCTTCATCCAGCCGGCCTAGACCAAAGCGCAAGGATTCAGTCAAAGCGCGCCAGGAACGAGAACTCTTTACTCGAAGACGCAGCACCGTCAATACCGTCGACACTGCTGCCTCTTCGGACGTTGACGATGAGATTGGAGCCTACAAGTTGCACAAGCAAAACCCGCCTCCCCATATCAATATTGAGGAAGCTCATGATCTACCCCCGTCTGTCAACGGCAGCACTAACCTCGAGGCACTGCACCAAGCGTACATGGAGTCTGACATTGCTGGCAATACTCATGACGAAATTCAGCAAGCTGTTGATAATGCTCGAAACGCCAATGGTCAGAATGGATACAGCCCAGAAGGTCCCAATGTCTACACTGGTGGTATCGGCAAGGGTTATGCTCGCGTCAGTTATGCGCGCCAGTTCATTATTCTTTCTGGCCGTACCTGGAAGAACCTATACCGGAACCCTCTATTGATGCTGACTCACTACGCCATTGCCATTGTTCTGGCTGTGCTCTCGGGGTACCTCTTCTTCCATCTCACTGATGATATTCCCGGCTTCCAGAATCGCCTGGGTTTATTCTTCTTCCTACTCGCCCTATTTGGCTTCAGTACACTTACCAGTCTTAATGTGTTCTCGGCTGAACGCCTGCTGTTCGTCCGCGAACGCGCCAACGGCTACTACTCACCTTTCACCTACTTTGCAGCCAAGGTTTTATTCGATATTGTGCCGCTTCGAATTATTCCTCCGGTCATCATGGGTGTTATCATTTACCCAATGACTGGTCTGATCCCGGATGCGCCCCACTTCTTCACATTTATGCTTGTATTAGTTCTCTTCAACTTGGCTGCAGCAGCAATTTGTCTCTTCATTGGCATTGTCTGCAAGGACAGCAGTGTTGCCAATCTGATTGGATCGCTGGTCATGTTGTTCTCGCTACTGTTTGCCGGCTTGTTGCTCAACCACGATGCAATCCCTCACGCCGCCCAGTGGTTGCAGGCTTTGTCCATCTTCCACTATGGTTTCGAGTCCTTGATTGTCAATGAGGTCCTCAAACTTGAGCTCGTCGACAAGAAGTATGGCCTTGACATTCGGGTCCCCGGTGCCACGATCCTGTCTAGCTTTGGCTTCGACAACGGTGCACTGTGGACGGATGTTATCAACTTGGGCGTCTTCGCCGCTGTATTTGTCGTGCTTGCCTATGCAGCAATGCATTTCTTGCTTGTTGAAAGACGGTAGTATATCAATCACCATAGCAAGTTGACATATTTAGAAAGGACATGTAGGATAGAAGCGTTGTTGGAACATGAGATGTGGTGTATTTTGGCAGAATTTCTTTTGTCTGGTTGTTAGTTATGCATCGCTTCCGCCGCAGGGCCTAGTTTCTTAGGACGGCATCATTGAGCATTACGGCGTTTAGGGGTCCTTTCGTAGTTAGCATATAAAGGATACATCAAAGGGTCGTTCCCGACTATTACTTTTCCATGCCACGATCCCTGCCTGACACTTATGTGGTTCCTAAGCCCATGTAGGGATAGCCGAGTGAAGCTTTTGATGGGTTTTTAAGTTTTTCCAGCTTAGCATAGCACTGTGTTGTATCAAGATATCATAATTGATGAACGATATTGTGGCAAAAAATAAAATGACCAAATATTTACAGTGTACAATAAAGTACAACTCTGCCAGGCTACGCAAAAGTCAAGTATAGACTCCGTTCGAGGGGCGGTTTGGATCCCTCGCTGTGTAAAGCGTCAAGGGTGGCTATAGTACAGCTTGCATGTAGGTAACTTTTTCTTCCCTCCCATCCCTTTCCTCATATCTCTAAGCGTTACATACTCTACAGCACGTCGTTTTTTGGGAGTGCTTCTCCTCATGTCCATACTCCCTGCAGACACAGGGACCACCATCTCGGTTGAGATCATGTCAAATCGACGGAAACATGGTCCCTACGACTCGCATTGCAAGAACTGATTGCATATAGATTTGCTCTACGCATCATTCATGGGACCACCAGTCAGCTCCTCGGCGACCTTGGTCTGGCGCTTGCTAGTCCTGCTACCCTCATCCTGCATAGAGGCCAGGACGCGGCTATCTGTCCGCGAGACCTCGCCAATCATGTCCCTCACAGTGGTGGGAGTGCCCCAAAGGTCCCAGGCGTTGGTGGGCGTTGTGCCAGTGGCGGTGCTGCCGCTAGTAAAGGTGTCGGGGCGGAACACGCGGTCAACCTCCTCCTGAAGGGCGGCTTCGTCAATGATGAAGGAGCGGGCCGACATGTAGAGCTTCTGAATCGAGTCCTTGCGGTCCTCGCTCTTGCGGGCGGCGAGGGCCTCGGTACGGGCCTTGGACTGCAGGGCGTGCTCCATGCGCAGGGGGTCGAGGGGCACGTGGGTCTGCAGCACCGAGGCCGGGATCGTGGTCTCGGTGAAGCGCTCGTCGGCGCGCTGCGGCGCCTTCATGGCGTGCACGTTGCGGCGGCGGTTCTTCTCGTGGCGGTCGTACCGCTCCCGGTTCGTCTCCTGGCGCCGCTTCCACAGCTGCTCGATACCCTCGCTCAGGTTGCGGCGGCGCATGTCGGCCATCTCGCGGCGTCGGGCCTCGACCTCGCTGCCCGGCGGTTGCTGCGACTTGGCATTGCTCGGCAGGGGCGCCGACTTGGCCAGAAAGACGGGTGACGTCTTGGGAAGCTCATATGTCTTGCGCTTGAAAATCCGGCGCGGCATGGGAAGGCGACCCTTCTTGGCGAAGCGGTCAGGCCGGTTGTCCTCGACGGCCTGGGACATGGGCGGTGTCGGCACATTGATGAATAATGGCGACTCTGGTGGGATCTTGTTGGTCTGGCACAGGGTGGTGCTGGAAAAGGCCCGCGTGAGCGAGGCAATGGAGGAGGCCGACACGGTTTGTTGTACAGCCCTCCTTGAGAGGGTAGATGGTAATGAAGGAGGCATTTTGTATTAATATGTATGTGTCGATAGGACACGTGAGAATTCGTTGCCGCAAGAGCCCCCAATGCCTCGTCGTCGTCGGTCAAGATCGTCCTACTATCGCCGGCGTCAACTTTTGGCAAGAATTGAAAATCGATACGGCTGCTGGATTACTCCGGGGCCCGGCCCAGGGGTCCCACTTCAGCTTCTGACCTGGAGAGCGAGCTAGTGCTGTTTTGGGCTCTAGCGCAATGGGCCCCCAGCACTAAGTGCATCTGGAGCGGCAGAAATGCAAAGGCGGTCAAAAAGTTGGAAGCTCGACACTGCTAAAAATTTCCCATGCGACAGACCAACCCCACTACAATTCTCACATTGGCATACTCTTCCCATCAAACTCTTTTTTTTCTACTTCACACCTCTGACCTTTTCCCGCCATTCCGACCTCTTCGTCCTCTCACCTCATTCTTGTCTACCGTCTTCTTTGAGCTTGCTTTTGTAGATCACAGACAAGATGGGTACAGGCAAGAAGGAGAGAAACCGGCTTGTCCGCCAGGGCAAGACCGGTACGGGCATGGACAATGTCAAGGTCAAGGGTGAAAATTTCTACAGGGTAAGTCGCACTCGGTGCCCCCAACGGCGCTTCGATGCCTGCAGTTACTGATGCTTCAAATAGTCGGCCAAAAAGGTCAAGACCTTGAATATGCGAGAGAAGGGCAACAAGGCCCAGCGAAACAAGGAAGGAAAGATTGTTCAAGCTGCTGCCTACCAGTCTCGCGATGCCCCCACCGCTCGCATCGAGCCTTCAAGGAATTGGTTCAACAATACCCGAGTCATCTCCCAGGACTCTCTCAGTGCCTTCCGGGACGCCATGGCTGAAAAGGCCAATGACCCCTACCAAGTGCTTCTGAAGAGTAACAAACTGCCAATGACCTTGATTCGGGACGGTTCTGATACCAATGGCCTCAAGCAGCACAAGGCTAAGATGACTATCGAGTCATCATCCTTTGCCGACACCTTTGGTCCCAAGGCTCAGCGCAAGAGAGTGAAGCTCAGTGTTGGCGATATGATGGGTCTGGCCGAAGACTCGGAGAAGAGCATGGACAAGTACAAGGAAAAGCTCGAACAAGCCAAGCTGCTCAGTGGAAACTCTGGCGCAGATGCTGAGATTGCTGGTGATATGCAGGTTGAAGAGCAAGATCCACTTGCTCTGGCCATTCAACCAGTCTTCTCCAAGGGTCAATCGAAGCGTATTGGTAATGAGCTGTACAAGGTGATTGACAGTTCTGATGGTATGTATCTGAATTTCCCTTGCTTGGTCGCTATCATTCTAACATATATTCTAGTGATCATACACGTTCTCGATGCCCGAGACCCCCTAGGTACCCGGTGTTACAACGTGGAAAAGTACCTCAGACAAGAAGCACAACACAAGCACCTTGTGTTCGTACTGAACAAGTGCGATCTGGTGCCCACATCTGTTGCCGTAAGTTCTAGTCTTTTCTTACCATCTCCGAACCTCCCCAATGCTTTGAAGTCAGGATGTCTACCGCAATCTTTTTTTGCCAATGGAAGAAATCCGTTACGTCATTGGGAGATCAAATATCCAATCTCAACACTCTTGTGTCTTCGGATTCAGAGTGTAGATGGGGTTCCGTCTTGGGGCTGCATCGCGAGTATGGCTTTGTTTCATCTTGAGTTGAAGTCTTACCTCCATCCTTCGGGAGTGGCTCGTGGTAGTCTTCGTAGTATTGAATCATACATACCATCTGCTATCTTTTTATTTGCACACATTGGCATACGCAATGCTAACCAATGCATAGGCTGCATGGGTGAGGAGTTTGTCCAAAGAGTACCCGACCTTGGCTTTCCATAGCTCAATCACCAATTCTTTTGGTAAGGGCAGTCTTATTCAGCTTCTGCGCCAATTCAGCGGACTGCACAAGGACCGGAAACAAATCTCCGTCGGTTTGGTTGGATACCCCAACGTCGGAAAGAGTTCGGTCATCAACACGCTCAGGGCCAAGAAGGTCTGTACCGTGGCTCCCATTCCTGGAGAGACCAAGGTGTGGCAGTATATAACTCTGATGAAGAGGATCTATCTCATCGACTGTCCTGGTGTTGTACCACCGAACCAGAACGACACACCCCAAGACATTATCATGCGCGGTGTCGTCCGTGTGGAGAAGGTGGAAAACCCAGAACAATACATCCCTGGCGTTCTTGCCAAGGTCAAGACCCATCACATGGAGCGTACTTATGAGCTCAAGGGCTGGACTGATCACATCAACTTCCTTGAAATGCTTGCTAGGAAGACTGGTCGTCTGCTCAAGGGTGGTGAGCCAGATGTTGACGGTATTGCCAAGCTGGTGCTGAACGACTTTATGCGTGGCCGGATCCCATGGTTCACGCCTGCACCAGTGGTTGAAGGTGAAGAGGGCAAAGCCAGAGAGGGCAGAGAGGGCAGACTTGGAGAAATGCCTCTGAAGCGTAAGAGAGATGACGCTGAGAGTGTAGCAGATACCTCTGTTGCGATCTCTGAAGATGTTGCTGAAAGTGACTCGGAAGACGACGAAGAGGAGGAGGCTGAGGAAGATGAGTTTGGTGGCTTTGACGATGACAGCGACAGCGAGAGTGATACAGAGGCCATCACCAAGGCGAAGAAGGCTGCTGCGGCGAAGTCTAAGTCGAAGCTTTCTGATGCTGAAGACATGATACCCCTAGATTCGTCAAGCGATGAGGACGAGTGAAATGGCGATGGTGAGGACGAGTCATGAGGTTTGAATGATCATTCCAATTGAGTCGCTTCTGCTAGCCACATCACTTCATACCAAGACAAGTCGCCGACAAGGAACATGTGACGCAAAGGTTGACCTCGCGTCATATATCTTGACGCGAACAACTGACATGGCGAGCCTAGTGCCGTGGAATCATCACTTCACGGGTTCCCATACTTCTTGGTTGCCCATGGCCAATGTATCCACTAGACACAGGTTCGCCAGATCCCAGGACAGGCCACTCTACACTCTGCAGCATAAGGTGCTCGCACTGGCTGACTGTAGCTGAAAGTGCCATGCTCCATAAATGCAATGAGTATTGCAACGATAGCCGCTTCGCGTCAGAAAAGAGACCTGTAGCTGGCGCAAGTGAGAGGCAATATGCCAGCCTCTCATGGTGTTGACTAGAGACCAAGCTCTACTGCCTACCGTAGGTAGAGCTCTGATGATGTTAAGATACCCAAAACAGTCATAGTACGATCCCGGGCAGCGATTGCCTCGGAACATGATAAATACACTTGCCTTACCAAATAAGATGTTTCGTACATTCCCGTCATCATTGTGTCCCTATTGAGTCGCTCTTGCATCGTGGAACTTGTGGATGACATCTCCCAGAACTTCTAGTGTCCAAACTCGTTTTCGCAAGTCAACCACAGGTGCGACATTACTCTTTGACGGCTTTGTGACCTATTGGTTTCTTGGACCCCTTGGAACATTCTCCTCATATCTGTTGTGCAATTCTACTGGCTAGATGACTCTGGGCATCTGAAGCTACAGTTCGAGACACTTCTACAATTTCCCTGGTCGCCCACTTCATTTTGCTCCCAACGGCCTTGTCAATCCGCTCTACCCGACCAGCCACTCACATTAAGATGCTGGCACTTCTTGCCCTCTTAATTTCGGGCGTTTTATTTGCTACACTCAGTCAAGGCTCTTCAATTACTCTACGCGCCAGTGCTGGCTGTACCTTTCATCTGTCAACGGGAGGCGATGCTCCCTTTTGGATTGGAGAGTTGCCTGATGGACAGTGCCGAGGAGGCAGCGACATTCAGGCAACCACATTCACGTGGTTTGGCGACGCTTTCTTGGACCAGCAAGGACGTGGCTGCTGGTGGACACGTATGTATGCCCCCGGCATCTTTGTTGGTGGTCACAGTCAAATGGTGAGCAGAGTGCTAACAACATGCAATATCCAGCTCCCACAAATGTCCTCCAGTGTGATGTTGGCCAACAGCCGAGCCACGGCTTTGAAATTCCCTGCAATGGAGTTGTGACATACAATGGACAATCGACATTCTATCAGTGTAGAACAGGAGACGGGGATCAAGTCAATATCTACCTGCAATCCATTGGCATACAATGCCAGCCAATAACAATTATAGCCGACGGATGCACAGCTTGTCAGACTTCCCCGGCTGGTGGCGGCGCAGCAGCTGGACCACAACCTGCCTCGACTGTCAGTCCTTCCAACATCGTGTCGAGTGTGACCCCATTCACCACCGGCCCGGACAGTACTGCAAGCACGCCGACTGCGACCAATCCAGGTAATGGTGGTACTGGTCCAAGCCCAACACCCTTGGCACCGCCCGCAAAAGACTGTTCAGCAGATCTCTCAAGTGCATACCACAGCCCATCGCTAATGATTCCCATCGACCGCGCCAATCCAGATAAAGCCTATGGACCGACGTTATACGGCCAAATCTCGCCCAATGCAAGCACCATCTTTGACTTTGATATCCCGGCCTCGGACGCCGGTCGGTCCTGCAAAGTCTTCTTTTCCATGCCCCCGCAGTCGGTTCTACAGAGCGCTCAAGCGGGTGGCTACTATTTCACTGGAGATGGTTCCGTCCTGTTCAGCCGCATGGGAACTCTTGCCACCTCCGGGACCACTTATAATGATGTTGCATTTGGGCGTATCGAACGGCGTGATCTAGGCGCGCTAGTCGTGAGCCCGGGCAACAACTACGTGATTGAGACATTCGATTGTGCCAGTGCCATAGGCACTGGTGTCAGTTACATGCTCGCCGAGCCTGCCGGACGAGATACGTGCTTGGTCTACTATCAAGAAGGGTCGCCGGTACCTGTGGGAATGTTTATATCAACCTGTTAGATGACTTCTACATGAGCTTTACATGTCATACAGCAACTTCTGTACCCGGAGGACTTAGATTTGATGTTAAGATTACAGGACCTGTGCAGTTGATCGACCCAAGAACAGGCAGCCGATCGACATATACACGGGAATACCAATTTTGGAACGGACCTTTTTCTTGGAAGCCAGTCTCATTCGACTCATCATGGATATATACGCTTGCTTTTATTGTGCGTACATAGGACTATAAACGTTGCTGATATTACCATCGGTTTAAACTTGATCTAATGGCTTTGTGATGAAAATTTGCATGAGTCTTTTTAGACGAGTCTCGGAGGATGAAGGGCCTATTACTACTCGCATTATTGAGCAAACATCATTCTCTGCTACCTCTCGACTGCGACTTGCAGAATTCCCTCGAACATCTGGGCAGAGAGTAATTACGGGAGGAGGAGGGAAAAAAAAGGTACAATCCTGACTCTTGGTCGTTCGAGATGAAACAACGTTTGGCCTATGAGTTTAAAACTTTTCTTCGCTTTCAGTGCTGGGAGCCTTAATACGATGCAGCACAAGGACACTCTCACAAAGCGACAGGCGGTATCAGATCCGCAGAAGAGTGTGATTCATATCTTTCGAGTCCGTATTGTCTTTCTTATTTACAAAAATAATGCCAATTGACTTTCCATATCGAACCCAGAGTTCCTCTACCCAAAGATCATGGAAGCTCACACAAGGTATTGAAACAAAGACCCAAGAAGCTAGCCCGATTCCACGATGCGTTTCGATAAAAATGAAAACTCCGTGATCCATGACTTTCTGTCCCTCTCACATATAAACATTCCCTTATATGTCATGGTTCCTGAGATGCCTCATCTGCGATAAATATTGCCAAGGGTAGCCACACGGGTAAGGCTACCAGCAACAAATATGTTGTTCGAGCCACAATCACTGCCCTCGGTGGCCGCATTCGTCTCTGCAGCCCGCAATTCTGTGATCTCCAAGAGACTCACGTCTGCGGACCCGACCAGTGTCACGTCTGTATCGATTGTACGGCGGCTCTCAACACTAGGCCTCAATTCTGAGTTGTCGGTGAACTCCGAGACATGCCCTGTTCCATCCTATGAACCAGCAATGCCAAGGCCGACCCTCGAGCCGTACCGATCTGCCCTTGAATTATCGGTCTCGCGGTTCCGATCCACGTTTGCGCGCATCCTCCGTCCCTCCATCAACCCCCGAAGACCGCGCTTTTGCAGGCCAATGACACTGCTCAACTCGCCACTCCAAACTTCTCCAGTTGTGCCGCGCTCACTATCACCAAGCTCACTACTCCACTCACTACCGCTGACGCTAGTAGATGCGCTTAGCTCTTCGCTTCCTGGACGAGCAGCTGGCACACCCGTGTTGAGCTGCAATCCGCCCACTCCACTGGCTGCCTCATCCAAGCTAGCTTGCGAAATGGAACCACTACGTTCATCCCGACCATTGCTGGTCAGAGATGAATCAGCGGGCGCAAAGAAATTGGGATTCAGGGTACCGTCAATGCCTCTTCCTCCACCGGCAGCCATAGCAGTTGCATTAAATACTGCAGCCGCATTGCGCGAATCGAGCAAAGTGTGCAACCTCTCAACCACGGCTTCTAGCAGTCCGTCTACCTTGTAAGGGCGGGCGATCTGTAGCAATGAGCACAGGATCTGCGGTGTGCACAAGGGGGACTGCGGCGATGGCAGCGATGATGTATATATGAAATGCAACAGTGCTTGTATCGTCAGATAAGTGTGTGGCAGATAGAGGCACCTAGGTCGAATACTAGGCGGCAGAGAAGCGGGTGTAGGTGCCGAGTTGATAGTGGTTATATCCCCAGAGCTCCCCGATACAGAGGTGCCAGCAGTGCTGGGTGGTTTCTGAGAGCTCGCTGATGAGTTACCAAAACTCGAACCCATCGAGAATGTACTGTCCGTTGTGCTACGATTGCCTTGTGCTGGGGTAATGGTCAACACCGACATTCGTGCACCGGCACCACCAGATGTGGCGGTTCTTAGCGTTGCTGAATCACTGCCATCCTGAGTAGCTGCACCTTCGCGAAGAAGTTGTACAAAGTAGGGACCCCATCTACGACCAACGATGCGGGAGTTGATGGGAATGCGCTCTCCTCCAATGCAAAGGATGTCCATGTCTGCCAGCTCGCGGAGGGCCAAAGCTTTCTCGCCAAGCTCCTCGGCTGCCCGAGAGTGGAATCTGCCTCCACCGGTCCAGCCTGCTTTCCGTGCGATGCTGAGTCCTGGCATGTTGTATGGGCTACTTGCAGACGCAAATCCAGACATGGGTGAAACCCTTCTGGGATTGTCGTAGAAGCCAAACGCCTCCAGTTCAACCATGCAGACGTTTGAAAAGTTGATGCGTCGGTGGTTGTAGTCGTCTACCAAGCTACGCTTACGATTACCCAGGATGACGAAAGTGTTTCTGCGATTCCAAAGCACACCTCGGTTCCAGCTTCCTTGGCTGAATATGCTACCTCCTGCGTCGATGCGCGCCCAAGTTAGATTCTTGAGGTCCAGGGCCCATAAAGCATATTCTTGCTTAGAGCTTGTGAGATATGTGCCGCTGACAACAAAGTAGGTATCAATGACGCCTCCGTTGGGGAATCGAAGACCTGGGGGTGAATATGTTCCAGACATTGGCTTCTCGGCCAAGGATCCGTCCGAGCCTCTGATTTGCAGCTCCAGCTTCACATCCAAAAAGTTATAGTTGGAATAAATGAGCATGGAAGAGCCAGGCTCTCTGGCTTCTTGGCTGATTCCCCCTTCTTGCCGCACGCCGAGCGCATTGGCCTTGCCAATCTTAGCTGTCACGGATGGGGGCAATGGTGCCACCACACTGCGGTATGCTCCACAGGATTTGCCATGGGTTTCCGTTGAAGTCCATTTCAGACTTCGAAGATTAAAAACGCTGATCTGCTCAATGTAATGGTTTGCTCCGTCTTGGCCACCCACGACAACCATCTCAGCACCGCCGGCACCATCGATGTTGATGCCGATACGTCCCTCGTTGGGGTTTCCACCGGATGGGTTATGTTGAAGTGCTGATAAAGGCGCCTTGTTGGAGGAGAATGTGGCTGAAGATGGTAATATACAAGCACAGTGAGCGTATCTACCTTGCGGTGCGTCCTGTGTCGGAACAAAAGTCCACTTCTTGGTGGGAACATCGTAGATGTAGATATCCGACATGACTACCACCTCTGGCAGTTGCTCTGGATTCGTGGGGGGTGGCTGGCTCGGTGTCGGAGACATGCCTCCGTAGCATACCATCTTGGTGTCGCCCAAAGCACACATCGAGTGAAAGTATCGTGGAGGTGGAATGTCACCGGTTGTTTCCAGCTTGGTCCACCGTCTCCTTATCAAATCCAACTCGTACAAGTCCGAGGTCAAGGGGGCAGGTCGGCTTCTAGACAAAATCTTGCCACCAAAGACGTAGAGCTTGTCTCCGAGAATTGTTGTGGTGGCACCTACTAGAGGATGAGGTTCCCGTCCAGTTGTGCGGTGAACATTGCACATCAAGCCCGATAGGTGCGATGACGAGGATGATGTTGAAGGTGTGCCAACAGGTTGGCCTGCCGCAGGCGCCCGACTAGTAGTCGCAGCTGCCGGTGGTGATGGCCCTGCGGAAGCCTGTCCATTGCTTCGCGGCGTAAGGTTGTCTCTCTGTCCTTCTCCAGCATCCCTTGCAGAACTCGCTATGCTGGCCTGGCTGTTACTCCTGTCAAAGTTTCCGCCGTACGACTGGTTGCCCATAGTTGGGGGAGGCATGGACTTTGAGTCCATTGTGCTGGTTCGGCTGTCCATCTCCGACTCCGACTCGGTTTCGTCGTCTAGAATAGAGTATAAACTGCCTTGCCTGAATCTCTTAATGTCGTGTGTAATTTCGACCACGGAACTCAAGCTTCCCTGCCTGCTTTCTCTTCCGAGGGAGCTCAATGAGCTTCCCGCTATGCTGCCTTTCCTACTATCGAATCCCGCGAAGCTTCCCTGCCGGCCTTCCTTTGCCGTTCCAGTGGGGGTCAGTGGGCTTAAAAGAGACGGGTCCGGCGTGGTTGGCAGCGGCTTTTCAAGACTGTTCTGTAAACTCAAATTCCGGGCATGATGCGAAGAATTGCTCGGACCGGAAAATATTGGCGTTGTGAAGACTATAGGCGTCTCTACTTGGTTGTCGTTGGTCGGTGTGAGGGTGGCTGTACTCTCATTGGAGTTGGAACCAAATGCTTTCAAAGCACCAAGTCTCGATGGTGCCCTTGAGCGCTTTAGAGAGTCCTCCCGGGTCGGCACGGCCTTGCTCTTGATGCCCTTGTAGAATTCAGACAATTTGCCAGTCGTTGATTTCGTAGTAGGCGCTGGGCGAAGTGCGTCTTGGTAGTCTTGCTGCTCGTTCGCTTCGGAGTCTGACCAGGTGCTATTTTCGTGGCTCGGCATTAGCCCGTGTCCCGGCATCTTGTCCAACTTCCACTCGCACGACTCTTGCGGTCGCGCCCACGATTTACTTGACGAGGAGAAGGGCGGCAAAAACAGTTCTGACAAAGAGGCTAGTGGGAATATTGGGAAAGGGAAAATATGTTCAAGTTGAAGGGAGCCAAAGGAAAAAAAGAGCTTGTCGTGGTTCCAAATGTGTCAGACTGTCTGTGGGTAACGCAGCGGTCGTAACCTCCACCCGAGTACTACTTAAGCAGGGAAAGCCAGACGGCGAACCCGGTGATACCACAAGTGTCGGTGGGCGGCTCTTCTCTGGGAGAAGTCTAGTCGCGTACCAGTAGCACGGCGCAAGACAAGGCCCACGAGCGCAGCAGGATCGTCATCTAGCCCCCTGGGTCCAGCAGCAAAACTTTTCGAGGCTGACGGGAAGGGGAAGATCTAGGATGGGTATTACGACGGGTAGGGGGTGAGGGGGCCACGAGCAGAAGAGCGGAGGACAAGGCCGACGAGAGGAGCCTCAAGAAGAAAGGGTCGAATTATGGATAGACATAGACAGATAGACAGACATGACATACCTAGGTACTACTAGTCACGCTGACCCCAGGTTGACGTTGCAATTTCTAATTTCTTCACAGGTGGAATCGAGCTCCCAGCAATATCCCGTTTCGTGCGGATCGTCCTACTCAGGGCTCAACCTCGTCGCCTTGGGGCGGAGGGGGAGGTAAGCAGCAGAGTGACAGGCACACACAGGCAGTAGTAGTCTGTGCGATCCGGCTCCCGCGACTATGGTGTTAATTGAGAGCGATGAGCGCAATAGCGGAGACCCGAGACGCAGCAAGCAGACGCGGTGAGCGCCAGGGCGGAGATGAGATGCCGCAAGAGTGAGAGAGTGAGAGGGAAATCAAAAATACGTATGTACGTAACTCAATAGTATGGCAGTAAAAATGTAGGGCTGGGCTCGGATTGGCAGTGTTTCGCTGAGCCGATAGGATCGATTCCTTTCTGTCGGATTGCTGCTAGAACGTCTGTAGTCTTGCTTCGGGGGCCGCTGCGAGATCCAGAGAAAGATTCAGGGACCCTGGAAAGTCAAAGTAGAGGGTTTGGTGGGGAAAGGAGATGGACTGTGCAGTCAGCGCCGAGCTATGGGCCAGGGGAAACAGGGAAAAAAGGGGATTTTGCGGCGGGGAGTACCTAGGTGTTGGGCTCCGGTGCTTGCCAAGGGGGACACTAGAGAATAGAAGCGCCGTGATGAGTAGATGGAAACCCCACGAGAGACAGTTAATCATGAGTCGAGTTGACGGGCGAGAACGATTCTAGATGTTGATCACTGATAACGGTTGTGTGCAGTATCGGTCGGTTCTTGAGGGGTGAGTCTGAAGGGGAAGAGACAGGACACTGGATGTTTGTAACGAGGAAGAGACGGAAGCCTTGACGCCGTGGCCATGCATTGTACCTAATGTATGCATGCAGCAGCAGCAGTGAGCTTCATATCTGCCTCGTGGTTGTCGCAGCGCAAGCCAATCGAGATCATGGCGTGCCAGCCAACACGTGCAATGTCGTTTACCCCCTATCTACCCCCAACTGTAGGTCCTCTGTACTGATTGACGATACAGCAAACAATTGTGCGTATACGAGGTACATGTCCAGAATCTCCTCTCATCCCTCATACGAGTTTGTGTGCTCCTTCACCTTTTGCTACATAACGCACGAGTAAT